CAGGAGGCTTATGAGGCATATTAGAATCTACACCCAGCACAAATGTGTAGAAGGGATGTTGACTACTGTGTTGTCTAGGTGGAAGCCTCAGCCATCCCTGAGAGGTGGCCTGCGAGTAGCGGGAATGGCTTTTATGAGCTGTCCTGAGAAGGAGCACAGCTGCAACATCTTTATACCCAACATGCACCAGACCTTAGATGTAGGCCACCCTGGGAAGACTAAGACCTACTGGAGGTGCTCGATACATGAAGCCACCCTCTGTCTCCCACAGAGTGCCAGCTGAATGTGTCCAGCTGCTCTACCAAAGGGATAAGGATGATGATAATGACAGTGCTGATGGTGGGTATATGAGGCTGTTGTTTCAAAGTGCACAAACTAGGCAGCTTAAACAAATTCATTGTCTCACATTTCAGAGGTTGAAGGTCTAAGATCAGGATCAACCAACTAGGGCTGGCTCCTTGAGATCAGTGAGAGACCAGTTTTCTCTGGCCCTTGACTTGTGGATGGCTGTCTTCCTGTGTTTTCACATGTTCTTTTCTTTATGTGTGGCTGTGGCTAAATTTTGTCTTCTTAATTGTATTAGATTAGGATCCATCCTAATGACTTCATTTTAACTTAATAACTTCTATAAAAATTGTGTTTCCAAATACATTGTAAGCTAGTAGGTGTTAAGACTTAAACATACGAATTTTGGAGAGGGGAGAAAACTCATCCCCTCCCAGGGGAAGAGAGGACAAATTGCAAGATGTTACTCCCTCAGGTGGGAATGAGGTTTCTGTTAAACTTCACCTTAGAGACAGGCTTTCAGCAGGTAGGAATGATAGGGAAAGGAATAGAAGAAGAAGCTACCCACAAAAGTAGGGATTGAGCAGCTAGGTCTTTGAAACCAGAGTAGTAAATGGAGACCATGAGGGCCAGTGCCAGCCTGAGAACACCTGCTAATTGGTAACAGAGACAACTTAACAAGGCTGACTCCTGCCCTCATTTCTGCCCTCCAAGAGAGATCTAGGGATGTGCCATGAGTCCTGAGGAAGCTCAGAGCTTCATTTGTGGATGTAGAACAGATGGAGCCTGGTGTTCTCACTATAGGAAGGACAAAGGGAACCAGCAGGGGCCTGCGTCAGAGCCTCTCCAGAGGGTGACAGGCAGATGGCTGCCTCCAAAGAGCAGGAAGACATTGCCTGTCTAAGAAAGCACCACTCACTGGGAGGGGCTGAAGCCTTCATGGTGGTGGTGGTGAGGTGTGGTCAGCCACATTAGCACAGGCCCTGAGAGCTGGGCCACCTGGATAGGTAGGCTGGGCCATGATGCAAAGCACGTAAGCCTGGCCGAGCATCACATTCCTGAGCAGCAGACTGCTACCCCACTCAAGTCTGGCTCTTCAGTTTTTATGGAACTCAGCTATGTCTCTGGTTGCTTTCACAGTAATAGAAGGGCTGTACTGAGTATTTGACAGAAACCACATTATCCACAGAGCAGAAAGTTTACTTTTAGATCTTTACAGCAAAATAGCTGGCCCTCGCTCTGTGATTTCGGAGTTCCTGGCCCTGCAACTTGTGGTGAGCTGCTCCTTGCTCAGAGGCCCATGTTCCTTCCTTGTCATGGGGTGAGTATGGCCCTGAAACTGCTGCGATGATCCAGTGAAGTGAGCCAAGCAAGCAAGGGAGAGCTTTGTGAACTGCAGCATACAGTTGTCCCTTGACAGCTGCATGAGGTTTGTTTCTGGAGCTCCAGAAGGTTCCAGAATCCATAAATGCTCAAGTCTTTCATATAAAATAGTGTATGAGTGCATGTAATCTACACACATTCTCCAGCATACGTTTATCATACCTAATGTGCTGTGTAAATAGTTGTTACATTATTTAAATGATAATGACAAGATAAAGTCTATGCCCAGTAAAAATGATTTTTTTCAGATATTTTTGGTCTGTACTCGGATCCATAGCTGTGGATTCCACAGATACAGAGGGCCAGTTGTGTTGTGCTCTGCATTCAGCCTTCTTATAACCCCCTTCTCCTCCTGATCCAAACAAAGCCCCTTCTTTTCACAGCCTCTTCAGACTGCCTTTGGTGATGGTGTTTCCCCTGCTGTTACTTGATTTTTACCTGCATAATGATGGCTGAGGAGCAAGGAGTTGGGATGCACTAGCAAGCTGGGATTTGTTCTAGGACAGCATTGGTGTCCTCACTTTTCATTAAAATGCTGTTTCGTGTGCACATGCTGTGTCCCAGGCGCTCTGCTAAGTGCTTTGCTTGTATTGTCTCCCTTAAACCTCACCATAAGAGACAGGCTTCAGCAGGGAGGTAGGGAGTACTTACAATGCGCCAGATGCTCTTCTAGGTCGTGAAAGTATGTAGACCACTGAATGACCGAATTCCTGACCTCGTGGAACATACAGGCCCACTAAGCTGGAGAGTCAGAGGATAAAGTTAATAGGCTTCAGATGGGGTGGGAGTGAGGAATGCAGTTTGAAATAGGATGAGCTGTGTGGATTCCTGGGGGAAGAATGGTGCAGGTGAAAGGACAGGAAGTGCAGAAGACAAGGGAGAGGGTGTTGGATGCTGGTGTGTGTGGAGCAGTGACTGGCACAGTGGGTTCACTCATGAGGCCCTGTGGCTGTAATGACTTGGGCTGCTGTTACCAGGGAGACGGGAGTGATGGGAGGGATAGTAGCAAAAAAGGGACATGATCTGGTGTACTTTATTTTATAGTATGTCAGCACAGACTGTGTGCACATTTTAAAAGTTGTAAAACATACTTAATACAAAAGTTGCCTTTTTAACGTGTATCTAGTTCAGGTATGTTAAATAATTCATTTTATTATGTAGCCAATATCGAGAACTCTTTTCATCTTGCAAAACTAATGCCATGTTCCCATTAAATAATCATCTCATCGTTTTACCCTGAGCCACTGGCACTCACCATTCTATTTCCTGTCTCTGGATTTGGCCACTCTAGGTACCTGCTAAGTGGAATCACACAACAGTTGTTCTCATGTGACTAGCTTATTTCAGAGCATGTCATCTGTGTAGTAGCATGTATTAGGATTTCTGTCCTTTTTAAGGCTAAGTGATTTGCATGGGTGGGCCATACTTTCTTTGATTGCTTTAGCTATTGCAGATAATATGGCTATTAAGTGCAGGCCTATAACTATCATTGTAAAACCTCGCTTTTAGTTCTCTGGGATATGTGTCCAGAGGTAAAATTGCCAGACTATATGATAATTCTGTGTTTCAGTTTTTTGAGGAGTCACCATACTGTTTACTGTCACAACTGTACCATTTTATATTTCCACCAGCAGTACACAAGGGTTCCTGTTTCTGTATATCCCTGTCAAGCTTATTTTTTGTTTCTTGATAGTAGCCATCCTATAGGTTTGAAAAATATCTCCTTGTGGTTTTTGATTCTCATTTTCCTAATAATTAGTTGAGCATCTTTTTCATGTGCTAGTTTTTCAGTTGTGTATCTTCAGACAAATGCTCAAATTCTCTGCCTATTTCTGATCAAATTATTTTTGAGTTAGAGAATTTAGTCATATATTCTAGAAATTAATCTCTTACCATTTAAGTCATTTCAAATGTTAGTTTCTATCATTGTGACAAAAAAACCTTAGGGAATCAACATAAAGAGAGGGAGATTTATTGTTGGCTTACCATCTCATCTTTCTGAGCCTCAGTTTCCACATCTGTAAAATGGACCAATTTCATGGGCTTCACTAGGTGTTTTTCAGGCTTCCAAATGCTGCTGGCAAGCCCAGCTTGAACTTGTTAAACTGGGCAGTCTGGAGCTGTTCACAGGGCCAGTGCTGACATTGTTGGATGGTATAGGGCTGAGTGCCAGCTCTGAGAGTGCTCTGTTCTTCAGAGAATGTGGCCAAGGATCCTCTGAGCTCTCTCTTCATCTCTAAGAGGGAAGTGGAAAGAAGGGGGAGAGGGGCAGTGGACGCTGGGACTGCACCAAGATAGTGGCATGGATGTACTAAGTCTGGATGGGCCCCAGGAATGTAGACAAGGTGCTCACTGATCGGCTGAGTTAGGACCTTGCTGCCTTCACCGCTACATCAGAGCCCCGTGATGCGAAGCTGAAGCACAGTAGGGATCACCCTTCCGCTCCCTCAGCTCAGGGTTACTAAGGCCCGGAGAGAAGGGCTTTGCTTGAGTCCCACAATGACTCTGGGCAGATAGGGTCCAAAGTCCAGTGAGACAGGCGGGTGTTGGGGCCAGCAGAGGGACACTTCCATATATGGAGCCTTGGCTACCATTATGCACTATCCAGGCCTGGCACACTTGGCGAAACAAAAAGTATTGCTAATGAATGTGTACAGCAGAAAAAAACAGTCTGGATATCAGACCCAACCTGGGACTGTCTCTTCTGGGCAAGTTGCTTCACCTTGTTTAGCTTCCATTTCTCAAAACAATGGTCTAAGTCCTTTTGGCAGGTGCACCAGCAGAGATTTGAACCCAGAGATTTGCCCACTTCTTTGGCTGATTTTCTGTGCAACACTGTCTTTATTCCTTTATGGATTCACTTATTTATTGGGCATCTACTGTGTGGCAGGCACAGTTCTGGGCCCTATGGATACAACAATAAAGGCAGGTAGGTTTCTGCCTTCAGGATTTATGTTCTAAGAAGATGCAGGCATTAAGGTGTTGAACAGGCAACAGCAATGATAGGGAGTACTTAAAAGGGACTGGAAAGGGGACACAAGGGGGCTGCCTTATTTGCTGTGGTCAGGGAAGAATATTCTGCTGATATTTGAGTAGCAGCCGCCATACATGTACCATAATTAGCCACCATATGCAGAGAATCTGAACAAGTAATTAAGGGACACACATACTTAGAGAAACCTCAGACCTGCTGATGACAAAAGTGATGGAGATGTGGAAGGAAATCGGTTATCAGAGCACTCTAAACAGCCTGAAAAGGCTCTAAGGAGCAGCATAGTAGGTCTGCGCTCCGGGTCACGTTGGTTCCCTTCTCCATTGTCTCTGCCTTCTAGGTAAAGCAGATCATGGAAGAGGCAGTCACGCGCAAGTTCGTCCATGAAGACAGTAGCCACATCATCTCCTTCTGTGGTGAGTCTGGGGTCCCCCTGGGCCTGTGAAAGCGAATCCCTTTCCAGACCTGCCACAGGGAAGGTGCATCTCTGAGCCAGCATTCCCATATACTGTTTTGCTTTTGACTTGGAAGTTATTTTTGGATCCCGAAAGGACTTTTGGAGAATTTTAAAGTAAAAGTAGTGCAAGACACAGTGAGCAGTGACTTTGGACCCTGTGGAAGGATCATCGTGGGGACTAAACTTGCCCTCCTTGAGGGCTCAGTGTATCCACATCCTGAGCACTGGGTGTTTTTGCCTCTGGGAAATGACTTCTGTGCCTTTTCCTTGCTCTGCCTCTGTTGAGCACTAGATAGAGGAGAGGTGCATAGAGATATTTAACAAGAAGGGGAAGAGAACTCTGACACATTGTGAGGAGCCCCAGCAGCTGGCTCATCACAAGAGACACGGGGGGCTCAGTGTGACTCACTGCTCTTTGCACAGCTCTGTCGTAAGGTCCAAAAATACCCACACTGCCAGGTCCCACTGTGCTTTTATGGCAGCTAGAGACACGTTTTGCGTGTGCCTGAAGTCAGCATTGAGCTCAGGGTCTGCGTGTATGTATATGTGGGAGTGTTCTTTCTTGCTCCCTGAAATACTTTCTTTTAGTAATTGGAGTGTCTGACAGTGAAGAACATGCTCTACTTCCCCTCTGTGACGTTGGCCCGTGTAGAGACCTGAGCAAGGACACCTGGCCAGCCACCAGCTTCCATCCAGATGGCTGAGGGGCTACCACTTGGGGCCTAAATGCTAAGCACACTGTGCCTTGGGGCTCAGAACCTCAGTTCACCCCCTTTTCAGCCAGGCAGACTTGGGTTCGAATCTCCAGCTCTACCACTTACTGTTGACCTTGGGCAGAATCTTAATTTTTAGGTAGAGAAATTTTTTTACCCACACATATGTATGTATGTGTGAATGTACATATGTAAAAGTGTATATGTATGTGGAATATATGTTTTATATATAAGTATATTCATGTAATAAATATTTTTACAAACATGTTTTTATTTACATTGCTTTTTATTTTCTCCTGGACATTTTATTTGCAAATCAAATCATATTCATATCAGAATTTGCTAACATCCACCAATTAAAGTTTTTTTTGTTGTTGTTTTTTATTTTTTGAGGTCAGGTCTTTCTATGTAGTGCAGGCTGGCCTTGAACTCGCTTATGTAGCCCAGGCTGGCCTCAAACTCACAGCAATCTTCCTGCTTCAGCCTCCCAAGTGCTGGGATTTTAGGCATGTGCCACTATTCATGGCCCAGCTAAAGTCTTCAAAAATAAAAAGTGATAAGTTTAATTATATAATTCCCTGGCTCACATCAAAGCTTTTGGATGGGAGAAATTGGATGGCACTAAATGAAACTTGAAGAATCTCACTGATTTTTTTTTATATCCATTGTCCCTAGGACCATTGTCAGAAGAATTGAACAATGTGTACAGAGCCTGAAGAGAGCATTAAAAAAATAAAAAATAATGTGTATGTAAATTAAAGCCATGCACACACACAATTTCAGCTACTTGGGAGCCTGAAGCAGGAAGATAGTAAGTTGGAACCCTGCGAATCAATTTAGGCCCTATTCAAAATGAAAAATTTTTTTAAAAAGGACTGGGAATGTAGCTCAGTGTGAAGTCCCTGGGTTCATTCCCCAATACCGTCACCACCAAAAAGAAAAAAAAAAAATGAGAGAAACAGAGACTTTTACATGAGCCTTATTTACAATATTTTAAATGTATGGGCAGATTAATCAGTTTTTAGATGTTCATTTAAAACCAAATAATAGCTTACTCAAGAAAAGACAGATGACTAGTCCAAAACATTCTCACAATTTCTCCTTACACATAACGTAGGCCAACCTCTTATCCTGGGGTTGGCTCACTTGTTCCATGAATGGTGATAACTAGAGCTCTTACACTGGGGTTTGTAGCAAGAATTAGATAGGGCAGATCTTGACCTGATACATGGCAGGTACCAAAATAAAGAACAGCTCTTACACTCACTTTTTAAATAAATATGGATTATGCACCTATTGCATACCACATGAGGCAGAAGGTAAGAAGATAGAGGACCCCAGCAGGAGCAGGACTAAGATGGCAGCCTCAGTGTTTTGAACAGGGCCATTTCCCAGCAGGGCTCACTAATGCCTAGAGAGGAAAAGTGACTCACCAGAGGTCACTCAGCAAATTAATGGGAGAGCCCAGGCCTAAACCCAGGTGTGTGCTCTGGGCAGGGCTTCCAAGAGAAACACAGAATGAGATGACTATGAAATCCTTCCCAGACCCTTTGTCGGAAGGATTGCATGTGGCACATCTTGAATTCAGACCTCATTGATACCTAACTCCATCACTTACCTGCAGGTGGATTTAGTTCACCTCACTGAGCCCCAGTGTCCACATCTGAGAAGCAAGGGTATTTTTTTTACTTGCTGGCCATGGCAGAGATTAAAAGAGATCCATAAATTTTAGCTGTGCTATAATCATAGCATTGATGGTCGTACAGTTCCTTAACCTGATGGAACTTCAGCAGTCAGGCAGTCCCATCTCCTCTCCCTCTTTGACAGAAACAGCAGAGATGCACATAAAGTAGCCACTGTGTTCCAGGCTCTGCCTGGTACCTCGTGCGTTTTCACTTGTCCTGCCAGCAACCTTGTGAGGTTAATTTTATACTGTTCCCCCTTCACAGATGAGAATACTGAAGCCCAGAGAGGGGAAGTCATTGTCCACAGTTACACAGCTGGTTAGTAACTGGCCAACGATATGAAAAGTGATGGTCCGAACTTAGGCCTCAGCTGTGGGATAACCACTATACTTTCTTCCCATCTTTGAAGAGTGTGATAGGTGGAGGGGAGGCATGTTTTTCAGTAATATTCACCTGAACTTAGTGATTCTAGGAGTCCTGGCTGGCCAGGGTACCTCCATCACAGGTGCTGGGGAATGTAGACAGGACAGGGCCAGCTGACCCCCATGTTCCCACAGCGGCAGTGGAAGCCTGTGTCCTACATGGGTTGCGTCGGCGAGCAGCTGGCTTTCTGCGCAGCAACAAGATTGCAGCTCTCTTCATGAAGGTGGGCAAGAACTTCCCACCGGCTGAGGAGCTGAGTCGCAAAGTCCAGGACCTGGAACAGCTGATTGAGAATGCGTGAGTGTGAAGTGTTGGGAACAGCTGGGACAGTTCCCTAAAGGGTGGTCTCCAACTTGCCTCCAGCCCTGCGAGGGCCCACACCTCTTGGACCCCCTTTGTTTTCCTTTCTGTTTCTCAGAGACTTTGCACATGCAGTACCCTTACATTAGCTTTCCATTGCTGATTCCTGACATCAGCTGCTTGAATGAGAAAAGACTGATGTGGGTTCATAGTTTCAGAGATTGCAGTCCTTGGCCACCTAGCCCCAAATTAGAAATATCATGGTGGAGAGGTGTGGCAGAGAGGAGCTGCTTGTCATAGAATCCAGGAAGAGCCTGAAGGAAGATAAACCTTCAAAGGCATGCCCCAGGGACCTACTTTCTCCAACTAATACCTACCTCCTAAACTCGTCCATGGTCAGGTTAGTGACCTCACGACCTGGTCACCCTTCCAGATACCTCTTGGTCCATTCAGGTTGACAAGGTTAAGTGTCAGACCCCCACCAGGCTCACTGCCTGTTTTTCCAGGCCCAGATTTTTGCCTCGTTCACACCTTCCCTAGCTCTGTCGATTCCAACCCACACATCATCTTCTCTTTTGTATCACCATTTAGTTTCTTCCCACTTGTTGCCACCTATAGTTAGCCATTTGTGCATTTGTTTACTGCTAACTTGATTGTAATCTGTCTCCCTGAGCGCCATGAGAATGGGTAGCTCACCTGTGCCATTTCCCATTGTGTACCAAACATGTGGGGCAGTGTACAGCATCTGGTCCATGCCCATGAAATGGTTGTTAAGTGAGTAAGTGCTGTGTGGGAGCCACACCTTGTCCTAAGTGTAAGATGGCTAACAGTTAACAGAGCCCATGTGGTCTCTGTACAGACCAGATGCTGAGGCCTCTGGTTAAAACTCACACTGAAGCAGCCATTGAACAGGAAGGCAGATCCTCTTGCTTGTGTTGGTGGCTGCTTGTATGTGTTGGGGGAGGCTCGGGGCTGAGTGTGTTACATTAGTATCTATTGCCATGCTTGTGCCCTGAAGCCCTAGATGCATAGCCAGGTGCCCAACAAGGAGCCCAGCCGGGGATGGCAGATAGAGAGCTCAGTGGCTCCTGCGGGACTGTTGCAAATACTTCTGTGGTTGGGCATCATGGGAAAAAGTGCTTGGATGAGTTAACTTATCTGTCACAGGCATGAGAAGGAGAAAACGTGTGTTTCCCAGCTCCCCGTTACTGTAACAAAATTCTTGAGATAACCAAATTATAAAAAAAAAAAAGCTTCATTTTGATTCACAGTTTTGGCGGTCTGATTAGCCCCTTTGTGTTTGTGCTTGTGATGAAGCAGTGAGCATCATGGGAAGTGCATGGCAGAGTAAACTGTTTACCTCCTAACCAACTGCAGAAAAAAAGGAAGAAGAGACCAGCCCTAGAATCCCCTTGGAGGGAATATGCTCAGTAACCTGCTGTCTCCTCTAAGCCCCCTTCTTACAAGTTCCGCCACCTTCTAGTAGCACCAAGCTGGGGGCCAAGCCTTTAACCCATGGTCCTTTGGGGGCATTCCAGATCCAAACTACAGTATGCCCTAAGTTTGCCATCTCTGCCAAGGTGATCACAACATGAAGTGAGAGACACACGCTCCTTTTCTTTCTTGCCTGTTGGTCGCTGCTGCCAAGGGATGCTGGCCAGAATGCACTGGGCAGAGCTCAGAATTTGGCTTTCCCAGCTCCTTTTGGAATGACTTCCCAGCAGTCTTTGGGTGCCTTCAAGCCCATCTGGTCAGCTCCCAGGTAATGTCAGGTAACTTCTTAAAGGGCTGGATTTCCGGAGCTTTTCATAGTATGGGTATGATTTCCCAATGGATGAATGAGAGGCGTCCCTGCCAGGGATGAGGGAAAGCCATGCATTCATCTGTGCAGTCACCGTTTATGAATGTATTCAATGAGCATTTCATGTGTGCCAGGCACTGTGCCAGACCCTGCACTGGAGAAGGAGACATGAAGGTTCCCATACTTGCCACTGGGTAGATTCTTAGTACTTTAGTTTTAAAAACCTTGAATTTCTTTTGCATATGCTCAGGATCACAGAGTAAAAGGAAAAATGAGCATGCTGAAGGGGTATAGCAGCTTTGTCTGGTTCTAGAGAACTTCCTATAGGAGAAGATTGTCTTTCTGAGACCAAAAGCATGAGAGAGTCATCCCAGGAATAGAGTTAGGGTAAGGGGGAAACTGGTGAGAAGTAGCAACTCATGAGGAACCTGGCAACTGTAAGAATCTGCGTGTAGCTCCCTGCTGGAGCATGCTATGAGAGAGAGACTGAAGGCAAGGTCATGAAACACCCTGCCAATCATATTAAAGGCCTTGCTTCCAGGGGTGCTAATGGGGAATCACTGCCTGGTCAGCAGGAAGAGAGAAGGACAAGAAGAGAACATAGGGAGAGAAGATAGAAGGAGCAGGGAGAGACTTAGAGAAAAAAGAGAGAGGGCAGTGAGGTGGGGGGGAGGGAAGGAGGGAAGGAGAGACTGATCAGACGTGGCTTGCCTGCCAGTGGTGTATGGAAGGATGCTTAGTCATACCTTTACACTGGACGTTACTGTCTTCCCAACTCTTTTGGGGGGTGGGTGTTGGTTCCAGAAATGGAATGCAGGGCCTCATATTTGCCAGACAGGTACTGAGCTGCAACTCTGGCCCTACTGTGTTTTCAACGCTTGACCTTTTGCTAGGAGCTCCATGGGTTCTTGTGGTATAGCTGCCACTCCTTCATTTCCTTGAGACAGTGAACATTTTCCCACCTGCATATCCAGTGCTGTGGATTTCCCTCTTTGTGAGTGTCTGCCTACCTTCTCTTGTTGATCTTGAAGGAGAAATCAGATCCAGGGCCTCCAGGAGAATGTGCGGAAGCTTCCGAAGCTGCCCAACCTGTCTCCGCTCGCCATCAAGCACCTGTGGATCCGCACAGCCTTGTTTGAAAAGGTCCTGGACAAGATTGTGCATTACCTGGTGGAAAACAGCAGGTAGGAAGGAGCAGCAGCATACCTAGTGCGTGCTGCTCCTGCCTGCTGGCACTTCTCAGGATTGCATCCTCTTGCACATAGCCACTTGTTCCCTGGGAAGGACTGGCTCTTAGATTTGCACGTGATAATATATAAGTCTCTTGGATGTTTCATTGTGAACTAGGTAGCTTAGAATTTGGGCAGATTCACTTAGTTGCTACTTAGTAGTGTACAAGATTCAGAGTTAGGGTCAGGTGTAAGGATCTTGGGTTCCTTCCTTCACCTATGAATTGTCCCATTTGATAACCATGTGGCCCTAGGAGAACTGCTTAGACTCTTGCTCCTGGTTTTCTCTTTTGGTAAATGGCACGAGGATCACTGTCACTCCTGAGAAGTGAGAAGGGAATTTGGTGTATAGCATTTTGAAAATTCAGTGATACATTTACATCGTCTCTCAATTCAGTTGATCAGATACAAAGGTTTTACAAAATACATTTCTTGGGCCAGCAACCATCCATCCAGTTATCTGATAAATATTTAATGAGCGCTTACTTTGTGCCAGAGGCCTGTCATATTTTAAGAGCAGTGGGGAGCCACTGAGTAACTATACTATAATGTGAGTCTTCATGGCCAGGATGTCTTCCCAGCCAGAGAGAAAACTCTGAAGGAGCTGGTGTTGTAGCTCAGTGGTAAAAAGGTTTTCACTTTCGGGGTTCAACACCCAGCCCTAAGAAAAAAGAAAAAGACAAAAGAAATCTGAATTTCCCGCTCTTTCATTATATGAAAGTACTTCATATAATTTCATTCTATGAAAGTGCACACATTCATGGAAGCAGGTTTTACTATTATGTTTTATTTGTCCCTTTACTAAAAAAAATTATAGTATGTGTTGGGTATGGTGGTAGTTTGCTGTTGGTTTGTTTTTTCACTATTGGGGTTTGGATCTAGAGCCTTCACAATAAGCTCTATTTCCAACTCTTTAAAAAATTTTTTTGAGGCAGGATCTCAACTCAGTTGCCTGGCTAAGCTTAAACTTGTGATCCTTCTACTTCAGCCTCCCAGAGTGGTGGGATTCCACCCACCTAGCCTGGTGGGTGTTTAATCCCCTCTGTGTGGCCAGGGAAAGCGTCCCTGAAGAAGTAGCCTTCCAAGGCCTGATGCAGGCAGGAAACGGGTGGGAAAAGGGTGCTCCTGACAGAAGCAACAGCAGGCCCAGGGGCCTACAGGAGGGAGTAAGGCTGGGAGAAGCTCAAACTCTTGAGTCTTCACGTAACTTCGTTTCCTTCCAGTAAGTTGTAGTACGTCTGTGCCCCTGGCCGTGAACTGTCCTGGGCTTCTTAGGTCATTGTGTTGGATCTCTGACCCTGTGTTGTCCTGGTGAATAAGTCAGTCAAACGGAATTCGAAATTTATTTGAGCAGCAACGTCAGCCTGTTATTTTCATTAAATTTTGAATTTTAGATTTCCATAAAAGTTGCAAAATTAGTACAGAGAATACTAATCAGCTAACCCCAGTGATTACATTTTATTTAACAATAGTACAGTTCTCAAAACTAGAACATTGATTTTGATTTTTTGGGGGGGGTCATTTTTGAGGCAGTATTTCACTATATGGTTCACCTGGCCTTGAATCATTTTGTACAGGCTGCCCTTGAACTCACAGCGATCCTCTTGCCTCAGCCTCCCAAATGCTGGGATTACAGGCGGGTGCTACCATGCCAAGCTTAGAACTTTGATCTTGGTATGGTACTGTTAACAGCCTCTACTTGCAGTTCACCACTTTGTATGTGAATTGTTTGTTTGTTTATTTGGCATATAGTTCATTTGGCATATAGATTTTAACTCAAATAATTTTGTATGCCCAGCACCACAACTAGGATGCAGAATTGTTCAGAGAAACCGCACAAAACTCCCTTAGGTTGCTTTTAGTAGTTACATTTTTTCCCATCCTGCCTGCCATTTTGTAAGGCAGCATTTCCAAGATTTGTGATTGCTGTGCTGATTTTTGGAATGGAATTCAAGTGGCAGCAAAGTGGCAGATGTCTGAAGTATTATGTTCAGATTTGACCTCCAAATGTAAAACCTTGGTAATGAGCAAGTCCAAGACATGTGAGCTCTGCCTCATCCAGTATTCTGGTTGATAGAAGATTTGTTTGGGATAAGTTCACAATGACATTGGCACCATTTAGTGAAGACTTCCTGATGTTGGGCCCTGTGCTCTTCAGGTAGCTCATTCTTCAATCTTTTCAACAACCAGGCAGATGAATTGGTCGTTCTTTTCATTTTATAACTAAGGACAGCAAATGTCAGAGAAGGAATTCACTTGCTTTGGGGCACACAGAACGGTTTAGAGTGGCTAAGCCAGGCTCCTGCCCAGTCTGTCTGACTCTAGGTCCTGTGTCCTTTACCCGCTGCTGTATGATAGCAAGAATTAAGCTAGCTGGGTGTAGTCTGAGACCACATCAGCTGCTGTGTGACCTCTAGCAAGTCACCTTACTTCTCTGGGCCTGAGAGGTTGGGGAGATCAAAGCAAGATCCTTTCTAACTTGAAAGTCTCTTAGTTTCTAGTTACACAAATTTTTAAGGAATCAGAAAACATCACACCAAACTCATTCAAGAAATCACTGCATTGATGACATCACATCGCATTCCGCAGAGCCAGATTTCAGGGCACCCTTTTGAGCATCTCAAGCCAGTGTTATTAGCCTTATTTGTCAGGCAGGACAGCCTTTTAGCACAGTCTTTGAGTACACATTGCAGTTAAAAAGCATTTTATTGCCTCAGGAATAGCAGAGCCAACTTTATCTGCACCTCTATGGGACTTGTCATCTCCAGCAGAAGTAGATTGAGTCTGCCAGATCTCAGCAGCCTTCTGATTGTTATTCCTCTTACTCTCAAGAAAGACTGTCACAATCCCTTTTAACAGCTACACACCAAGCACCATTCTAAATGCCTTTCTGTTGTGTAGCTCAGAAGTCTTTCTCACAGCTCTACAAGACAGATTTTGTAGCTAGTGCAGCTGAACCTCAGAGCATTTCTGGGTGATACGGAGGGACTGGACCTAGTCTTTTGTATCCTCTGGTGGTCTCCATCCAAACTTGGGTGTCCTTTGCTCTCTCACTAGTAAATACTATGAGAAAGAAGCGCTCCTGATGGACCCTGTGGACGGCCCCATTCTTGCATCTCTCTTGGGTATGTGGTCCAGTTGCTTGAAGCTCCATCTGAACCTCTGGTTTCAGGTTTCAGGCACCTCTTTAGGGCCCCTCTCACTCCTCCCCAGCCTCACCCATCAAAACTGACCTTTCACTATCTCTTGCTCCCAGTACCTTCACCAGGTCTCTTCTTTGCAGGACTCTAAGACATCCTAACTGACTAGAGAGGAGGAGTAATGGGAGGGGTAGTCCATCCCATAGTAGATAGGAGGGTAGACTTTTGGGGGCTTCAGGTCCCCAGCCCCATGTCCTCCACAGTGGGGCCCTGTGCCCTGGAATACACCAAGATGAAGACTGCAGACCACTTCTGGACTGACCCCTCAGCTGATGAGCTGGTCCAGAGGCACCGCATCCACAGCTCACACCTGCGGCAGGACTCACCTACCAAGCGGCCAGCCCTCTGTGTGAGTGGAAGGGGGTGTTGGAGCCATGGGAGGGACCTAGAGAAAAGGAACAGGCTATCAGCCCTGAAGGTCACTCCAAGACCATGTTTCTGTCTCCTCTCACACTACCAGATCCAAAAGAGGCATTCAAGTGGCAGCATGGATGACCGGCCATCACTCTCTGCACGTGACTATGTGGAGTCCCTGCACCAGAACTCCCGAGCCACTCTGCTCTATGGCAAGAACAATGTTCTGGTTCAACCGGTGAGAGTTCATGGTGGGCCCAGATCTGCCTCTGAGGGTTTTGGCTCCATGTTGTAGAGAAAGAGTTTCCTTCTTGCCCCTGGTTGCTCATTCCTTCATATATCCATCCACCCATCCACTTACTTGTTCATCCATCCGTCTTCCAGTAACTCCAACCATCTGTCCATCCATCCAGTCAATCTCTGTTCTCTTACACAGCCAGTCAGCTCTCTTCCATTCCCTGTACACACCCATTCTTGTGCCCATTGCATCCACTCATCATTGGCTCATGCTTCTGTTTACATTCCATCTATCCATCTTGATACCCATTCATGTATCCATTAAGTTACCCACTTAATTTCTAGTCCATCTGTACATCTTACTTCTTCAAGCTAAGAAGCCACGGATTTAAGATGCACCTTCTTTTATATAACCATGAGGGAATCAAAAATGCCATTTAAATTATGTACAAAATTATTTCACTACTTGAAAATTTTCACCTAATCCTTTTTGAGACTTATTTAGACACAGGGGGCTTTTTTGTCTTTGCATAACGCATCACTACTTTTAAGTACACAGAGGAGAAAATATAATTTGAAGTGCTTTAGTTAAGAGTTCGATCTTCTGTATCTCTTTTTGACTTAGAATCATTGAGGACCTAATTTTTCCACATACAGTACTGTTTTCTGTTGCATCAAGAGATCAGTAAATTATAACTCGATTAGGTGTGGCCCTCCACCTGTTTCCTGAAACATATATGACCATTTGCTTATGCATCGTGTATGACTGTTTTCATGCTGTGGTGGTAGTTGAGTGGTTGCAGCCAAGGCTGCATGGCTCATAAAGCCAAAAATACTCCCTGTCTATTCCTTTACATTAACGTTTGTTTTCCTCTGACCCAAAAAAGTAGGAAATGTAGCATTTATTGTGAGAATGTCCACTCATCTCTGAAACAGCCAGGCCTGAAGTCCTGTCAAGCCGTAGGTTGGTGCTTTGCGGGAACTCTGGAGTTGTAGGGACCTTTGCAGGGATGAATAATGTGCCTGTGTCGCAGCATCACATTAGCACTGCACTGCTCTGTGTCCAGCTTATGTCACAATAACTTTTCAATTCGGAGCTGAGTCATGGGCTAATCCTTTGAAAGACATATAGAATAGCATCTCTTCTCCAAATGTGAAATAACTACACACAAAACTCAGTAGAAGTGACAAGTGTGGACAGCTGTGACCAAATGTGTGTGAGATCACACAGCGCAATTACATCAGAGTTGTGAGATGTTACTGATTGTAATAGAACGTTTGTTGTAGGATTTATGGAATACTCTGCTCCCTCCTGTGTGGTTGTAAGCACATGGAGTTCACTGTGACAGTGTGTATGGTGACTGAGCCGTGCTCAGTGTACTCTTTGCCCTCAGTAAGTGTTGGTTGTCTGTCTTCCTGTTTCTAGGGTGAATTTGGTGGAAGAACTGCTTTCTTCACATGTGAGGGATGTTGACATTGCCTTCTCTACCCAGTTGTTTGGGATAAAATAAAGCAAGTGAAGAGTCCTTTTGGCACATTCTGGGAAGGCAGAGGCTTTGAGTGCTAGACAGGAGTGTGGTGAGCGTGCTGGGGAAACAGGTTTCAGGGTACTGTCCATGAGATGGACCACAGAACTCACCTGCTATCTCTTCCTCCATAAGATTGGCCAACATAAATGTCTTTTTTTGGAAAGGATGGCATTGAGAGAGACATAGCCCACTTCCTGGTTCTAAGGGAACAGTGGAGCAAAGCCCTTTGACCTCAGGAGGCAGGCATGAGTGTGACTGTGGGGGTGGATGGCTTTTGAAACTGGACTCTGTACCTTATCCTGGAAGCCTTTACAGATGGCTTTCCTTAGCATAACCACCTGGAAGGAGATAGCATCTTCCATATAGCCACTGCCTTGAATAACTCAGTCTCTTAGTTCCAGTTATGCATCCTTGAGTCAATGGGCCAGGGCATATGTCCACTTGGACTCCAGTACCATGGCCAATCCTGAGTGGTCCTTTCTCTTCAGAGGGATGACATGGAGGCTGTGCCAGGGTACCTTTCCCTGCACCAGACAGCTGACATCATGACCTTGAAGTGGACACCCAATCAGCTGATGAATGGGTCAGTGGGGGACCTGGACTATGAGAAAAGGTAGGATGCTGGGTTCATTGTCTGTCCTCTAGTCCCTCTACTCTTCTTAGCACAGGGAAATTCCCTTGGCGGGGTTATTCCCTGCCCCAAGGCCACTTTGCCTGGTTATTACAGGGTTATCTCACTTAGCCTTGCTACAGCTGTTGCCTCACTCTCTCATTCAGGAGTGAGTGAGAGACTCAGGAGCATCCATGGACCAATTGGAAGAGTTAGGGTGTGGAAGTTAGGTAGCACCCTGGTCAAGGTAGCATGCAGAAAAAGAAATCGGTACAAAGATCTGGTAAGCCTATAAATGCCAAGATAACTTCTGAGCCTCTACCTAGTCTCACATCACTCAATTAAAGGAGAAAAAGATTTGTTAGCAAGTATGTGGCCCCAAAGCTGTGTCTTCTCTGAAAGCCATGATGTATAAGACTCAGCAAAAACTTGGGAGTCACACTAAGAGGAAACACTAGGCTCCCTCCTGCAGACAGGACACAGGTATCCATCACCCAAGCCCTCATAGCCATCCACATATCCCATAATCCCTACATATTATTTGGAAGGAACATCTGCAAATATTTTAATTCACATCTAAAAATAAGAATTCTTTCCAAGATACAACCACAAGACAATTATGTTCTATTAAATATCCTGTGATTCACATTAAGCTTTGGAGTGATCACTAGTATTCTCAAAGCTGAATGGAGGAGCTCTTGGGGGAGGTCTTCTGGCTTCCTGAATTCCTCTTACAAGGCAGGTAAGTTTCCTGCAAGCCACACCTTCCGTCCCCTTCCAGCGTCTACTGGGACTATGCCATGACTATCCGTCTGGAAGAGATTGTCTACCTGCACTGCCACCAGCAAGGTAGGAACTATGGGGACAGCAGGGGTCTGGCTGGCTGTTCCTAGACCCCTTGCCTGGCTCCACCCCTGAACATTCATTAGCAACATGAGATAGTGTAGTGGGTGACCTATGTCACCTGTGCAGCCTCAAACAAATGACTGCCTCTCTGGACTGGTTTTCTTCCTCTGTGAAACGAGGATGCCTGTTATTTAATCCCTGTAACAACCTGGGGTTGGGGTGACATCATTCCCATGCGAGAGGTGAAGAAATATCTGAACACAACAGAGTCAGCACAGCCTGTAAGCTCCAGAATCTGGACATGAACCTAGGTCTTTATGTCTCCAAAGTCAGTGCTCTGCAGATCAGCGGTCAGTAACCAACATTCCTTTAAAGCCAGGTGTAGTCAGAACAAGCAGGGAAACATCTTGTTTTAGAAAGCAAGGGGTCTGTGGCTCAACAACACTTGAAACCCAGTAATTACGAGACAACCCTGGCTTCAGATTCAGGCTCTGTTCATACTTGTTCTGTAGTCTAGTGAAAGTTACTTAACCTGCTTGGTTTCATTCTTTGTAAAATAAGCAATAATAAAAGTTCTAGGGATATTGTGAATATTACAAGGCAATGCTTATAACATGCTGTGCTTGTGTACAATAAGTGCACCCCATACTAACCAGAGACAACTGTGGCCCTGAGAAAGGAGGTGTCTTATGTCTGAAAGCCTCCATATAAAACTAAGTCAGATTTGCAGAGGATTCCTGAGTAACATTGGGTGTTGGCAGGCATCTTTTTTCCTTGAGTAGGTAACATTCTTGACCTGGTCCTATAGTTTCCCAGACAATGGTGACTGGTGTGTAGGTTGCCTGAGACCACTCCCAGATCCTGAGAGCAGGACCCCTTTGTGTTGGCACCCCTGGGAACATGGGATTTCAGAATGGGGCCTCTCACCATGCCTCATAGTGACTTCCTACTGGTCTTCTCTGGCCTCTTCTGATGGCAGTGGACAGCGGTGGGACAGTGGTGCTGGTCAGCCAGGATGGCATCCAGAGGCCACCCTTCCGTTTTCCTAAGGGTGGTCACCTCCTCCAGTTCCTCTCGTGCCTGGAGAATGGGCTGCTCCCCCATGGTCAGCTCGACCCTCCACTCTGGTCCCAGCGGGGCAAGGTGAGTGGTCGGGAAGCTCAGAAGGATGGCAATGGGAAGAGGTCCTCCTTGCCTCAGGACCTAAGGGTGGTCTCAGGCACTGCCACAGAGATCCTTGCACTGGGCAGGATGTGGGAATGGGCTTAAGAACCTTGCATTGAGACCAGCTCTTTTAGGGCAAAGTGTTTCCCAAACTGCGCAAGCGAAGCCCCCAAGGTTCCTCCGAGTCCACGTCTTCAGATAAGGAGGATGATGAGGCTACAGATTACGTGTTCCGGATCATCTATCCTGGCATGCAGTCTGATTTTGGTAAGCTGCCCTGTCCCCACACTCTGGGCCCACCTGCTCACTGAGCCTGAAAACCGTTCCAGTGCTTGGGAATGGCAGGAGCCCAGAAATCAGGAAGTAAATATCGTGGTAGCCTCAGCTTCCCCCAAAATGAGGACAAATAATTATTCTATACTTGGCTAATGAAAAATTCTGGGCCGAGGTGACATAAGGTAGTGTTGGTGGCATAGGTGCTGGAATCCTGGCTGAACTTGGAACACATTATTTAGTGACTCTTATTTCATTATCTGTAAAATGGCAATGTTTTTAGCACCTGTTTCATAAGATTTCCATGAAAGTTAAAGAAAGTAAGGTGTTTGGTGCACAGAGTGCTGCAATGTTCGTTGTCATTATATAATTCTTGTCAATAGCTGAATTTGGTCTGGGTGTGGTACAGGCCTGGAAGGCAAGTCTGTGCCTCTCAGGTTAGCCTGTGTTGGCACCTCTGATATTCCTTCATGGTGAGTTGGCAGCAAAGCCTTGTGTCCTGCATCACCTAAGTGTGAGTGTTCTCACATCCATCTCTGCCTGGTGTCAGGCTCTGGAGCCCTGCCAGTCTCTGTAGCAGCAGTGTGAGAGTGTGGTACTCAGGCACCATACAAAGTTGTTCTAGCCTGTGGTGAGCAGGTGCCAATAGTGAGGGCGAAATCTCCACTGGCTTGTCCTGTTCATTAGAACCAGGCCTTCTTACCCCCACCAAGACTGATGTGCCTTATAAGCCAGTCACAGAAGCAGCCAGATACCTGTATCTGCCTTTGCAGGAACCTCTCCCATCACCCAGATCTCTATCAACGGTTAATCTCTACCGAGAACCAACTGAGTGCCAGACCAATCTGGGGACTCTTTATGTTGCCCTGTTTGGGCTTGACATGGTCAGAGGAGCAAATGCCACTCTGCCCACCCACAGAACTTGGCATTTTCCATACTGTTCACCTGCCAGCTGCCTACCTCAGTGTCTCTTTGCCCCAGGGTCTCTTTGGCCATGAGGGTCCTTTCTCCCCAGGACTGGGCATATTGGAATCAGTGTCTTCAGGTAGCCTCAGCCTGTCACCCTGCAGGTGAGCAAGCTCTGAAGTATGTCTTCTTCACAGTCACCCAGGGGCCTCCTAGAGATCACAGCAGAGCAGAATTTCTCCTACTGAAAACTGCTGAAACAGAGAAAAGAATCCATCACTGTGTGCAGCACCACCACTGCCATGTAGTCACCTGACTCATCCTGTTCAGGGCTCATTTCCGGCTCTGGAGAGGATATGGCAGCATTCCCCACCCAGGTTCATATTTGGAAAGGTTAGAGTGATGACTCATAAAACTCCTGGACACCTGCTGTGGGCCCAGTGCTTGGCAGATGCTCAGCAAGCAATCACGGGTATTGTGTACTGAGTGCTGTGGTACCAGGCCCCTTCTGTACTCTCATCCTCAGCAGTCCTGCCAAGCAGCAGCAGATACCACTGTTGTCATCACCATCCATTTTGCAGAGTAGAAAAGCATAGAAAATTTAACTGATCGAGCCACACAGCTAATTCTTGCCATGGCTGGGCTTTGAATACAGGTGGTCTGGCTCCAGATCCTGTGCCAGTAATCATGACTCCAGGTATGGTGTTCTGTCTGGCAGGGGAGAGAAGGCCTTGGTGTTCTATCTCCCTCATCTCATGGTCAGATACAGCCTACATAGAAATGTAACTCTCCTTGGTTGAAATTCTCAGGGGCCTGCACCACATGTGGGTCAACAAAAGCAGTCATTTTTAGGTTTCCATCTGTGACAGGTATGAAATAATTTATGAAGTAGTGCCTGAACCCCCTCCTTATGGACTACATCTAGTCCACTGCCTGTTTTTTGGTGTTTTGTTTTGTTTTGTTTTGTTTTTGGTTTGGTTGGTTTGTTGGGCTTTTTTTTTTTTCATTTTTAAAGAAGAAATAATTAAAAATAAAACAATCTCAAAACAAGTTAGTAGGAAAGGAACAGTAATTAATACATTGCATATTGTCTTCACAGTAATTATTCACAGAGTACAAGATATAGGTATGATATCTTTTCCAAACAGTATTAGCACACCCTTCAATGAACTAAAAGAAATTAGCTGTATAACTATCTTTATCTTGTGTATAAATATTTTTTCTTTTTCCCTTTCTTCTTTTCTCCTTTCCCCCCTCACAATTTGTCTTTTTTTTTTTTTTTTTTTGGAATGGTCTCTTCCCAATTTACAATCTCTTTTGTGCATTTTGAATCTTACTTACTTGTTCATTTTCTTACACTAGTGAGGTAATTTTGAGGTGAGGGGGAGTACTAGAAATCAAACTAAGGACCTCGCACTTGCCATCCAGGTGCTGTACCACTGAGCTATATCCCTGTCCCTGGCTGGTTTTTTGTAAACAAAGTTTTATTAAAACATGCTTTTATGTATTATCTGTGGTAACTTTCAGGCTACAACAGCAGTGTCCATTAATTGTGGTAGTGAGCATGTGGCAAACAAAGCCAAAAACTATTTACTGTCTGGCCCTTTATAGAAAAGTTAGCAGATGCCTGCCATAATAAGAAAAGAATCTCAGCCTGTGGGAGGGAGGAACTGACCCCAGATGGTTCTAAACTGCCTTCCAGTGTCTTAGCACCCCTCCTGAGCCGCTTGATCCTCTGCTTCCCCTTGTTCCCCTGGGAGGCAAAGACAGGTTCTAAAGCAGTTCTGGTGAACCTCTTAGTATACAATCTACTGTGGCATACGCGCATGTCATAGGTTCACCACGACAGATACAGTCATATACTGTTACTCAGACTCCTCTGGTGCTGAGTTTGTCTCTGCTCTTTGGCAACCACAAGCCACCTGTGCCCACTGAGCCCATCTTACATGGCCAGTAGATGTGAGATGCGCTGCAAGTGTGAAAACACACACACAGGGTTTTGAAATCCCTATATGCAAAAAAAAAAAAGAAAAAAAAATCTAAAAAACCTTGTTAGTAATTCTATATTGATTATATGTTAAAATAGTAACACTTTGGATGTAGTGGGTGAAACAAAGTATATTATCAGAATCTATTTCATGTTTCTTTTCCACCTTTATAATGTGGCTCCTGGAAAATTTCAGATTATATGTGTGGCTCTATGGTATTCCTTTTGGACAGTGCTGGGCTGGTGCCAGATTTCTCTAGCTCAGCACTGCTTTGTGTGTGAGCTTGTCTTGTTCCGTGTAGAGTGTCTCTTAACTCTAGCTATGACACACAGTAGGATCGGATGAATACCCAAGTTGCAACAACTAGAAATGTCTGTGAACTTTACCAAAATGGCCCCAGTGGAGAATGAGCAGTGCAGAGAGGTGGGAGCCAAGATGAACACAGTAAAGGAGGCATGAATAAGAGCTCAGAATCAGATCTCCTGGGTTGAAATTTCAGCTCCTCCACTCACTAGCTTAAACATTTCATACTTCAGTTTGCTGATTTGTAAAAAGGATTAATAATAACACTGGACTCAGTGATAACTGTCATTGGTGGAAAGAGAAGGAGGATTTTGGTCATAGGAGAGCAGCTATGTCACTACCTGTGAGGCTTTGTGGAATGGAGCTGTGTCATCACTCTGAGCTTTGGCAAAGTGGGAAGAAGAAATGCATGCTTTAAAGGATCGCTGAGGATGATAAGGCAAATCCCTACCAGATAGGCACTTTATGTCTGCATTCTTTCTTTACTCACACATGGTATATGTGGGAGCTGGGTGGGGAGGAGGGGAGGAGTTTGACCCCAAGGAATGGGCTCTTCTGGTTGTCCCCTCCCCTGCCCACCTCAAACCTTCCACTTGACCGCTTGTTTCTATTTTGTCTCTCAAGTTACTTCCAACCACTCAGGCAACACTTGCTCCATTTCTGTGGGCCCTGCCTGGATGATGGTTCCTGCTGGTCAGTCCATGCTGGTGGTGGCCAGGAGGATTCAATGGGCACAAGCCAGATGGGACACCGCCCACCTCACACTGGCCCCAAAGGAACAGCGCCCCAGTAATGTCTGAGCTCCACCTTCCCCCGGGACTGGGTGCCAGCCATCTCTGCCATGTTGTCATTCCAGTGTTGGTCCCAGGGGAGTTGGGAGGAAGACACAAATGGGTGCCTTTTGGGACTGTCCAGCCTCCACACTGCAGACAGCAACTGGGGATTTTGTGGGTATGGTAGGGAATCCATTGGTGAGGCTCACATTGTATGAGGGGTTGAGGTGGAGGCTTAGGTTGCTGTACATGTGCTGAACTGATCCGAGCTGGCCTGGGGCTTTCTGAGAACTGGAGATGTTTTCCTAGGACATTTTATAGGTCTCACTGGCCTTCTTAGCCAGCTCACTAGTGAGTGTGGTTTGGGAGGAAGAGTATGACAAGAACTACATTCTGCAGCAGCTTTATCTGTATCGGGGTAGGGCTGGCCCTGTCAGCTGCTGAGCTTTGTGACACATGGAGCCAGGTCCACACTCCTCACAATTCAAAGGAAGAGTCACAGTCACCCCAGCTATAATTGAGTGGTCATGGCTTACAGGGAAAATACTCACTCTTGTGAGTAGAGATTGGCCCACATGCCAAATCCAACTTCATTCTGTACAGCCCTACGGCCCATGAGCTGAGAATGGTATTTATGTTAAGTGACTGAACAAAAGAATGTTTTGTGACATATGAAAATAATACAAAGTTCATATTTGAATGTCAACAAAGTTGTGTTGGAACATCCCCATACTTGTTTATATGTGTGTCTGGCTACCATTGCCTTGTGACAGCAGAGTTGAATATAGAAAGGTTTACTGAGCCTTATCATAGAGAAAATGAGAGTGTTGCCCTCATCTAGAACTTCCAAGAGACCAGGAAGCAGACTGAAAAAAATCAACACATATGCATATGTCACTGCATGTCTGCATGCATGCATGTTCTGCATGTTTGAGACTGAGTGAGACAGGGCAGGCAGCTGTGAATCACTAGTGTCCAAGAGTTAGAGCAGGGTCTCTCCAGTGGGACTGCTATATCCACATTGTTATAAAAAGATTTGCTGAGCATAGTAGTAGATTCCTATAATTCTAGCACACTGAAAGGCTGAGACAAGAGAATCGCATTTTAAACCCAGGCTAGGCAATTTAGTGAGACCCTATTTCAAAATCTAAAACGGCTAGGAATGTAGTTCAACATGAAAGACCAGAGTTCTATGTCTTGTGCCATAAGAAAAGTAAAAATACAGATTTGGGGCTTAATCTGCATGTGGTTTTAATTCAATAGGTAAGGGTTATAGGAGGGGCATATGGCTTTTTAATAAGTCCTCTCAAGGTTCTGGGGATTGCCAGTCTGGACACACTTAGTGCAGCATTGTGGTTCAGGACCATGGACAGCACTCTCAGCGCACTCTGGGTCTCCTGTTTTAGGATGCTCTTTATGTTCTATTGAGATAGGCTCCCCTTGCACACCACCAGGAGCACCCAAGTACTCAGCAAGCTCCGATCCTCTCTCTCAGAATCCTGTGAGCACAACTAAGTGACAACATGGCAAGGCGGCTGGCTCTGGAATTGGGCTTGTTTTCTTGGTTTTAGTCTCTTCTTATCTCTTTGGCTTTTGTCAGCTATGTCCATATGCTGGAGCTTCCAAATCATGGTGGTGGCTTTCATTGGATCAGTAACTGTCAAAGGCCGATGTCAGACTGTGATTGGGTTGTATTTCCTACTTTCACATTGGAGGTCTTTCCCTGTCCCTGTGCCACCCTGGTGGAGAGCTAACTGCTTTGTGGTAAGGCTTCTGTAACACATACATACTTAACCAGGGCACTTCTTCTGCCTCTTCCACATACCACAGTCCCCCAGGATCTGATGGATGTCTCTGTGAGCAACCTCCCATCCCTATGGCAACCCAGCCCCCGGAAATCCTCCTGTTCATCCTGTTCACAGACTGGTTCAGCTGATGGAAGCTCAAACAGTGGTTGCAACCATGAAAGGTAGGAGGAGCTTGCACTGTGGATGAGAGAGACTGAAAGGTTGATCAGAGCCTTCGATGCCTATTTCTTGCCATGCAATTAATTTGGAGTCATGAACATAGGCCTATGGAATCATCCAGGGCCATGTTAAACCTTGGACTTGTGTAGTCCTGGCCACTGGAACTTGCTTATGTTTGGCAGGACCAACAAGGTTATGGTATGGTAGCAAACAGTTCTGGAATCTCATTGGCTTTCTGTGGAAAATTTTATCTATCGCATATGCTGTATGTCTATCATAGATCAGCTGAGAGTCACCTTTGTCCAAACCAAAGTTCCTAGCTGATGGAGCAGCCATTGTTTTGAAGGTTGCCAGATAGAGTGGCAGTGGGGATGATACTCTGGAAGGTCTTAACAAGAAATGTTGGTTATTTCCACTCCCAACTCATTGGCTCTACCCATGAGGAGCCAGGAAGTGTACCCCTACCGTGTGCTTAGAAGGCAGAAACCAGAAATACTACTTAATGACAGCCACCTTTGTCTCAGTTTGCTCTTCTACAAAATGCTTACTGCATAGGAGTGTAAGGATCAGATCAAATAATGATTTAATGTGACCAGATACTTGATACATGGTAGTGTTGGATAAACGACAATTTTATTGCACAGAAGTAATTCTCAAGTACATCTTCCTCCTTGCCCACAGAGTTCCTGTCTCTTTGAACTCAGCCAATTCACAAGAATGGTCTGTTTCCTACTGGGCAAGCCAGGGAGAAAGCAATCCTTTTGTCCTTGCTAGGTGTTTGTCCTAGTGGGAGGTCCAGTCTTTAGCCACATGTAAAGAGTCTGTACTTAATATAACCTCAAGAACATGTGTATGTATTTAAACATGAGAAGTTTTAGTGTAACTGGGGATTCTCAAACTTTGAGACCTGGGGGAGGCAACAAAGCATACTGATTCCAGGTCTACTTCCTCAATGTCCTGCTTGAGGGAGAGCTTTATGAGGGGCCTAGGAATCTACAGGTTAGAGAAACTCCAAGTAGTTACTGAGTTGGCCCAGTTGTCTCTGTGGGCCATTTATGAATGCTGTTCTACCCAGCACTCACTTCCATAGTGTATCCTTACTGCCTGTCGTGATGGGAAGCTCTCTACCTTGCAGAACATCAAGCCTGCTGTGCAACAGTTTTCAGTGTGATGCTTTTCTCATGTGTCATAAGTAAATCTGAATCTCAGCAGCCTGAGGGCACAAAGGGGGCCTCTTTAATCATTAAAGCTTCTTCTCTAGTTCTGTGTTTCTTTGGGTGTCCACTGCTGTGCCCTAAGAATGAATATGGAGATACCTCCATTCTGTCCTCTGCAGAAGAACATGACAGTTCATGTGGCAGTCTTTGTTTCTCCTGCAATGCTAGGGGGTCCTCTCCTTTCTTTTAGTCAGAACAGCACCTAAAAATTCCTGTGCAAAGAGAAGCTTTAAAGCATCAAGGTGCCTTGCAATCAGCCAAATTCTGAATCCCAGTTTGGCTCACGAGGAACTCTTTCTGCAAGTGACAGAATCTTAATTCAGACTGGTTCAGGAAAAGAAAGATAAAAAACATGTTGGCATAACTGAGTTCAGATGCACAGTAGTTTCAGGCCTGACCTGATCCAGATAGCCAAGATAAGAATTTCTGTTTCTTCAGATGTTGTGTCTGCTTGCCTTTACACTAGTTCCTCATACAGTGGCAAAGGTGTTTCCAGCAACTCTGACCATTCACCCTGCTACTGCAGAAAAAAAGTCTATTTCCTAGTGAAACATTTCCAGGGTTGATTCTCATTGGCACAGTTGGGTCACCTGACACCTCTGAGCCAAATACTATGACTCCATCCTGGATCATGTAATAATAGAGTTATCCAGCCACAGAGACTTATGGAAGAGGTGGTTCTTCAAAGAAAAATCTGGATGCTGATTGCAAAAGGACAGTCATGCTGCTGGGTGCATCGTAATATTAGCAGCCCATGCTGCAGTCCCCCTGCTGGCTGATTTTAATCTACCCTCAAAAGTAAATGAAGTGAGGTCCTGTTCAGACAATCTGCTGAATGTGGTTCTTGTTCTAAGCATCTTCTCTCTGTACTTGCAGGGCTCCTCTGAAACTGCTCTGTGACAATATGAAGTACCAGATCCTTTCCAGAGCCTTCTATGGATGTATGTATACATATTCATTGCTGGCGTGGTATCCACAGAGCATTTATTGAATGGCTACTGTATGTCAGCAGTAGCAGGGCAAGGAGCCAGACTCTGTAGTCTAAACTTTTGCTTTATTTTTTAGTTTCCTGGTTTTGATGAAATTGCATTAACCTCCAGTTTCCTCATCTATAGATTGGGTGTACATTTTATCTTTGGGTCCTAAAAAGAGGGTGATTGGTGAACACTGGGAACCCAGGTCAGGGGTTTGGTTTAATCTGTACCCCAAACCCCACTTTGGAGGATTCGTTTTCAAGATTGGATGAGAAGGTTTTATAAAGCCCCTAATACCTCATATCACATGTTGTAGGTGCTTCATAGATGTCTGTTCTCTTCTTTTGTGGGAAGAATAATGTGATCTGATCCTGTTTTCAAAACTTTGAAATTCCTTATTCAGTATTTTATTCTGATAGCTCTCATGTATCAGATGAGGAAAATAAACCAGAGAAGCAAAAGGAGCTTCCCAGGATCACATAGTTAACAGGAAGAACTGACACTGGAACGTGGCCTGCCTACCTCCTGAGGCTTAGTTATTTTTCCTATCTGATATATTGATTCTTAGCAGATTTTATTTCCCTAGCCCCATGGCCTAGATGGGGGAGATAAAGCATGCATTTTCAGGCTTTCTAGAAAAGTCTTAATCTGACCCCACCATGGGCCTGTGTGTGCAGTAGCAGTGCAGGTCAATTCCTGTGTGCGTGGAGAGACACAGAGATCATGCGCTCCAATCAAGGTTTCCTCTGTCCTGTTGCCACCATCCTCAGAGCTAGTGCAATGCCTGGCATGGGTCAGGCACTGGGCAAGTGTTTATCAGACCCAAACGAAGATCTTCTGGCAGAAGGAGTGGTGTGGAGCTGGGTCTGGAATGACATTCACATGTCATATCCCTCATGATGGTCAAGAACACAATTTGAGCCAGGCCTGGATCTAAATTCCTACTGTTTGTAGTGGTGTAACTTGGGCAAACAATATAATTAATCTGTGCCTAAGATGGAGGTGATAATAGTACCTGCAGTCGAAGTAAAAAATGAGTTAAGTGATGTAAACTTTCAGAGCAGACTTTGGTACATAGCATTTGCTATGTAAGTGACAACTTTCCTGTCATTGTCTTCATCACCATGTTTATCCCCGTTGGGGATAAAATATCCTTAGACTTGGAGGTCCAGATTCTCTCTAGGATTGGGGACAACATGGCTAGAGAGAGTCAGGAGAAAGGGAAGGGTCAGAGAAAACAACAGAGGCTGGTACATGCCAGGAGCTTCCTATGTTGGGCATGGGTGCCCAACACCCTGCAGGCGTAGGGGGGCAGCCCATAAGAGGCGGCATTGCAGGCATTCTTTGAGAGGGGCAATGCTGTCATTTTTTTTAACTCACTGGACTTTTCTTTAGCTGCAGTTTGAACCAGAGTCCATGTCTCACATTCCCTTTGTGTGGACTGAGGGCACAGGCAAGCACAGGAAGCCCATGGAATCCCTGGTACCATTTCTCCACATCCCTTCTTTGCCAGCATGTCAGTTAAATGTGTCAGCTTCTGACATAGGAAGGTGGTGTTACCCTACCCAAGACTGAGAAAGGTGACAAAACTTACCTAGGATTAAGCAGTCAAGCCAGCAAATGACATCACCCTTTTTTCCAAGTCTCACTTTCTTTGTCTGGAAAAGGAGATAACGAGAATTTGTTCAGTATGGGGCCCAGGAAGCTGGGGAGTGAGACAGTATTTCTAAGACTCTATGAGACAAGGCAAATAGAATTGTATGGTAGACAATGATGCTTTCCTTCCCTGTCCTATAGGGCTTGCCTACTGCAGACACTTGTCCACGGTAAGGACCCACCTGTCGGCCCTTGTCAACCACATGATTGTTTCTCCAGACATGCCCTGTGACGCTGGGCAGGGGCTGACAGCTGTGATCTGGGAGCAGTACCTTCAGGACAGCACAGTAAGCCTGGGCAGGGCTTGGGCTGCAGAAGAATGGATGCTATTGTGTCTTCTGAGAAATAAATGCCCCTCGTGGTGGGGACTCAATATCACATCCCTAGGTCACCCGTATGCACATTGAAGGACACTTGTATTCTCAAGAGCTCTGCCTGTTAGGGTTAAAATTGAGGGACTGGAAAACATATACAGGTTAGCATCCAAAATCCCTAACTTTTTGAGCAGAGACTTGACTCCACAGTGGAAGATTACATGTACAGCCACTTGACCTTAAACGACAGGTCTTAGTCAAAACGTACTTGCACTAACAATACCTGTAAAAAATTACCTTCAGGCTATTCTAATAAGGTATAGAAGAAACACATGAACTGGGTCCCTTCCCCCAAACTATTTCATTGTATGTATGAAAAAAATTACAGAATCTGAAATCCAAAACACTTTTAGTCTGAAGTATTTTGAATGAAAGGTATTCAATCTGTGTGCTTTCCTGAGAGTAAAGAAGGTGTCACTTGGCAAGCATTTATTAGTGAGCACTAGTCGTACACTCCATCCTGCACAAGTAGCTGTGATATGTATCTAGCTACATGAAATTTATGGTTTATGTGAGACTGAAAGAAGAACACTGGAGTTTGAGGGAGGCAGCCAGATCATGAAGATCTTTTTTGCCACCACTAGAACTCTTTTCTCCCGTCTCCATCTTTGGGCTTAACATTCTATAGATACTTCACCTAAAGATAGTTGTTCCTTAAATGCTTTCTAACATTTCCTTGGTAAAATTCAAATGTCCCTGGAAGGAAAAAGTTTATATTTAAAAAATTTTATCATCAACTGGTTAGGGAAGCTAAGTGTGGTGGTACATGCCTGTAATTCCAACACTTTGGGAGACCAAAGGAAGAGATTGCAAGTTTGAACTCAGCCTGGGCAACTTGGTGAATTAGTGATGCCTTATTTCACAGTGAAAAATTTTAGAAGAGGCCTGGGGAGATAGCTCAATGGAAAGGCAATACTCCCTAATGGTGAAGTTTTTAAGGTTAAATAGTTTTGTATATTCAGTGGGACCTCCAATAACTCAAGTTATGCCAGTACCCTGGTTACATTCAAGAAATCAGGGTTATGGAGGCAAGTATGTGGAACTATAATGGTAAACATTTTAGAGTTTTCTTTGATACAGCCTGCTGCAGCATGCTTGCCATAGATTTGTCACAGTGATGTAAAACATTCTCTTTAGATATATTTGACTACAGAAAATTTGATTGGAAAAGTGCATCCCATGGTTTATGGAAGGCAGAACTCACTTTGGGGAGGACTAGTTTATAACAAGAACAGGATTCTGGAGAAGGCACCTGTTTCCTCCACCTGTGTGACCCTGTGGCCCTATTGGCTTTGTGCTTTTCCTCCAGGTGCTGAAAAAGCCAAGCTTGGGAGCACCTGGAGTGGGCAGGTTCCCATACCATGTCAGAAGCTGCTCTTTGAGTTTTCCTGGGGAGCGGGAAAGTTGCCAGGGGAGTCAGTGGGAAAAACATAATTGGTTCCCAAGCCTGGATTAAAAGAATTATTTTTCTTTTCATCAGAAATAGTTTTTTAAATTACAGAAGTAATTTGTAGCAATTCAAAGAATAAAAAATGAAAGTATATAAAATGTAAAAGTTATCATCTCCATGATGCCCTGTGTGAATGATCAGTCTCACTTGTTGTAGGATATTCTTCATACTGCATATGCTTAGGTATAGCAGTATCTATATCCTTGTACTTTACCTATATCTCTGTATCTATAGCTATAGACACAGAGCCATATGGAGTCATGTATAAAGCTAATATATATTCATAGCTTTTATATATATATATATATATATATATATATATATATATATATATCTGTAATACATAAGACATTAGCTATATAGCTCATCTGTATTTTTAGATATAAATCTGCATAGCTATGAATATGAAGATTTATAGATTTGTATTTGTGTATATGTTATACAGGTTATATTTCTATATCTATTGTATTTACATGGATTTGTTACCTATACCTAGGTATCTGTGTCTTACTTTTGATCTGTTATGAATAGATAACTATCACATAGAATATATAAGTAGGTAAACCTATGTAAGGTATTAATAAGGTATAGAAGTCTCTACCTCCATAATATTTATATCTGCTTACCATATCCCATATTTTTAAATGTGCTAATGTTGTATATACTTGTATTTTATGTGACCAACTTAATTTTATGTCCAATGAATGAATACACATCTTCCAGATTTCTAAATGAGATTTTAAATGTTACAACCTTGTACCTCATATGAATAACCTATAGTTTACTCGCATCTTCCAGTAACAACAGACATCAGGGTTCATCCTTTCTCTTTTTAAACAGTTACTTCACAAATGTTATTGCAGTTGACATAGTTATAAGCGCAGATCTTTCTGGATTGATACTTTTATTTTCAGGAATGGATTCCTAGAGGTAAATTGATCGCCGTGTGTTTAAATTTTAAATACATAAGCGAACTTACTTTCTGAGAAGGTCAGAAGGCTCATAATCGCCGCAGACTCTGAGTGTGCATGTTTCCTGAGTAATTTAAAACATTTATGATTATTCAGCTCCACTCCAGCTCGAACTAATTTAGCATTTCCCAGAGTGGAGCCTAAAAGTCTCTGTATTTTGTAAGTTCCCCAGTGCTTTGGTGATCTTCCCAGTTTGGAAGGCATCAACCTAAGGACAAAACAGTTGAAACAATTAATTGACCAACAATAATTATTTTTTACTTAATGTATACTCTTCCCAGAGTGGCCACATTTTTACCGCCTTGGTTTCATTGTCATATTAGGTTAGATCGAGCACCAGTAATAGCCCCACTATTTGAGTTTTTGATACCATGGGGTTTTACTTCTTGCTCACTTAACAGTCCTGGGTGGGTGTTTCTGTTGAGTAGGCAGCTGTCCTCCCCTCAGAGATTAGGACTCCTTCAGTTTGTGATCCCACCATTCTTCTAGGACCTTACGGTCAGTTACCTCCAGACAGCAGGAGGGAAAATAGTGGGAGGAGATGTACCTGCCATTTGCCCTCCTTGACCTAAAAATGGCTTACATTACTTTCTCTCACAGCTGCCACAATAATTTTTAAACAGCTTCACAAAGCTGTCTACATAATGTAAGTCAGAATTTCCAAGCGACAAAAGAATGGCTGGTTTTTCCAGTGTGGTTGGTTCATCTAAGAGCAGGCTTACCGTGCAAAACAGACTTTTAATGTTGGAGTATGCAGTGAAGAGGTGAGAGATAGCAGGGCAAGCACACATGCAGACGGGGCCTGCTGTCCCCTCAGCTCAGCTAATCCTAACAGAGCCTTTGCCTGAAAATGAATTTCCTAAGTGGGCATGATAAGATCCACATACAATATAGCAGACAGGTATTAATATTCATGCTAGTGTGCATAAAGTTATAAGTGTATGCAGTTGCAGCTAGATGTGTTCACTTTAGATTAATTCACTTCAGAGTACTTTTCTTAGAGCTAAGTCATATTTCCCAAGAGGCACAGCATGAAACATTGAAATTTAAATAGAAATGTTAATTGGTTATGTACTAGCCTTTTTTATTTTCTTTATACAGGGGTTTATTCTGGACGCTGTGTTCTTGGTTTTTTGTTATTTTTCACTTAATACATACTGAATATTTTTCATATAGTTGCTCATAGACGGACCTCATTCCTTTTTTAAATCTCTTGTTGGGTACTCATATAGGTACATGTGGTTCCCCATTGGTGGGCAATTGGGGTAGGGAATTGCTTACATTTAACTTTTCCTTTGATGTTCCAGTGTATATCCAGGTACATAGGACTGTGTTTATTCATGCCAAGATCTGTAAGACTGGGTCTGATGGGGCTGGGGATTTAGCTCAGCGGCATAAGCACCTGCCTTGCAAGCAGGCGGTCGTGAGTTCGATCCTTGGTACCGATAAAAATGAAAAAGACAAAAAAAAAAAAGACTGGGTCTGATAAGCAAGACTTCTGGGCCACAGAGCCACTCCCTAATTTTTGGTAGACTAAACCCTTTGCTTCCCCCACTATTGCAGCGTTATGAGGAACAGGAGCTGCTTCGCCTAATCTATTATGGAGGCATCCAGCCAGAGATCCGCAAGGCTGTGTGGCCCTTCCTCCTTGGCCATTACCAGTTCGGAATGACGGAGTCAGACAGGAAGGAGGTCAGTTAACCGTGATGGATAGTAGGATGTTTGCCTACCAAAGGAAGCCAAGTACTGTGGGGTGAGGGAGCTCTGGTTCCATGTTAAACCAAGGTGGGCAGGGAGATTCAAGCAAGCTGGGATCTCAAAGATAACACCATCCAACAGGAGAACAACACAAGCCAAATATGTTATTTCTAAGTAAATTCTTCCTTTTGAGATTATTACAAATTTATACACAGTTGTAATAAATAATGCAGAGCTGTGTGTGGTGGTACATGCCTGTATTCTCAGCATTCTGGGAAACTGAAATAGAATCACAGTTCCAAGCCCAGCGTGGGCAACCTAGTGACTTAGCAAGACCTTGTCTTAAAATAAAACATTAAAAGCCAGGCAGGGTATCACACGCCTAAAATCCCAGCACTTGGAAGGTAGAGGCAAGAGGATCACTGAGGCCAGCCTGGACTACATAGTGAATTCAAGGCAAGCCTAAACTACACACACAGCAAAGCCCTGTCTCAAAAAAAAAAATAAATAAATAAATAAATAAATAAATAAATAAATAAATAAAACAAAAAATAAAAACATTAAAAAGTGGGCTGGGGATATAGCCCTGAGTTTAACTCTCAGTACTGCAAAAAAACGAGGGCTGGCGGTTTAGCTCAGCGGCATAAGCGCCTGCCTGGCAAGAGTGAGGTTGTGAATTCAATTCCCATTACCAAAAAAAAAAAAAAAAAACGAAACAAAGCAAAAAAAAATGGAGACCCTAAGTATCCGTAATGCAGTTTTCCTCAATGGTAATAGCTAGCAAAGCTGTGATGTAGTTATGCAGTACAGTAGTAACACAGGGTATCATCATTGGTATGGTAGATCAGTCTAAGTCAGTTTCATATGTACTCTTTTGTTTGTGTGTATTTAGTTGTCTTCACTTCTTTCAAATATGGAGATTTACACTCATCACCACAGGCGACACACAGAACATCTCTGAAGCTGTAAGGATACTATTGACCTTTCATACCTACTCTACCGCTCTCCTAATACTATCCTCAACTCCTGGAAGCCACTAGTCTGTTCTCATTTCCTGCCTGTTAAATAAATGGAATCATATAGTGTGTAACCTTTAGGATTAACTGTTTTCACTGAGCATCAGTTTCTAGAACTCCCTGATAAATCAATAGATACATGTACCCCAGTTTCATGATCCACTTGTGGATGGGTAGCAGTGTTCTTTGCTGGTGTTTGTTTGTTTTTACTATTATGAGCAAAGCTATAGTGGCCATTCATGTACAGATTTCTATATAAGCATGCGTTGTCATTTCCGTGGTGTAAATGCACAGTGTTGCAGTTGCTGGGTGGTACAGCAACTCTAAACGGCCACACACTGGCAGCAGCCACGCCCTTTTACATTCCCCCCAGCCACATGTGAGTGAGTCACACCGGCATCTTCACCAGAGTTTGGTGCTGCCTCTGTCTTTTTGTTTGTTTGTTTTGTTTTTTGTTTTGGGGGGTCTTGGAGTTTCTTTGTTTGGTTGGTTTGCTTTTTTCTTTTTTAGCCGCTCTGGCAGGGGTATATAGGACATTTCATTGTGGTTTTGATTTGCATTTCCCAAATGGCTGGTGAGATTTAGTACCTTCCTGTGTACTTACTGGCCATCATTTATCTTTTGTGAAGTGTCTGCTCATGTCTTTGTGCTTCTTTTTATTAGATTGTTTGGATTTTTACTGTTGGCTTATATACTTTAGATGATCATCTTTATTGGATAAGAGTTTTGCAAGTACTTGCCCCTAGTTTGTACCTTTTCTTTTCACCATTGTGACATCGTCTTCTGCAAAACAAAATTTTTAAACAAGGACATCATGCACAGTAGGCAGGTGCCACACCACTCAGCTACAACCACAGCCACTTTTAAACTTTTTTATGAAATCCACCGTGCCCATTTTTCCTTTTATAGATTGTGTTTTTAGAGTTCAGTCTAAGAACTTTCCAGCCTTCCCTGACTCACAAAATTTCCTATTTTTTTCCTAAAACTTCCCTAATTTTATATGGTACCTTCAAGTCTGTGATCCACTACGAGTTCATTTTTGTTTGATGTGTTATTTAGATTGAGCTTCATCTTTAGGCTGTGGAGTCCTATTGCTACAGCACCCTGTGTTGAAACAATTAGCATTCTCCCACTGAGTTGCTTTTGCACCTCTGTCAAAAATTAGTCGATGTGTTTGTGTCTGTACTTCTGGGTCCTCTGTTCTGTATTTATTTCTATATCTATACTACTGTCATTACCACACTGCCTGTATTACACAGGCACATACAAAATTTTAAATGTTTTAGTAGCCACATTTTAAAATGAGAAGACAGGGTTACTGAGTGTAGCTCAGTAATAGAGCACTTGCCTAGCATGTGCAAAATCCTGTGATCTGAATCACCAGCAACTCAAATAAATAAGTAACAAAAAAGATATTAATATCTTTAAACATTGTATTCTAAAATAATGATAGGGTTATAGAAAGCTGCAAAAATAATACAGAAATTCTGTGTTCCCACCCAGCTGTCCTCTGTGGTAACATCCTATATAAGTTTGAGGATTACCAGCACAAAAAATGATAAATGTTTAAGGAGAGGAAATTATCCTGATTCAATTGCTACATATTATATACATGTATCAAATTATCACAGTGTACCCCATGAATATGTGCAACCACAGTATGCCAGTTAAACCTTTGGAGGGGCTGGGGCTGTAGCTCAATGTACCACATGAATATCACAGGACTTGCATAGCATGTGTGAAGTCTTAGGTTTGCATCCTCAGTACTGAAAGGGAGCTCATAAAGTGTCGAAAAGGTGTTGACCACACAGTAGTACCAGGCTGACCTTTTATCCAGTAGAATCAGAGTTGGTAGAGAGTTAAGGGTGGGAACTTTGTGAGATTCTGTAGGAGAATCTGTGCAGGTTCCCACAGCTCCTGTGAAAGGCCATCCACATTCATCTCATGTCTGCTGGGTCCTAGGCAAACAGTAACTGGGGAGCTAGGCATTACCAGGTGCACTAGGTGAGCTGCTTGCCAGGTATGGAGGCGGCATCAGTGATGTGGTAGAGGCCAATCAAAGGCTGTAGGAGCACCTAAGCCAGGCAGGAGGGGGAGGCTGGCCAACGAAGGTCACTGAAGGAGCTTCTGAGATCCACATTCTTCAAAGGAGTATGCTTTCCAGGCAGAGAGAGAGAAGAAAGACCACAGGGGAGGAGGGCATCAAGAGCACAGAGAGCAGGCAGTGTGATGTGCGGTGTGTCGTCATGGTCCATGGGGCCAGGGGAGGAAGACAAGGTGGACCTAAGTTACTGGAACACTAGGGCCTGGGAATAAGGGCAACTCTGAGAGATGAGGCAGCAGAGGAAATGAGAATAAGGGCTGCTGAGCGGTACATGAATAGAAGAGGGTAAGTTAGTATAAGCAGGGACCTGATAGGAGGCTCCTGGGGTCATCCAATGAGGGGTGGCAGAACCTAGCCTAGGAGGTCAGGGTCCAAGGCTCGGGGGAGTCTCAAGCGAGTTTTGTGAAAACCCAGGCCACCCTTGAACAGCTTGGTCAGACCCCCACCCTCTCTCCTTCCCCTCTGCCTCCTGCCATTTGTGACTAGGTGCATGACAAATTCAGGTCCTTAGTCACCTTGGGCTGTGTGGCTTAAGGGTCAAGGAGAGGGCCCTGTGTCTCTGCTGAGATCCCACCCATGTGGAGACGGCTTGAAAGCTGTGTCCCTTCTCTTAGGCCATAGCTGCATGGAAAGAAACCATGTTGGTTTGATTCATCCTTGTTCTTAGCAGTTAGCCCCATGTTAGGTATCTGAGAGGCCTTCAGTAAATGCATTGTGTGAGTGGATGGATAACTGGATGGATGGATGGATGGATGGATATATTAGATTGCTCATTTTATATTCCATATGCCTAATTTTCTAGCTGGCATACTGTAGATACATATCAGGTTAAAGGAATGAGTAGATGAATAAGTGAGTGAGTTAATAAATGAAGTAGAGAAGGAAGGAATTAAAGAACAAAAATATCTTCTCACTTTGGTCCCTGCAGTGTCTAATAGACCTGACACATTAGTAAGAGCTCAACAAATAGTCGAATAAAAGTGTGTGAATAAATGAATAAAGGAAGGGAGAGAGAAAGGAATTTTGCTGCTTGTGTATCTTGTAGCTAGCCTATTTGAAGCATAACATAGTAGGTACTTAGTTAATACCTGCTGGGTGTTTATTAAAGATGTACCGGATGGCTCAAAGCCTTCTCTTCCATATGGGACTGGCTCTCAGGTGACCTTGCATCTGCCCTGGCAGGTAGATGAGCAGATTCATGCCTGCTACGCCCAGACCATGTCTGAGTGGCTGGGCTGTGAGGCAATTGTGCGCCAGAGGGAACGGGAGTCACATGCAGCTGCCCTGGCCAAGTGCTCATCGGGGGCCAGCCTGGACAGCCATCTGCACCGAATGATGCACAGGGACTCCACCATCAGTAACGAGGTGAGGAATCGAGGCTGAAGGGCACTAGGGGGATGATGACCAGGGTGTGCTCTGTTGGGCTGTTTCTAGAGTGGATATTTGAGGCCTTGGGAAAGTCTCAATGAAGATTCCAAAGATGTAGGGGGGACTTTGGAATCTCATTTGGGTTTATACTGCAGCACTAGTTCCGGCGTCTCCTGCAAGCACCTTCTCTTCTGGGCTTAGTTTCTTCATACATAGGATGCGGACAGTCAAGTGGAGAGAGATTTGTGTATAGCTCAAACAAGATGGTGTATGAAGCATAATCAAAACATACAGTGAATGTACAAGTTTAAAAATTTTATTACAGTAAAAGACACATTTCCATTATTCCCTCATAGTGTTCAAATACACTTACACCATTATTCTTGCCACTTTGTGAAGCAGTTGTTGGAATCATCTTTTGTGTCCAGTTGCACAATCGTGACTACCTCTGTCCCCAGTCAGTTCAAAACATCTACCTTAAGTGTTCATTTTGTCTGTAGGGAAGAGGCAGAAATCTTACAGTACTAGATCTTGTAAGAATGTTTCTTGAAGAATGTTTCTATGAGCCTGCCTTTCCATGAGATGGCACTCAGCAGCAGCATCCACCATATTTTTAATCACATCTTATAAAGACATAAGAGAAAACTTCCAGAACTGCTTCAGAGAATGACAAGAGCAATGGGAGAAATGTGTTTGAGGTGAGGCAGGGTACTTTGAGGAGGGTTAGTAGCAATGTGTCTTTCACGGTAACTTACAAAAATTCAGACTATTTTTTGATTGCCTATATGTATGATAGCAAGCTTAGTACAGCAACAGATGCTTATTGAGTACCTACAATATGTCAGGTACTGTCAGATATGTGCCAGGAACCAAGCAGACATCTCTGGGCTCACAGAACCTCAACTGAACAGCCCATAGCAGGAGCTCAGAAACAGTTCACTCTCCTTACCAAGGCTATGGCATCCTCAGTTGCCAGAGCAACACTGCAAAATAAATAAAAACCACCCCAAACCAAAGATTCCCATCCATCCATATTGTACTCAGTATTTTTGTGCCTGAGTCTGTGGGTGAACTGAGGATCTGTGCTCCAAGTTGGGCTGATGTTGGCTGTGAGTGACTGGTTGCCTACAAAGTTACTGCTGTTGACTGTGCTGTCTGCCCCATCTGAGGGACTTAACTCTGCTCAGTGCGTCTTATCCTCCAGCAGGCTAACCCAGGCTGCTCTCATGGTGAAAGCAGATGTCAGTGGGAGAAAGCAGAAATGCACAAGTATTTTAAGTTTCTGCTCTGTCAATCTGTTGACCAAAGCAAACCATAAGACCAAGCTTAGCTGTAGGGTAGGCAGAGGCAGACATTGTCAAAGTAAGCGGACGAAGGCTTGTACACGGGAAGGGAATGGATAAACGGTTGAGTCAGTAATAGAACCAGTCACTCTGAGTGAAAGTTTAATACCAACCAGAAGTCCCTCAAGTTTAACAAAGATGCTAAAGGTGGGGTGCTCTGGTTGCCACTGATAGGAGATAGGGACCCAGGGGCCAAAATAATCCCTGAAGAGGCTCCTGGGAGCAGGTGTGGTCTCTTCTTTCTTTTGACAACTAGGCAGCTGAGGCTTTTGGAAAGGGACTTGTCCCAGCCAGGAGTAAAGCTAGAACAGACTTCTTATCTCTGAGCCTAGCCTTCCCTCTTGAGCAGGGTAGGACTAGTCTCATCCACTCTACCACCGGCTCCTTTTTCTCTCAGTCCTCCCAGAGCTGCAGTTCCGGCCGCCAGAACCTCCGCCTGCAGAGCGACTCCAGCAGCAGCACCCAGGTGACTGTCCAGCCCCCGCCACCACCCTGGGATAGTGAGAATTGGGTGTCTGTCTTGTACTGGCCACTTTCTGGTTTATGTGTTTTAGCTTTTCATGCTAGAATTAAAAGTGAATTTTTTTTTTAGCGATACAATACTGCCCAACTTTTTGAATCTATTCTCCCTGTAAGATATTAAAACATTGCAGAGAAAACTAAGCAGACTTCTCTTCCTTACCTCACATGCCTTTGAAATAATACCACCTTCAGTGGTCTGCTGTATCCTTTCAGCCTTCCACATGCCTTACATATGCAGAACTATAAAATATAACAACACTTGGTAATTTTTTTAAATTTCTACATAAACTCGATCATGTATGTGTGTTCAATAGTTTTTCATTTTACTCAATGAGGGGATTATACTGAAGAAAAAAGTGCAGAAATGTACATAGTACATCATCTTTTGGTAAGAAAAAAATACTTTGAAGGTAAAAATCTAATTTCCAGTCTGGAATTAGAAAAAGTTTACACGTGTTAAATCAATCAAAAAAAAAAAAAAAACCGCTTAAAACAGAGATGTGTAGCTCAACGGTAGAACACTTGCCCAGCATGCGAAAGCACTTGGCCATCTGGGCTTTATGCCTAGCACTGCAAGAATATACATGTGAAACTAACTATAAACCCAGTTGAAGAGATGCAGCCTAAGGATATAAAGGACCACAAATGATGAATCTTTAAAACATATTCTGGAGGGGCCAGGGATATAGCTCAGTGGTGCAGTGCCTGCCTAGCAAGCGCAGGGTCCTAAGTTTGATTCTTGGTACACACAAAAAAGAAAGATTCTGGAAATATTTTCATAGTATTTCATACATAGCTAACTGGTTTTGAAAATTGATGGTGATAGCTCACCACATGGATATAGTAAGGTTTTTTTAGCCTGTTTATTACATTAACTTTTTACTTAGAAAAAAATTATATGCACATGGTGAAAGCTTATATGAAAATATTGTTCTCTCCTAGTGTACTCTTCTTGGAGCCCACAGTGGTGCTTTGCTGTTTCTAAATCATTATATGCCTGTGCCAGCACTCAGACCTCTTATTTCTTTGTCGCAAGTGGACACCTTGTTCTTCTTCACCCCTTTCACTGATGATGTAACGTTCCCCTGCATGCGTGTTCATTCTGAAACCTGTTTCCCGGTGTGGGATATTTATGTTGCTGCTGTGTGTGGTGCTGCCGTTCACATCCTAGCCCATCTGTCTTTTGTGCCTTGTCTACAGGTGTTTGAGTCCGTGGATGAGGCTGAGCAAGTAGAAGTAGAAGGCAGGTTGGAGGAAAAACAGCCCAAAATCCCCAATGGGAACCTGGCAAATGGCACTTGCTCCCCAGATTCCGGTCATCCTTCTTCCCACAACTTCTCCTCCGGCCTCTCAGAGCACTCAGAGCCTAGCCTGAGCACGGAAGACAGTGTCTTGGATGCCCAGCGGACTATCCCCCCTGTGCTTCAGCCTGGGGACAGCAGTGTGGATGACGGACAGAGCAGCGAGGCCACCACTTCACGGGATGAGGCCCCTCGGGAGGAGCTAGCTGTGCAGGACAGCCTGGAAAGCGACCTTGTGGCCAACGGAAGCATGGATGAGTTCATGTCCATCACTGGCAGCATGGATGTGGCCCTGTCTGAAAAGGATGGTGCTGCAATGGAGAGCTGGCGGGGTGGGGAGGAAAAGCACAGCCAGCTGGACAGTGAGGACAACCTCTCAGAGGAGCCAGAAATGGAAAGTCTCTTCCCTGCTCTGGCTTCTCTGGCTGTGACTACGTCTGCCAACAGCGAGGCATCCCCTGTGTCTTCCAGTGGTGTCACCTATTCTGTAAGTCACCAGGACTCTCTTTTACCCAGGCTTTGTTTAGTTTTGTTTTGTTTTTTTGCCTGCAGCTGTGTGGTTGGGGGGTAAGGATGTACCACAGCCTCATTTATCCAGAATGACCCAGGAGTGACAGCACTGGTTTGTTCCATTTTACCTATCATGGAGGAGTCACTGTAGAAGTCAGTTTGGAGAGACAATAATTGGGAGAGACAGTGATACAGGTTGAGCATCTCAAATCCCAAATTGGAAACGCTCCAGACTGACACAGGACATGTACCTGTTGTCTCAGCCATTCTGTCAACCAAAGCAGGAGCTTCTCTTGGACCTGTGAGTGCAAGGCTAGCCTAGGCAAACAGTAAGACCCAGGTCAAAAGCTAAAAACAAAAGTGCTCCAAAATCTGAAACTTTCTGAACATGTAATTGATCCCACAATGGAAAGTTTCACACCTGACTACATTATATGTTGCAAAGTGCACAAAATTATTTGGAAGGTGTGTATGAAACATCCGTGTGTTTCAGGTTTAGACTCAGGTCCTGTCCCCAAGAATATCTCACTATGTGCATGCATATGTCTCAGAAGCCCAAAATAATCCCCAATGCTCGGGTTCCAAGTATTCAGATAAGGGATATGCAATAGGCAGAGTATTATAAGAAGACAGTCTTGGAAATAGTGGCATACACCTGTAATCCTAGCTTTCAGAAGACTTGAATCAGGAGAATCTCAAGGTCAAGGCCAGCCAGGGATAGCAAAGCTTTATCTCAAAACCACAAATAGCCTTTGCAGTGAACAGTTTGGGGTTTGAATTCTAACTTTAGCGTATCACTTTTATCTTTCTGTGCCCTTCTGTCTGTCTAGTACTTTCATTCCCTAGTTATTTTCAAAATTAACATGCTGAACTACGTGTTTGTCATATAGTAAGCTCTGGATTGGTGACAGTATTCATATCAGGGTTTCAACTTACATATCAGGGTTTCAACTCAGATCAAATATCCTTTAAATATTCGAGTTTGGTTGTTTGCCGGGAAGTCAAGGCCAGAGGATAGCAACTGAAAGGGAAAGGATGCCATGTATTCATTTTCTTTTAAAGAATTTATTTCAGGGGCTGGAGGTTTAACTCAGCGGCATAAGCACCTGCCTTGCAAGCAGGCAGTCGTGAGTTCGATCCCCAGTACCAATAAAAAAGGAAAAAGACAAAAAAAAAAAAAAAAAAGAATTTATTTCTATCAAAGATCTACAATCCCATAATTTAGGAGTCAGAGACTATGAAAAGGCAGATCCAAACACCAGATGTCTAGCTATGAACAGTGGCTTGCAGTTATAGTTCTGGCTATCGAGAAACTGAAGCAGGAGGATTGCTTGAGCTGAGGAGTTCAAGGCCAGCCTTAACAGTATAGCAAGAATCTATCCCCAAGGAGAGAAAAAGGAAGTTGATTGATGAGTTTTCCTAAACCTCCCCAGAAGCAGTCGCACTACTTGTGCTGCCCAAATTGCTTGATTTTGTTCCATAGATATTCTTGTATTGCTACTTCTTAGTCTTATTTTTTTCAGTGTTAAAAAATTATCAATTGACCTCTCACTATGAAAGAGGAGGATTTAGCTCCCATTCCCACCATTGCCCCAAGCCATCACCAACCAAATGATCCTATCCCATTTTTTTTAACATAAGAAAGCAGTGTAAGAGACATAAATTTTAAAGCAAGACAATCAGAGATCTTCACTATCGTACAGTCTCATTTTCTTCCAAATAGTTCTCCATTCACACGAAACAACACAGTACAGAACTGATCTGAACAGGATGAAGAAGGCATTTTAGGTCTTCAAGACCACAATGGCTGCCATAGTGTCTCTCATTCTCTTCAAATTAGCTGTCCATATCTTCATGTATGTTGAAATTATACAAAACAAAACAGGCTAAAATCACTCTGAACAAAGAATAATAGTATTGCTGGATTTCACATCATGATGCTACGGAATCAGCACTGGGTACTATAGTGTGTCTTTTCCTTCAAAGTAGTTGTTCATTTTATCATGCGTTATATAATCTGTTCTCATAAACTATAGATTCTATGCATGCATGAGTCTCTACATGTATTTCTATCCTTTCTATATTAGAGGGAAAAACAAAGCAAGACAAAACAGAACAAATTTCTATAAAAACGTGAAAAGAAAAAGTCATATAAAACCACAGTACAAGATGATCTACAATGGTTACTGTGTTGTCTCTTGTTATCTTCAATAGAATTGTCCATATCAGGCATAATTGAATATAGCAGTACGTAACAATATTATTAAAAACAAAGCATTGTAGACGTATAAACTTCAAAAGCAACTAATAATCAAACCAGAGTGAGTATCTTAGTGGATCTTGTCAACTCCAATGTAGTTGCCTATACTCTCAGACTTGATACTACCAATTATAACAGATTTGAATAAAATCGGTCAATACAAAACAGCAGTGTAACCAACCAGATTCAACTAAGATCAGTCATGATAAAACAGTGTAAGTCAAAGGGCTTCAGATTAAGTTAATAGGAAATTAAGGATGATTACTATACTATATCCTGCTATTTTTGGGATAGCTGTCTGTGCCCTCAAATCCAGTACAAGTAAACCAACTGGAACAGAATATAATCCTTCTAAACAGAGCAGTGTGAGAAATGTGGGTTTTAAATCCCAATACACTATTAACAATATCCTCTAGGGCTGGGGATTTAGCTCTTTGCAAGCTCATGGTCATGCGTTCGATCCCCAGTACTGATAAAAACAAACAAACAACAACAAAAAAAACAATATCCTCTGCCTTCTTTTTTAAGCCTATTCCTCCCCATTCATTCCCACAGGGTGCTGTACATTTTGGTCCCCCAACTCCCCCAGTTTTTAGAGTGGGGGCAACCTGCTATTTATCTAAGTAGTTCTGAAACTTCTCACTCCTGAACTTGATCTCAAGTTGTATTCCTTTACCTACAAATACCTCAAGGTTTTCATTCATTATAGCTGAGTAGATCTGTACTGCACATAAGTATCCTATCTTTCCAGCCTATCTACAGGTGCTGGTCAAGTTGCCCCTATTTCTCTCTGGTTCCCTGTCACATAGAGCATATATTTGATTTTCAGTCCATAAACCCTTTTTCAGGTTAATTATATTTCTTATACAGAGCATTTCAGTGGGCCCTACCTCCTGATCTACTCTGCCAGTGTTTCTTTGTGTGTGTGTGTGTGTGTGTGTGTGTGTGTGTGTGTGTGTGTGTATCAAGGCCATCTATGTTAGCCAACCTTCTCTGCCTCATTTCTGCTATGCTATTTTTCTTCCATTGGTTGTCTACTTTTCTCTTTCATTCCACTGTCTGCTCTGTTCATTGAGGCCTCTCTGCCACTGTTTTGAAATCCTGGTGTTTTATTTCTCTCTAAAATATTCTTCAGTATTCTCTGTAGGGTTGGATTGATTGGGGGTCACAGATTCCCCCAATTCCTCTTTGTCATGGAAGCATCTTGTTCCTCCATTAATTTCTAGAGACAGTTTTGCAGGGTATATCAATCTGGGCTGAAGGTTATTTTCTTTCAGGGCTTGGAATACTTCACTCCAAGCTCTTCTTGATTTGATGGTCTGCGTTGAGAAGTCTACTGTGATTTTGATGGGTTTTCCTTTATAGGTGATCTGTTTCTTTTCTCTGATGGCTTTTAACATTCTGTTCTTATATTGAATTTCTGGGATCTTGATGATTATATGTCTGGGTGTAGCTCTGTTTTGGTTGTAGGTAGCTGGAGTTCTGTATGCCTCATGCATCGCAATATCATTTCCTTTTCTTGTGCTTGGGAAGTTTTCCTTAATTATTTCTGTGAATAGCTTTTGTATTTCCTTTGTTTTTACTCCTGCTTCTTAACTCACGTTTTTTATTAAGTTACAGGTCCTCTTGTCGTCTTGTACCCTTTGTATTGTTATTGCCTATTTCCTTGTTGCTTTTAAAAGATCTTTCTTTTCATGATCACAAGTTGCAAACCTATCTTCAAGGTTTGATAGTCTATCCTTAGTTTCTTTCAAGCAGTTTTGCTAGCTTTCAATGGAGTTTTTAATTTCCTGGCAGTCTCTTTGAATCTGCTTCATTTATTCTAGGTTTTCTTTATATTCTTTTTTTCTAGGTTTTCTTTATATTCTTCATGCAACATTTCTCTCTCTTTTCTGTGTTCCTCCATTCTTCTGTCTGTGTCTTCTTGAGAGGTGCTTAGCATTCCTTTTATTAATCTACTTATATCTTGCTTTACTTGAATTAATATTTAAGTTTTGAGCTCATCTACAAGGTCCCAAAGATATCTCTTTATGTCTGCTGATGCCGTGTCTGATGTTGCATGTTTGCTGCCTTCAATCTCTCTTGTATTTACTTCTCCTGGATCAATATTCTCAGGGTTGGGGGCTGAGGGCTTTTTCTTATTTCTTTCTCTTGTCATGTTTTTCATTTCATCCATACAGGTGGATAGTGGAGATCCCAGCCCCTTTCCTTTTGTTTATGGTTCTTCTGAAGGGCACTGGCTAGGATTTCTGCCCTCTCCAGTTTGCTGTTGGTTATTGAGGTTTAAGCAGGGGTGATGTATGCTGACCCCTCCCGTCCAGGCCAGTCAACCTTCAGGGGCACTCACCACATAGTGTGTACTGCATGTAACGAATCAGTTTAGGATGACTTATTGGGTCCTGGCCAGGGGCGTGACCCAGGCCAAGCAGATCCCACCAATCTGTGCTGGGACGGGAGTAACCGACTCTAGTCACTGCCATTCCTAGTTCAGGCCTGTCCTGCCTGATTCCAACATGTCGTCCAGTTGGTTGCCCCTTTCCCATGGGCTTATTCACAGCACTCCAGAGAATGACAGAATCATTATTTAAATGACTATTCAGTGCTTATGTGATTGGATGTTATAATGTCTCAGCCATGTAGTACACTTGTTGATTTTTTTTTCCTTTGCTGTAAAGTAATAGTTTTGTTTTTCGTGAATGTGTTTTTGTCTGTTTCTTTTTCTTAGTTTGCTACGTACTTAACCAATTCAGCGCTCCAAAGTCTTTGCCAGTTTTCTGAATCTCTTCTCAAAGCAAACACATCAGGCTTTCTGTTCATTCCATATGTCCAAACAACTTTTCCCCAAGAGAGAACAATCTCTTGTACCTGGCACACATTTGTCATCCATGATTTTTTTTCCCTTCCTTTGTAGGTTCCGTCTATTTCACTCCTACTTCCTAGGTCTCATGCTTTCCTGTTTCTTAGTTTATCCCCTAGTTTACAAGGAGCGTAGACATTAATGGCTTACACGTTTTTGTTTTTCACACCTCCTTATATCCTAGGCCTCTTAGTCTGGACACAGGTACATCTTTAGCAGAGCAGCTCTCCATTTGGGCTTATCCTGAGTGGCATTTATTTTGCCCATTCCTGAAAGATATTTTTAGCAGATATGCAGCTTTAGATTGCAGTTATTTTTTTCTCAGCACAGATGGTCCTCCACTTATGATGGATTATGACTTTCTAACTTTTCTAACTGCAAAAGCAGTGTGCTTTCAGTAGAAACAGTACTTCAGAATTTGCATTTGGATCATTTCCTAGGCTAGTGGGTTGCCATGTGATCCTCTCACATTGGTGTGCAGTGGTCATGGCTGTAGCACCCAGGCAGCCCTGACCTGAGGAGAAACAGCTAGTGCTCCACTGCGCACTGTGTAGCTATGCTAGGGTATTTGTTTGGTAAGTTAGGTGTACTCAGTGCACTTTTGACTTAAATTTTTTACCTTACAAAGAGTTTATCAGGCTATAACCCTGTGGTAAGTCAGGGAGCGTCTGTACTTTTTTGAAGATACTGTCATTTGTTCCAAATTCCATTTTTCACATTGAGAGATAAGAAGATAAAGAGGATAATCTCCTTTTCTCTGTGGCTATTTTAAGATTCTCTTTTTCATATTATGTGTCATGTATTCAGATACGGATTTCTTTTTATGTTTCCAGAGAGGTAGTTCATTGGGCTTCACATATCTGCAAACTGAGTGTTTTCAGTCACTTCTGGAAAATTCGCATTATTTATGTAACCGTTGCTGCTTCTTCATTTTCTCTATCTGCAGCTTTGGTTAAATGTTTGTTAGACTTTCCCATTTGTTTGTCTCTGTGCTAAATCCTGGATAGTTTCTTCAGATCTCTTTTCAACTTCTTAATTCTCTCAGGAGTGTCTGATTTTCAGGCTGGGAGTACAGTTTAGTGGTAGAATACTTGCCTAATGTGCAAGAGGTCCTGGATTCCATCCCAGCACCCAGCACCACAGGAAAAGAAGATGATCTCATTTTCTACTGCCTAAATAAGTGTTTAATGCGATTTTTAAAATTGTTTTTGGCATTTTTCTAAACATGCTATAAAGTGATAAGCTCAATCATTTTATAAACTCTTGGTCATATCTTTAATCTCTTTGATTTCTTTAAATATATCGAACAGACTTATATTCTATCTCTGGTACTTCTAATAACAGGTTATTCCAACTACTTTCTTGTATTTATGCTATCATTTACAGCCCTTTTTCTCCAAATATTTTGTGATTTTTGAACATGGACTCATTTTTCACAGATTTTATTTGTTGTACTGTCTGCCTCAATGGCAAGTAATTTCCTTAAGAAAAGGATTTCTTATTTTTATCCTGACAGCAGACATATAGCAAATCTAAAATAACTTTAGACTAAATTTTCTGATCTTTCAGGCCACCCAAGAAAGGGAAGCTTGGATTATAAACCTGCCTGAATTGTAAACCATATTTGTAGCTTTTGCTTATCCAGGGAGCTGTCTTCTACATTTAATTTGGCACCTGGGTTCAAGGTGCAGTCAATTATATTTGGGCCCCAGAATTTAGGGGAGTTTTTTTCCTAATTTTTCCTTTCCTTGGTGTCCTACTTTGCTTGAAAAACGTCTCTTAGGCTCCTTACCTTGGCAGGGTGCACATATAATTCAGTGTAAGCATGTCTTTGGTTTGGCAGTGTCCCTCAAGGCAGAAGCCAAATTTGGTATTTTCTTACTTTTCTAGTTTACTTTTTGGCTCTAAAATATTTCTTACTTTCTTGTTGTATCATTGGGCCATTCCATCAGGGTTCCTGGTCAAGACATCTGGTCTACTAGAAATGGACTTAAGTTTAGTTCCATCATCCTTCTTGAGTAGTTTTCAGCAGAGAGGGATGTGCTTCCAGCTACAGTGGTAACCATCAGTCTCTTTGTCTAAAAACCAGGATGGGGGTAGGAGTATATAGCTCAGTGGCCAGGCACCTGCCTGGCAAGAGTGAGGTGGTAAGTTCAATTCCTAGCACCAAAAAAATTTTAAAATGGGAATTATTTATGTACCTAATGAGAATGTTTTGTGTTAGAAAGAAATAAAAAGAATTTGCATCATACATAGGAAAAAGCTTTTCCAGAAAACATACACATAAGCAAACAAAATCAAACTTCCCAATGTGAGATATTTTGTTTTTGTTTTTGTTTTTTTTTTTGGAAAGAGCTAGTAGGAAGAGAGAGGATTTGTCCCCGGGTAGGGAGTCTGGGTATAGTTTTTGTTTCTTTCCCTCCTGTGTACCTGTAGCCTGAGCTGCTGGACCTGTACACCGTGAACCTACACCGCATTGAGAAGGATGTGCAGAGATGTGACCGCAACTACTGGTACTTCACACCTTCCAACCTGGAGAAGCTGCGCAACATCATGTGCAGGTGGCTGGGGCTGGGGGAACGTGGGGAAGAAGATGGCTAGCGTGGTTAAGGTGGGACTGAAGGGAGCCCAGATGGAACTTATTCTAGCACCCCTGCCAACTAAATAACAATAATGTAAAACAGTTACTGAGCACATACTATATACCAGCACTGTCCCGAGCCATCCTTTACTGTCCTTTACTACCAGCACTGTCCTCTACTATCATCGGGTCACTTAGTCCTCCACTCTGTGAAGTAAGCATTGACCCCTTTGGTAGCTGAGGATATGGAAATTTGGGAACCTCTCGGGTACCTCAGCCAAGCAAGAACTCACAGCCACGTCTCTGGCTCTGGGGCCTATTTCTTTAGGTCAAGGCCTAAGGCTACTTAATATTTTCACTGAAAATTATTTTTAGTATTTCTTAAAATATGAAAATAACCACAAGCATTAAAAGTCTAAATCAAGCCACATGTGGTGCTGTATGCATACAATCCTAGCATTCTGGGAGACTGAAGCAAAAATATTGTAAGTTCAGTCCAGCTTGGGCAATTTAGTAACTCAAGGAGATCCCATCTCAAATAAAAAATAAAAAGTTTGTGTTTAAGTTCATTGTGAAGGCTCTGGCTTGCTTAAATCCCCAGTAACCCTTCCCCAAATCAATTGAAGAAATCAGAAGCTAATAAGATTTTAAAAACTGAGCTGGGCGTGGTGGTTCACGCCTGTAATCCCAGCGCTCTAGAGGCTGAGGTGGGAGGATTGGGCTAAGGTGGAGGCTGAAGGTGAGGAGGCTGAGGTTGCGAGTTCAAGACCAGCCTGAGCTACAAAGTGAGCTTAAGGCCAGCCAGAACTGCATAGCTAGACCCCATCTCAAAAAAGAAAAAAAAAAAAGATTAAAAAAACTTCTTTCATTTGTGCCCATCCGTGCAATAAACCCTGACTTATGAACAAGTTCTGCTCCAGGAGAATGTTCGTAAGTTGAATCTATTCATAAACCGAAAAAATGAGTCTCATACAGTACACCTCTGACTCAGAAACCTGTACCTTTGCTTGGAGACACACAGAAATCACAGGTCTCACAGAGGTGGTAACTTTCCAGATAGACTTTAAGAAAGTTAAGAAAAGCTAAAGAAACCATTTAACGTAGTGTTTAAGATCGTATGCTCTCTAGTAAGATTTTCTGGGTTTTAGTACTTCCTCTGCACCTACTAAGTATATGACTTCATTCATGTAATTTACCTCTGTGTGCCTCACTCTCCTCATTTGTGAAATGTGATCATAATGAATCCCTCTTTCATATGATTATTTTGAAAATTAAAAAATACATCTGTAATGGGCTGCTTATACAGTAAGTACTCATTAAATATAAGATACTGTTAGTAAAAGGTTGACCACATTCCAAAGAGGGAAGTTCTGGGGGTAAAGGCACAAAGACATAAATTGGGAGTTTCTTTGAGCAAAGTGAATGCCCCATGTGGCTGGAGAGGAAGAAGCACTAGGAAGTGATGCGTGGGGCTGTGAAGATGAGTGTGGAGAGACTCTGCCTGTCTTATGCCCAGTAAAGGAGTCTGCAGCCTGATGGCAGGAGGCTGGTGCAGGTTTTTGAGTCATGCTGGTGTCTACATCTAAGATGTATATCATTAGATTGAGATGGGGGAGCAGACATTGGTTTGAAGGAATGGTCCAGGTGAGGGTCAGGGGACTAAGCCAGAAAAGAGGAATGGGTGGGAAGGCAGGTTGGTGATGCCATCCATCTCTGAGCACTTTTGTGTCACTCACAGCTACATCTGGCAGCACATAGAGATTGGCTATGTCCAGGGCATGTGTGACCTTCTGGCTCCACTGCTGGTCATTCTGGATGATGGTGAGTGTACCTTCCCTCCCCAGGGATGAGGGTGCACTTTCCTTCCCACTGCATGGAACAGTCAGTTTCACTTTGTGGCTGCCTATAATGAGCCAGAAGAGGCACTCAGAAGACCTGTCTGCCACAGAAATAAAGAACCTTTCTATACTATAGTACCCAGCATTCAGACATGGCCAGAACTTTGCTACCCACTGGTTGTACGATGTAAATGGGAACAAAGAAAAACTCAAGCCAGATTCCTTTGCTTATGAGTTCTACCAAACATTTAGGGAGGTTCAATATGAATTCTTCACAAACTCTTTCAATCCATAGCACCACAAAATAAATATATAAACATAAAAAAAATCAGAGAATTCTTCACAACTCATTCTGTGAGGCCAGCCTTCATGTAAGGTGGGTTTCCTGTTGTTACCCAGATACCTGTATCAGACAGGGACACCACAAGAAAACTAAAGACCAGTATACTTTATGAATATAAATGTAATATTCCTCCAAAAGTATACCAACAGACTAAATCAGCAGGCTATAAAAAGGATCACACACCAGGACCAACTGGGTTTTTTAGGAAAATGGATGCACCTTGAGACCCATAATGTTAAGTGAAATAAATCAGACACAGAAGCTTCAATATTGCATGGTTTCTGTTATTTAAGAAGCCCAAAATATGAATAAAGAACAAAATAAAAAACAGGAAGATAGATCTTTCTCAGAAGGGAAGGGACTCAAGATGGAAGGAGTAAGGAGAGGAAAGAGAGGGTGAATAAAGCAATTAAGATACATCATGTTAATGTATCAGCTTCCCACAAAGAGTATAAGCATTATGTACTACAAACATGTACTAATAAAAAGATCAAAGTAATACGGTAACTGGCAAAAGCATAATCACCTTAATTGACATAGAAAATCATAACAAAATCCTGTGCCTCATGATACAAATGTGACAAACTAGAAGTAGAAGGAACTTTATAAATGGAATCTGTGAAAAACCCACAAATAATATACTCAGTGGCAAAATGTTCAACACTTTCCCTTAAGATCAGGAATAAAGGCCAGGGTTTTAGCTCAGCAGCTTAAGTGCCTGCTTGGCAAGTGCAAGGTTGTGACTTTGATCCCCAGTACCAAAAAAAAAAAATCAGGAACAAGGCAAATGTGTGTCTATTTTTATTGCTATAGGTTCAAGCAGGGGCAACTGAGGAAGAAAATAATTAGGAAGGAAGTAAAACTATCACTGTTCACAGAGGACATGAGTTACATATAGAAAACCCTAAGGAATTTTAAAAAATAGAATAATTGAGTTAAAGTTGCAGAATACAAGATCAGTACACAGAAGTCTGTTGCATTTCTATGCACTCAAACAATCCCAAAATGGAAATTAGGGAAGGTTTCATTTACAGTAGTAACTAAAAGGATAAAATATCAAGAAATTAACAAAGTGCAAGATGCGTTGTGCATTGAAAACTATAAAGCATTGTAGAAAAAACAAAAATTAATACTTTTCAAAATTCTCATCTGCCTTGTTTGCAAAACTTGATAAGCTGATTTTAAAAATGACAGTGAAATTCAAGGGTTTGAACCCAGCCAAAACAATTTTGAAATAGAAGAAAATGTTCCCAATTTCAAAACCTAATACAAAACAGTATAATAATCAAAATAGCCACAGTATTCAAAAACTTCATGCATTTACCCATGATTTGGCATGTAGATCAATGAAATGGAATTGCAGGTCCAGAAATAAGCTTTTATGTTAATGGTCAACTGGTTTTGACACGGCTACCAATATAGTTAAACTCTGGGGGAAAAAAGAAGTCCTTTCAACATATGCTGCTGGGACAAGTGGATATCCATATGCAAAGACTGCAGTTCGACCTCTGCCTCATAACACACGCAAGGAGTTAACTTGAAATGCATCATAGGCCTAGATGTAAGAAAAATTATTTAACCCTTAGAAAACATAGGAGTAAATCTTTGTGACCTTGGGTTAAACAGTGGTTTCCTAGGTATAACATGGAAAATATAACTGATGAAAGAAAAAATAGGAAAATTAGACTTCATCAAAATTAAAACTTTTGTGCTTCAAAGGACTCTATCATGAAAGTGAAGGAACCACAAGAATGGGAGAAAATATTTATGTCCTACATGTGTTAAAGAACTGATACCCAAATATGTAAAGAACTCATAATTCAACAATAGAAAAGTAAAAGGTAGAAGATTTAAGTAGACATTTCTCAGTGGAACCAAAGAGACAAAAATGATCAATAATTCAATTAAAAGTTGCCCAGCATCAGTCAATAGGAAGATGCAAATCATAATCAAAATGAGACATGTTTCATATGTACTAGGCTGGCTAAAATCAAAGCAATGGAAAATGGTAAATGTTGGTAAGAATATGCAGAAAGTGTTGGCTTCAAACATTGCTAATGGAATTGTAAAATAGTCTGGCCACTTTGGAAAACAATTTGGTCAGTAGTTACTCTTAATATTAAATGTGAAGTTACATGTAACCTAAAAATTCCATCCATAAGTATGTACCTAGGAGAATTGAAAACATACACAGCATTATTCCCTAATAGTCCAAAAGTGAAAACAATCCAGTGTCTTATCAACCAAAGAATGTAATACATTTGATTAGCAAAATGTAATACATCTCTACCATTGATGATTATTTGTCAGAAAAAAAGTGATGTTCTGATTCTTGCTATAATATGGATGAACATTACGCCAAATGAAGACAATATGCTGTACTATTCCATTTATATGAAAAGTCAAGAATAAGCAAATCCAGGGAGACAGAAAGTATCTAGAGATTAACACAGACCAGGGAGAAGAAAATGGGGAGTACCTACTACATGGGTTTCCCTTTGGGCTGAAGAGTGTTCTGAAGAAGATGGTACTGGTCACATGACACTGTGAGTATACTGACACCACTAGCTTCTACATTTGAAAGCATGAGAGCTGTGGTATCAGATGTAAATGAGATTTGAAAAATGAGGAGCATAACCCCTTACATCATAGACGTGGGCTTCAGATGGTGACTTCCTCCAAAAGGGACAGTGTGGGAGGGGGGGAGGAAGGGGGGAGTGGTGAGAGAAACTTAGCAGCAGAGAAACACTGTGACAAACACTGCCACAGTCAAGTAAATGGCTCTAAAAGTGTCTTTAAAATATATAATGAGGCACACACCTTTAATCTAAGAACTCTGGGAGGCTGAGGCAGGATCACAAAATCAAGCCCCGCCTGGAGAACTAAGTGAAACTGTCTCACTATGCAGTTCAGGCTGGCTTTTAAACTCACTATGTAGCCAAAGCTGGCCTCAAAACTCATGGCAGTCCTCCAGCCTTAGTGTCCTGTGTGCTAGAATTACAGATGTGAACCACCACCCTTGGCTTCAAAATAAAATATTTTTTAAAATAGGTTTGGGGGAGGGCAGCCTAAATATAGCCTTTGGGAAAGTTTCTAGTCTAGTGTAGCTCCCCTGAAGCTATTAAGTTATTAAGAAGAGGGGGGAAAACCTACCATTTTAAAGTGAGATTTTGAAACATTTCTTTATTGCAGGTCTTCTCAGCACCTTTACTTCTTTAATATTTGTAAGCATAGATATTCTTAGCAGCAGAGACACTATACAGCATTTTCCAGAGTAATTTGACCCTTTGTTTGCATGTGAAAAAGCCCTCCCATTACTGACAATTACTGTTTGAATACAGTGATTCTTAGACTTAAGAATTTCATGAACCAGTAATCTTTCTTAAGAAAAAAAAGTAGAGCATGGTGGCACGTGGCTGTAATCGCAGCACTGGGGAGGCTGAGGCAAAAGGACTGCTGCAAGTTCATGACCAGCCTGGCCTTTACTATGAATTCAAAGCCACCCTAAACTATGTAGGAAGACCCTGTCTCAAGAAGAAGAGGAGTTTGGGACCAACAAAACATTTTCTGCTTTTATTGTATAGCAAATTGGGGTCTTTTAAAAAGGCCATCTGAGCTAGGCTTGGTGACACATGCCTGTAATCCTAGCACTCAGGAGGCTGAGATAGGCTTGTCAAGAATTCAAAGCCAGCATGGGCTATGTAGTGAGTTGAAGGCCAGTCTGAACTACAAAGTCCCTGTCTCAAAAAACAAAATCATAAACAGAGCATCTCCTGTCCCTGTGTTTTCCTAAAAAAGGGTAATCTAACATTTCTAAGGTGAGAAGTATGTGATTCATTTAAGATCGGAAAGCATCTGGACAGAACCCACTTGGCCACATCTTTCTCCTTTGGCTATGGATTTTGTGCCCCAGCTCTGGAGCTTAGACTGCCTCCTTGGGAGCTCAGGTCTCATGCAGTGGTACAGCTGATTGTCCTGTGCTGCTCCCCTAGAGGCCCTGGCCTTCAGTTGCTTCACGGAGCTCATGAAGAGGATGAACCAGAACTTCCCCCATGGGGGCGCCATGGACACTCATTTTGCCAACATGAGATCCCTGATTCAGGTAGGACTCCTGTCTAGTCTTCAACTCTTGGGAAATAGGAAGTATATGTGAATGGCTTGAGACTGAGTAGTGTGAAATCATCCTGAGTTTGAATTCTACTACTTCCTAGCTGGATAACCTCAGGCATATGCTTTTATCTCTGTGGGCCTCAGTTTTCTCAGCTGGACAGTAGATAACTTTCCCATTTGTATAATTCTCAGTAAGTTACTATGGTTATGGAATTGAAATAAACTAATGTGTTTATAGCATTGAGCACACTGCCTTCCTATGCCTCTCAGAGTCTAATCCATGAATCAGCAGCAGTAATCCCACCTGATAATTTATTAGGAATGCAGTTTAAATTAGGCAAGGTAGCACATTCCTATAATCCCACCACACTGGGAAACTCAGGTGGGAAAATCACAAGTTAAAGCTCTATCTGGGCAACTTGGTGACTTTCAGAGTAAAAAATGAATCTAGGATGTAGCTCAGTCACAGAGCACCCCTGGCTTTGATCCCCAGTACAATTCATCTATTAAGCTGGGGATGTAGCTCAGTGTGGAAGCCCTCAGTTCAGTTCCCAGTGCCACCAAAATATTTTATTTAAAATTTTTTAAATTTTATTTTAAAGAGTAAAAAAATCAAGAAGCAAACAAAACTAAAACAACCAAAGTGACAACAAAAAACAGATTTTCAAAATGATGATAGGAATTTAACAGTGTATTGTTATCCTCAAAATAGTTGCGCAGGTTACCAGATGCAGAAATAAAACAGTAAAATGGAACAAAACATTGGATTTCAAAAACAAGAAAGAAGGAAATCTCCCACAGTTTCGCAGTCCACACTGCCATCCTCCAAACAGAGGCCTGCAGAGTCAATCAAACAATACAAGTGTCCAGATACTCCTTCCACCTCAGTGGCTATCGCCTTACTCTGAGTTCCTCTGGATCAGGTAGTTGCTTACCGGAAGATGCTCTTCTGATTTCCCGGCCTGCACACCAGCTGGCTCACAAGAAGGCGTGGTTCAGTTCCTTGCTGAGTCCCTTCCCATTCGCCCTAAGTAATTTATTTTTTAAAAAGGAAAAAGAAAATGCAAATCACTTGTTGCCTTTCTTCCTGAATCAGATCTTCAAGGCATTTAGTCCAGCCATCTGAATCACCTGGAGCTCTCCAAGTGACTGATGCAAGCCTGAATTAGAGAAGTACTGTGATGAGTGCTAGCTTGTTAGCACCCATCATGATTAGTATATCTACCACCCAGGGAAATTGAATAGAAGGAATAGAAATGTAAATGATAGGGATACATTATCTATTCCAACAGTGGAGATACAGCAGTAATAAGTTAACTCTGATTTCTTTTGTGGAGTTAAAAAGTATTATAAAATGTTTTGGATATCATGTTTTCACCTTACTCAAAAGTGTAGATTTTTGAGTGTAGACTCTGATTTCCCCCTTTGTTAATTCTATGTCCCCACATCTGTCCTCCCAGTGGAAATTGTCATGCCAAAAAGTGGCATGTAGAAGCCAAGTTACAAGAGCAGTAAAATATTTACCAAAGCCAAGCATAATGATGCACACCCGTAGGGAAGCTGAGGCAGGAGGTTCACCATGAGACAAGGCCTTTGTGAAAGACAGCAAGACCTGTCTTAAAAAATTACCAACAGTCCTGAGAAAGGCAAGAGTTTATTCTGATCAGGATACAGTATCAAGAGGGACAGTGTGGTGTTTCTAAGGAATCACGGATTGTGACAGATTAGGATTTTATAAAGGATTAAAAATGTGGGACTAGATCTGAGTTAGCAAAAATAGGTATCTCAGAACCATTTCTTGATGAGTGTAGTGGCGCATGCCTGTAATCCCAGCACTTGGGAGACTGAGACAGGAGGGTTACTGTGAGTTCAAGGCCAGTCTGACCTACGCAGCGAGACCTTGTTTCAAAAAGACAAAAAAAAAAAAAAAATTTCCAGAACATCCTGTTCTTGTTAATCTTTCAGGAACATCTGCATTGTATCTAAAGTTGTGCATCAAGTTGCAGATTGACCAGGTCATCTACTTTGGCCTCACAGGGAGAAAGGCTTGTCTCCTGTTTTGGTTCAGTGTCAGTGAATTATCTTCCAACTGCTTCCTGAAGGATTGCTTTGAAGGAATACTTTTTACTGCCACAAAGTTTTAATCCTTTTGTTGCCTATGAATAATCACCACAGGAACCACTTGCAAGAATGTGACATTTATCACCATCATGTATTCAGAACACCCTTTTGCTATGCAAAAAGGTGCACACAACCCTGAGCAACTTACATACTTATTTTCCAAGCTCCCCCACATTACATAAGTAGCCCTAGGTAGTCTGAGTTCTGCAGCTCTTCTTCGTGCTCATTCTCAGGCTTGAGACCCTCTTGAACAGCACTATATATCCTTCCTTTTTCCCTGAAATACACAGTCTTCCACTGTGTGTTCTTCCTATTGTCTCTCCCATATTATTTGTGTCTGTCTTCCTGTTGAGGGACATTCTAGTTGTTTCCACCTTATTTTATTTTGGAGAATTTGGCGCTTTGTTTCTGGCCTTTTCAAATTGTACTGCTTTGAAATTCCTGTGCACCTGTCCATCTCCTCATGCGCACACACAAGTTCTTTGCCTGAGCATGCACCTGGAGTGCTTCTGTGGGCCCAGGACATGTGCACTTTCAGCTTTGTGAGACATGGCTGCATCACTCTCCAGATTGGCTGTAGCAGTTTCTGAGCTCAAGAGCAGCATACAAAGGTTTTCCACACAGTCCATCCTCACTTGGTACTGTCATGTTTCTGTTTTCTGCCAGGCTCTTGAATGTGGTCAGAGCACCTCTTTGTGATTTTACTTCCATTTTCTTGATCTTGAATATCTTTTTTAAATTTTCTTTTGATACATTTGGATTGCTTTCTGTGAATTGCCTGTTCATATGCTTTGCCCTTTCTATATTCATGTTTTTTCATAATTAGAATCATACTGTACACATTTTTCTTCTGCACCTACCATTTCAAACCTGTTGCCTTACCCCCACCCGCTTCATGGCACTGCAGATTGAACCCAGATACTTCATGCTGAGCCCATTTCTTAGTTTTTATTTTGGGACAGGATCTCACTGAGTTTCCTTGGCTTGAATTTGTAATTCTGCCTCAGCTTCCAAAGTGCTTGGTTTACAGGCAAGTACTACCACATCCAGTGCCTACCCCGACTTGCTGTTCTGAACAGCATACCTTATAGCTGCAGATACTCTACTACTGCCTGTCTTTTCGGTAACAGTCTTGTTGAGATATAGTTCAGAAAACAAAAAATGCACACTATTAGTATACAATTTAGTGGCTTTTAATATATTCACAGTTAATGGGACTATCACTTATTTAAGAACATTTTCACCCCAGAAAGAAACTGTGGTCTGTACTAGTCACTCACCATTCCTTCCCTCCCCCCAGACTACGTCTACTTTTTATTCCTATGGGTTTGCCTTTTCTACACATATCTTATAAATGGCATCATACAATATATGGCTATTTGTGACTGGCTTCTTTTGCTTCACATCATGTTTTCAAGGTTCATCCATATTATAACATGTACCAAAACTTCATTAATTTTTATTAGGAAATAATATTGTATTACAGAAACACCACTTTTTGTCTATTCACTCATGCATTGATGGACATTTGAGCTCTTTCCAGTTAACTGTTTTGAATAGTTCTGTTCTCCACATTTACAATTTTTTCATGAATATAATTTTCATTTCTTTTGGGGATACACCTAGGCATGTGCTAAGGTTACTTTTCTTGTTGCTGAGACAAAATACCTGACTCCCAAAGTTAAGGGAGGAAATGTTTATTTAGCTCACAGTTTATGGTGATTTCAGTCCATAACTGGCTGGCGCAAGGCAGGGTGGCTTCACAAAGAACAGTTCATGGCAGGCAGAAGACAACAAAAGCAACAAGAACAACTGTGTATGCAGTGTATGCAGGCTACCTACTCTATGGTGGGTGTAGCACTCAGACCCTTAATACTAGCCAGAACTATGTCAAACCAATCACACACCCTTAATCCCAGCATCACACACTATAGATTCAGCCACCTCTGAAAAAGCCCTGACACCATGCACTTAGGGGGACATCTAGATGCAAACCATAACAGTGCAGAATTGCTGAATTACATGACAGCTTTGTACTTAATGTTTTGGAAAACTGCCAAACTGTTTTCCATGGCAGCTACATCATTTTGCACTTGAGGAAGACTCAGGTTTTTCCACATCATAAACACTTATTAATCCATTGTTTTGATTTTAACCATGCTAATAGATGTGAAGTTATATCCCGTTATGTTTTGATTTCAACTTCTCTAATGATTAATGATGTCTAACATCTTTTATGTGCTTATTAGATATTGGTAATCTTCTTTGGAGAAATGTCTGTTTGTATCCTTTGCCCACTTTTAACCTCCCCTGGACCTTGCGGGCTGTCTGTACAGTGTGGCACCCATCACCAATCAAGTTAGCTATGCCCTCTGGTCCAGCTATTTCCTAGGATGCTGATGCTACCCTTCACTTCTCTGTCAGATCCTGGACTCAGAGCTCTTTGAGCTAATGCATCAGAATGGTGACTATACCCACTTCTACTTCTGCTACCGCTGGTTCCTGCTGGACTTCAAGCGAGGTACAGTCTGAAAACTAGGGTCTCGTCCCCAGACATTTTGTGGCAGAATCTTGGGAAAGGAGATAGGGAGGAGATGAGGCTGAGTGGGTGCTGGAACAGAGGTACCAAGTTCTGACTGTTGATATGCTTGCCTTATCTTGGAGTGACACGTGGTGGCATGGGCTTGAATCTCAGCACTGTGGAGACTGAGGCAGGAGGATCTGGAACTTAAAGCCAGCTTGTGCTACATAGTTCATGGCATGCCTGGACTATATAAGGAGACCATGGCTCAAAAACTTTTTTAAATTAAAATTTAATAAAGATACTCTCTTTATAGATGAGAAAAGTAAGGCTGAGAAAAATCTAGTTCAGAGCTAGGAATAATGGAATAAGAATCAGAGTTCACCTCTGTGTACTTTAAAGCAAAGCTATCTTCAATTCTATTATGCTGCTTAGCAAAGACCACCAAAAAATTTTAGAAAGCCCATGGAGTTGAACATGTTTTTCACATGACTGAGGAGTAATGTCACCTCTACATTGCTATGATGCAGATTTGGAACGATGCCAACAATCAATAATGAGTGTGCACAGAGATGTTTATTAAGTGCTGTGCACTATGCTGAGCCACCTACTATATTATGTGTAGTCCTTTACTACCACCAGTATTGCCTTATGTATTGATTTGGAAGAGTCCCGAGAAAGAGCGAACCCACGGCCCCCAGCTAGCTATTGACAAAGCCAGTTAAGCCAGGTTCTTGGACATGGGAAGCCTCATACTAATCCCTGTGCTCCTCTGCCTCTTTACGGGACTCAGAAGCATCAGCTCTACCTGTGGTGGGGTGCACCTCACTGGGTGCCAGGACAAACGGAGAAACTAGTCAGGGTCCAGGGCAGGGACAGATCCATGTCACTGAAACCTGCACGTCTGTTCTACCCTCACAGGATGACAGAGCTGGTGAAAGGAACTTAGAAGCCACCTGGTTTACATAGCCCATTCTATAGTAGGGGAGACGAGGGACTTTGAGTGTCAAGTTACAGTATACGGGTCTCCTGCCTCTGACCTGGTTCTGTCCAGTGCACTCTGGGACACAGACACCAAGTCCTACTGGCCTGGGTTTTCCCTGAGGGACTCTCACAGAGGAGGGTGACACCATGTACCTGCTTGTTGGTGTCTTGGTAGAACTTGTCTATGATGATGTCTTCTCTGTCTGGGAGACCATCTGGGCGGCCAAACACGTGTCGTCCGCCCACTACGTGCTGTTCATCGCCCTGGCGCTGGTGGAAGTCTACCGTGATATCATCCTGGAGAACAACATGGACTTCACTGACATCATCAAATTTTTCAATGGTACCTGAGCCCTGAGGTCTTGTGGGTGGGGCCCAAGAGGGACTGAGATGTGCAGAGATGGGTGCATAGAGAAGGAGTCAGAAGGGGCTTTTGCCTACTTCCTGTAGCTATTTCCAGAAGGATGAGTTGATGTCCCATGATAGTGAATAGGTGTTTTTCCTCAAGAATCTGGCAGGGGGAGAATGAATGTTGAAAGTCAAAGCTTGACTGGCAAGTGCCTAGCTGTGCCCATGGACCAGAACTTACCCCATTTTAAGCATCGCCATCTTCATCTGTGAAGTGGGGGAGCAGCATCTGCTCCAGATGGTTGAGGTGCCAGAGAAAAGCAGGCATTGGAAAGCAGTCCAAGTGGCATAGAAAAAATCCAGCCATTGAAATCAAACAGATGTGAAATCTGATCCCAGTTTTCTGTCGCTTGGGTACTGTGTGACCTTGTCCAAGTGATGTATTTCTGGGTCCTAGATACTTACAAGATAGAAAGATGCAAATACCTCCTGTCTTGCAGGGAAATTCACAGGAGTAAAGGACATGGCATGGATAAGTCTCATCACCTGGTATCTGACTCTAGGATGGGCTCAGTAAATGAGCCCTATTGCTACTATTTACAAATAAAAACCAAAGGCTCAGGAAGTATCGGAAACAAAAAAAGGGAAGCTGAGTCCTCACCTTTGGAACATTATTTGAGTTTTACTTAAATATACTTTTTACTTGGGGATAATTTTAGGTTTTACTCGTCTACCAAAAGTTTGGTTTTGGAATCTTTTTAGATTTACAAAAAAATTGCAAAAATAGCTCCAGAGAGTTCATGATACCTTTTGCCCAGTTTAAATTACTATTAGCATTTTATGCGATCCTAGCACATCTGTAAAAACTAAGAAATTAGTATTAGTGTGTTACTATTTACTAAATTATATATTTTATTTGGATTTCACCTGGTTTGTCACAAATGTTTTTCTGCACCAGGAACCAGTTGGAAAAACAACATTGCATTTAAGGAGCTCATTTTTAAAAAAAAAATGCAGCCAGCCAAGAAGAGTGGTGCATACCTATAATCCTTGCTACTTAGGAGTCTGAGACAGGAGAATTGCAAGTTTGAAGCCAGCCTAAGTAATTAAGCAAGCCTCTGTCTCAAAACTAAAAAGGCTGGTGATACAGTTGTAAATCAGTAGCAGAATGCTCCTGGGCTTAGTCCCCAGTACTGGAAAAATACTCCATCCTGTCTTTCTATAACCACATACATTTCTATATTTTTGCCATCACAGAATCCAGTTGCGTTTTTCCCACTTAATATTTTGAAAGTCATGTCCAGTAATAATCACTTTTTAAGACTGTGGACTGTGCCAAGTATGGTGGCACATGCCTGGAATCCCAGCATTTAGGAAGCTGAGGCAGGAAAATCATTGAAAGTCTAAGGCAGCCTGAACTGCATAGACCCTGTCTCAAAAAGACCAAAAAAAAAAAAAAAAAAAAAAAGATAGATAGATAAATAGAGATATATGAAACAAGTTAGCATATATATTAAAATACTTTTTAAACAATGAAGTACGTAATTTGGGAAAGTGTAGGAACTTTCCCCTCCTACTGTAGCTCACCATGGAGGCCCTGGGTTAAATAACCTGTGCTACCAAGAAAGCATTTTTTAAAAGAAAAATGTGGGGTTTGTTCGTTTTTCTTTTCCCAGCACAGTGATGCCTTATGGAGTCTGTGCACCTGCTGGGTGGTGTGCAGCTCCTCCAGCCCTGCAGGCCTGCTGCACGCATCCCCTTCTTAGCCTGTGCCACCACGACTTTATGTTGTTCTTACTTTCTGTCACGGTAGCTACTGAAAACCTAGCACTGCAAGGAACCAAAACCATGGGTAGGAATGTGGTTCAGGTTAGTTTACATGGTACTCAACAGGTGAGGGTGTCTCCAAAGTCCTAACTATCCCAGAGTGTCACAGTAAATTCACTGTGAAACTCGGGGTGAGGGTGTCCTTTACCCCTAGTTTGGGAGCCATCTTAGTGCCTTTTTGTTTTATTAAATGGTTTATTATAAATGTCTTAAGACTAAGACATAATCACAGCACTTTGAGTGGCTGAAGTGGGAAGATTGCACGTTCAGGTCCAGGCTGGGCCATTTAACAAACTAACAAGACCATCTCAAAATTCAAAAATTTAGCCAGGCATGGTGATACACGCCTATAACCCCAGCACTCGGGAGGGTAAGGCAGGAGGACCACCATAAATTCAAAGCCAGCCTGGACTACACAGAGTTTAAGGCAAGCTTGAACTGCATAGCAAGACCCTGTCTAAAAAAAAAAAAATTTTTTTTTAATTAAAAAGAGCTGGAGGTGTAGTTCAGTATGAGAGTCCTGTATTCAGTCCTCAGTACTGCAAAAATAAATAAATGAGTAGATGGATGAAGGGATGTCTTAAGTTTAGGGTTACTCCATTGTACTTAAAGGTTTGGAAATGAAACTACTTTTTGTGACTCTTTAAAAATTATTTTTGCTTTTCGCATTCTTTCCCCTTTCCTCTCTTCCTTCTGTCACATCCTTCATTTCTGTAAAATCTTTGAACATCTGCTGTGTGCCTGGCTCTGCTCTTCTAAAAGGTTCCCAGTCATTCTCATAGAAGAAGAGTAGAAAGACCTGACCTTTTTCAAGCACACACTAACCCAGCATCATCTTATCTGATCACCTCTGTGCCATGGTTGCTTTTATAATACACATTTTATAGACAGGGAAACTGAAACCTAGAGGTGAGGACTTCTCCCAGGTCTTGGCTTGTGGACCTGGTGCATGATGAGGATGTCCAGAGGGCAGACACTGATAGCACTCATGAGATTTACTCTGTGCTCTTGCAGAAATGGCTGAGCGGCACAACACAAAGCAAGTCTTGAAGCTCGCCCGGGACCTGGTGTACAAGGTGCAGACGCTGATTGAGAACAAGTGAACATTCTGTGCCCTGACCACACCGCCAGCCACCAGCCACTATCCTCCTGCCCTCATCCCTTGTGCCAGCTCAGTCTAGTGCAGGGTCTTGGCATCTGCCCATGAATGTGGCCCTCTGTGTAGAGAAAAGGGACCCTGACCTTTGCCATGGAGCAGATGGGGTTAAGGGGTGGACCCAGTTCAGCCTTACGTTTTCTGTTTGACCAAAGATTGCCCAAGTTTGGGGTTCTCCCTCACAGACTGGAGGTGGTAGGTGGATGGAAGAAGTGTCTTCCTTCCCACTCCTCTCCTCTTTCTTCTGGCCTTCATCTTTTCTGATGAGACCAGGGGAGGTCACTGTTTAGGAAATTGGTATCAGAGAGATATCTGGGACTCCCCTTGTCCCCTGAAAAGGGCCTGTGGGCAAGTTCTGGAACCTGCCTGCAAGCCTGACTTTGAGCAGGTCTGTCCCCCTTCAGCACTGCTAACATTTGAAGCCAGCGAATAGTCCTGTGCAACGGAGGATGCTAAGCAGCATCCCTGGCTTCTACCCACCAGATGCCAGTAGACTCTCCCCTCCTCTCACCAGATTGTGACAACCTAAGATGTGTCTAGACAGTGCCAGCCCACTTCTCTTTATGAAGCTCCCCACTGTCCTGCAGCTTCCGCAGTCTAGAAAATGCACACAGACTCCTTCACAAATCTCTGCTGGATCCCATGATCCAAGTAGCTATATTTGCTCATTTTCCTTCTTTATCTGATGCCAGGAGATACTTCTTTTCTTCCTTTCAAGAAAAGCACTTTCCTGCTGTTAAAGTGGGACCCAGGAGATGTCTAAGGTAGTCTAAGACACTTGCAGGTCCTGCCCAAAGCTGAGGCAGGGCCCCATTTCCAGGGGAAGACTTCACTTCCTGTCTACATACCAGGGGGCTCCAGGTGTTGATGGCTGCGCCTGGGCTTTTCTGTAAGCACCCTTGCTCACTCAAGACAAAGGAAGAAGAGCTAGGCAGGGTCCACCAGGTAGTGTTAGTTGTTTTCCCTGGAAAACATTTGCTGCTCTGAGGTTGCTACCATGGCTGGGTCTAAGAATTGTCTCCTTCACACCAGGGGCCACTGTCTCCAGACAGACCCTGAGTAAATTAGTGCACACTCACCTGGCCCACCAGAGAACTGCCTGGCCAACTCTCCTGCTAGAGAGTGTCCAAGTGAGGGGATAGCAGGAGGTAGGGAGAAAGCTCAGGTGGTCCGAGACTGACCGCTGTGATTTGGAAAGGGAGCGGACAGGGAAAGCGGACTGAGGAATAGGCAGAGGGCAGTCCTGGACTGGGCAGACCACACCTCCCCTGCCAGCGCCAGCCGCCAGCCGCTCCTTCCGTCTGAACCCCACCCGCAACTTAAAAGGGACAGAATGAACTGTGAGACCAAGCTGTGGGAGTCCTTGTGGGCATGAAGGGAAGGTGATGGCTTCTGCTGCCACCGGAATCTCACCATTGCCCCTCACCCCCCAGCTTCCTAAGACAGGAGAAAGACCTGTCAGATAAGCCTTTATTCGCCACTCAGCTGTGGACTGCAGAGGATGTTATTTTAGCACGACCAGGGCTCAGGCCTCTCCTGATTCTTATTTATTTTTGTAACAGACCAGTCTCAGATTATAGCACAAGATCTGTCTGCCTTCCCGTGTGGTGTTTCGAGAGCGTGTGTGGTTGCAGTTTGCAGTGAAGTGCATTTATCCTGTGAACTGTGCTTATGCAGACCTCTATCCATTGTGTATGTCTTTGTGTCTTGAAACTGAATGTGTGGGAGTCATTCTGTCTATGGAGTGCCCTCTTTTTTCAGTGTTGAAAATGTTTACTGATGAACTGTGTCTATATATAGAGAAAATAATATATGAGCAGAGAAAAATGAATCTGCCTTTTTATTTGAAAGAAATGTTTGCTTCTGAAGACTTGTGTCTTCTAACCCCTACCCCATCTCATACCCAGGTGGGGTCAGGATTATGGTAGCTGTCTGACTTCTCCAGAGAAGTCAAGGTCAGTTTAGATGAGTCACTGCTCCTTGGGTTAGTTAGCAGTCAGCACCAACATGACTGTGTAACAAAGCACTCAAGCTGGTTTCAAGTGTATGGTTATTTAGCTTATGATTCTGTGTGTCCAAAATCTCTGCTGAGTATTGCTGGAAGGTTCTTCTGGTCTTGGCCAGCATTCTTTGTGATTTTATGGTCACCTGACAGCCTGAAAGGCAATTCTCTGGTGTTTGGCTGGCTGTCACCTAGGACATCAGGGGAAAATGGACCAAGTATGTCTGGTTCTGCAGCAGGCTGGCTCAGGATTGTCTGCAGGGCCAGGATGGTGTATACCAGGAGAGCACGCAGGAGGCATGCAGCGCTTCTAGAGACCATGTCTGCCATGTTCTGTTGGTCAGTTTCAGATTCAAAGGTAGATAAATAGCTCCATGTCCTGAAAAGGGGCATTGAAAAAGAGCAGGGAGAATGGGTATGCCGGCGCCACCTGTAATCCTACCACTTGGGAGGCTGAGGCCTGAGGGTTGCTGAGGATTGGAGACCAGCGTGCGCTACATGTGAGTTCAAGACCAGTATGAATGGCATAGTGAAACTCTGTCCTGGAGAGGCAGAAAAAGAAAAGCAGGGATACAGGCATGAGGCAGTGACATACAGTCAACCCTCCAGAGGTTCCACATCTGCAGAGTCGACCAACCGCAGATGAAATAAATGGAAGAAAACTGCACCTGTGCTGAAGAGTGCAGCCTTTGTTTCTTGTCATTGCCTGAAGAACACTGTGTGGCAGCTATTCTGAGAGCACTTACGTTATATTAGGGATTATAAATCCTCTGGAAACTGGGCATGGTGAGGCACACCTGTAACCCAGCACTCAAGGCTGAGGCAGGAGGATCTTTGCATGTTTCAGAACAGCCTGCATTACATAGCAAGACCTTGTCTGAAAGAAAAATCACCTAGAGAAGATTTAAACAGGGAAAGATGTCCATACACTATGCAAATACTAGGACATTTTATATGTGAAATTTAAGCATTCTCAGATTGTGGTAATCACAGGAGTCCTGGAGCCAATCATTGTGGATACTGAGGCTCTGTTTTATAGGAGGTAATTTTTGAAGTCTATATAACGTTTCCCCAGGGCATGGCCGGGCTTCCCAATTGGTCAGGCATTTGACACTGGCCCTTTCCTCAAAGTGGTCCCCTCTCCATCCTGACTGTTGAGATGGTTCCTCACTCACCTGCATTGTTTCCATATGCCATTTAGCTTATCTCCCCTTGTGTGTCAAGTTCACTTGTGCCCATTAATCTATTTGATTTGTTTTCGTTTGTTTTTTCCTTTAGTATTGAGAATTGAACTCCGGGACCTTCACACAGTGACGTACTCAGTTTTACGTTTTTTATGTTAAGATAAAATCTCATTAAGTCACTAAGTTGCTGAGGGTAGGCTCAAATTTATCATCCTCTGGCCTCAGCCTCCCAGAGTGCTGGGATTGTAGCCATGTGCCACCACTGCACCCAGCAACTTGGTGAATTAAAGACTGTTGGAGAGATGATTGGATTATGAGAGCTCCAAGGTGGATTAGCCCATTGATGAGATCCGAACTGAATGGGGTATCAGGGCCTGGCTGGAGGAAGTGGGTCATGGAGTGTGACCTCAGGGACCGTGTGTGTTCCCTGGTCTCTTCATCTCTACCTCTTCTGGCTGCCATGAAGTGAGCAGCTTTGCACTGCCATCCCTTCTGCTCTCATCTTCTGCTGTGGAGCCAGCTGGCTATGGATAGAAACAAAGTCACGCCTCTGCTCATTTAAATTGTAAGTATCACACACTTTGTCTTAGCAGTGGAGAGCTGACTAATACCGTGTCTGCCATGCAGGACCTTGGTCATCGGAGTGAGGACCGTAAGATCCCCGTCCCCCAACAGCCTCACAGGTGGACTGAGTGCAATGTGGTCCATGACTGCAGAAGCAAAGCTGGATTCAGTCAAACATTCTAGCAAGCAGCCACCAAAACTTCAGGTCTCTTGTGGGAAAAGATCTGCAGATAAGACAGCAACATAGAGGAGGAGTTTGCAAGTGGCCTTGGGAGGTTCCCAGCAGAGGCAACAGGAAACCACACAGCTGTGGGCCCGCAGGCATTTGTCCTTCTGCAGCTCAGTCGGGGAGGATCCCCTTCTTCCCAGGCAGAGCTTTAAAGCATAAAGGCTGTCCCTATTGTCCTGACTGTCCTTTGGGCCACCAGTCTCATTTCTGTAACTGCAGCCTCAGCTCTGTGCAAGACATTTACTCCTGGAGGGCCTCACTGTTGTTTGTGACTGCCTGGCACTACCAGCCCTGTGACTGTTTATGCACAAATTCTTGGTATTTTGTGCTACTGTAGAGCCTAACACTAATTTTCTCATAAGGGCACAGAAGTGTAGGCCTGTCGGACCCACATTTATTCGTTAGAATATTTCTATTGATGAATTAATTTTAATCTTGTGAGTTTTATTAATAGGAAAAAGTCACAAAAATAAAGTACTAGATTTTTAATATTCAGTGTTTACAAAAACATCAAAATTCTCTGTTCTTTGATATACAAAGACTAAAGAACAGCAACACAAATTTCTTACATAAACGACAATGAAAATACCAATACATTAAAAAATCTTCACTTATCACACAGCAGTGTGCACACATGAAAACGGCACATTCCATACACATCACACTGACGTGTATTTCACTTTCGTGGCCTTTTTGTAGGTCATACTGGATATCTCTCTGGTCTTGATGTTTTGTCAGGAGATTCTTACTGTACACATGTAGTTAACAAAAACAAAAATACCAATAAAGTATTAAATTCTTAGTACATTGTGTGTAGACAAACATGTTCACATCAACTGTGGACTTGCTTATAAAACCTAAAAGATAACATAAGAAATAAATTTCTGCACCAAGCATGGTGGTACATGCCTGTAATCTCAGCATTTGGGAGGCTGAGGCAGGAGAATCACTATAAATTTAGGACTATTGTAAACTACATGATAAGACCATGTCTCAAAAAAAAAAAAAAAATGGTATATGAACTACAGTGAAAATACCAGTAGAGTTCAACAACAAAAATACTCTTTGTTCAATCATCACACCCAAAGCAGACGTCACACATGACAACTGTATGCTCCATGCACACATGTTGCTCACACTGACAACACGTGCTTAGCTCTCCTTTGCTGTGTGGCAGTCTTGTCATCTCTTTCTGCTTTGTCAAGAACTTCCTACTATATTGTACAACATGCTGTTAGTAAGGGATTAAGGCATCAACATAAAAGATGTAATGAGTGCTTTAAGTAGACATCAACATTTTCACATCAGCTGTTTACTTGTTTACAAAACCTAAAAGATAACATGAAAAAAATCTATGTGAACTACAATGTAAACAAAAAAGTCTAGCACAGAAGTAATCTTTGCTTCAACTGTCATACCCAAGGCAGTCCACACATGACAACTTCATGTTTCACACACAAATATCACTTACACGAATAGCACATATGTTTTGGTTTGTTGTAAGGCATAGTTGACAGGTTTTTTTGTTTTCCTGCTGTCCTAGTAAGTCTTTGTGATGCTATTTACTTGTTAGCTCACTAGCATGCTCCACAGCTTTTTACTTAGTTGCCTGGGCAAGACCATTGTGGTTTTCCTCTGCTGTAAAGAATCTTATGAACTCCTCTAAGAAAATTTCTCCACGATAACTTGTACTTGTTCTTGTCTTTGCCCACTATCAAACCATGCCACACAGGTTTAGGAGCAAGTAAAACATAATCAGCTGGCTCCAAGGCAGAGGGACCTGGCAGAGGGACCTGGCAGAGGAGAGCTGAGGAAAGCTGCTCAGGGAATGGCAGGGTAAACAAAGGATGGGAGAAGACAGGGTAAACAGGGGAAGCAGGGTAAACAAAGGATGGGAGAAGACAATGCCCCAGTGACCCATCTTCTCCAGCCAGCCTCCACCTCCCAGCATCACATTCAGCTGGGAACTCATCAGTGGACCAATCCTTAGGGCCACCTCCCAGTATGCGCACATGAGGCTTTGGGGATCATCTAGATAAAAACTGTAAGATCTGGGCGCAGAGTTTTAGAGGTTCCAGTCTGTCATCAGGGTGGACCTGTGCAGAAGGGTGCTACATCATGGAGGAGTCTGTGCTGGAGCAGGGTGCTCGCCTCAGGACTGGGAAATGAAAGAGGAGGGGCTGGGGTTCCATCTCCCCTTCAAGGATGCCCCTCAATGACCTGAACTCCTTCCATTAGGCTCCACTCAGGTTTTCACCACTGATGTGAAAGTGATGGATGTGATAGTGTAATCCCAGCACCTTGGGAGGCTGAGGCAGGAGGATTACAAGTTCAAGTCCAGCCTGAGCAATTTAGTAATTAACAAGACCCTGTCTCAAAATTTCAAAAAAAAAAAAAAAAAAAAAAAAACAAAACATTTTAACGAGTGTATAGCTCCGTGCAAAGGCCCTATGTTCAATTTCTAGTACAATGCCAAAAAAAGAAAGTTTCCACCATTTCACATAATGCCTTCCTGGAAACCAAGACCTTAATATGAGCATTTTGGAGATATTTAAACTTCAAACTGGAACAGTTAAAGTAAAATATAGTAAGGACTTGAGAGGGATTAAAGGGACTAGCATCAAATTAGCCTTTCTTCAAGGTCTTAAAGGAAAATTGAAACATGATTTCTCACTTGTCCACCTCTGTCCACATTTCGGAGATCAGTGATTTAGGATCCCACATCTGCTCCTATATGGTTGTGTGGCCTGGGACAAGTGACTTGGCTTGTCTGAGCCATGGTGTTCTCATCTGTGAAACAGGAAAATATAGCCTCCCAGGTCTCCCTGTTTCCTGAGAATCCTTTGCCCCGAGCACCACCAGAGATGATTTGCTGTCTGGGAATCCATTTTCTTTGTTCCCACATCAGCTTTTCTCAGGCAAGCCTTTGCAGGGCAGGAAGATGTGGCTGCAGGAGGAGAACCCCAAGCCCCCGGGCCGTGTGATGGAGACAGTGAGTCTGCCCAGCAGATGCTCTTGGCAGCAGCAAGGTCCACCCAAACTGTGTAGTACATACTGGACTCTGCTGAGACAGGAGAGGGCAGCAGGTCTTTGTCTTTATGGCTGTAAAGCCACTGAGCACTGCGGGGGTGTGAGCCAGGACCAGGAGACACCACTGGAGCACAGACTGGCCGCTGAGGAAGGGCCTGCTCCCCACTCCCAGGTAGAATGTGAGTGGCCGGCAAGGCCACCAGCTGCTGGGATTTTCCATCTCATCAAGATGAGGCCCAGGATGACTAGGCTCTTCCTGACTGGTTTTTCCAGGCCTCTGTAGGTCCAAAGATTGCAAATAGTGAGCATCTCTTCTTTCAACAGAAAACATTCCAGAAAGATCCCTTGGTCTATTTCCAAATCAAGTCAGAGTCTCTGCAAATGGCTCTGCTTTGTGGGCCAGAGAGGCCCTCTCTTGGATGTTGCGGAATCAGTTCAGAGGGAAAATTGAGGACCATGGGAGTGCTGAGAGGGTTACATGAGAAGATGCGTCCCAAGTGTGAATGGGTGAGCTGTGGACCATTTGGGCACTTGCTTCCTGCTTTTTATGCCTAAGAGTCAAGGAGTCTTCCCATGAGAGGCGGGATTTGCACTAATGAGCTTCTTGTGCCACTGGGAACGTACTACGATTCTCTAGGCCATTGGAATATATGGCAGTTGCCCAGGTTTTTTCTGTCCTTTATACAAAAGTCCTCAAACACCAGGCATCAAGGCACACACCTGTAATTCCTGTACTCTGGGAAGCTGAGGCAGGAGGATTGCATCCAGTCTGGACAACTTAGTGAAAAAAAATTTCAAAAGCTCAGCATGAAGGCGCTGCATTATCCCCCAGTACAGCAAAGACAGATACAGACAGACGTGTGTACATAAGCAAGGGTGGTACCTTCTCTGCGATCTATGTGTTACAATAGAACTGGTCCTGGGGGTAATGTCAGATGTTCTGGGGTGAACATTAAAGGCCAGAAGAGTTTTTATCCATATAAGCCAGGAAGGTGGGGACAGAGAGAGCAAATCTGTGTGTCGCCTCCACCTGACAGATAGGTTTCCAGTCAAAGCTCTGCTGTCGGGTGTGGCTGTGGGAAATGACTTGACTGATCTGAACTTCACTTTCCACCTCTATGGAAGAGAGAGTAACAATGCATTGTTTAAAGAGAGCGTATCAGCTGGGCAAGGTGGCACACAGCTATAATCCCAGCCCTCAGGAGGTCGAGGCAGGAGGACAGTAAATTGGAACCCAGCCGGAGTACCTTAGTGATTTACAAGATCCCGTCTCAAAACATAAATGGGCTGGGGAATGAAGCTCAGTGTGAAGGCCCTGGGTTTAATCCCTAGTAGGTGCAGAGAGCATCATTGATGTGTTACATACTCACCATCTTTCCCATTCTAATAGCATAGCATCCTCTCTACTATGGCTTATGAATGAGACTGCTAACATCTTCTGCCCTACCATGGTCACGTGACCCAGTGCCAGCCGATCAGACTCCTTCTCTGGGATTCCTCTATGCTAAAGGAGGAAAGACTTCCTCTGGGCAGTCAAACTCAGGGGATATTGGCCTACAGCTGCCTGTGACTTCTACACGTGGAAGGCAGGCATGGACCCAGGGGTTCAGATGAACCTTCCACCTCCCTGTACCTCATGTTTCCATGGTTCTCCATGCTGGCTCTCAGAGGTCCCAAGCCCCTCATGGAGCCAACCATTGTAACCAGTTTGATAGGCAGAGGGGATCAGCTGTCAGTGGCCAGAGCATAGTAAGGGAAGATAAGGCACTGCTCCCGGAGAATGACAGTGGGTCATGATGAGCAGAATCCTCCCCACAAAGAGCGCAGCCTGTGTGGAGGATGGAGTGGGCAGCAGAAAGGCTGAAAAGAGACGCCAGATGGATGGTGGAGAGGACGCGTCCTTACCTCGCCCATTGTTGGTGCACAGGTGTACAGAATTGGCACTCACTATCCAGCAAGGAAATGAATAATGGTTCAATTCTCCAAGACAGGAGGAATTATAAGAGGGAAGGATGAGAGAAAATATATACACAGCCATGAAAGTTTTTCACAAATACATTTAATTATCAGCACAATCCTCTGAGACCAAGATTATAATTATAATAATAGTAGCTAATATTTGTTGAACTCTGTGCAGACATGGTGCCAAGTGCTTTTTTTACAAAGACTAAAATTAATTCTTGTAACAACCATGTAAGGTAAGCATTATAAGGAACCAGAGGTGAAGTAGGTTGCCTGAGCTCACACAGCAAGGAAGCAGCAAAGCTGTGATGTGAACTTGAGTACATAGTGATTTCATACAACTTTAGAATGGGCTTTTTCACTATTTTTTATAGTAGGAAAATTTATTAACGAATAGGAAAAGCTCCTGAGAGATAGAAGGGATCCAGATGGGTTGCAAATGAGCCCACTTCTCTAAGGAAGTTTTATAAATCAAAGTCATGAAAAGTACAATGTGGGTCAAATCATAATCAACCAGTAAGATTACAAGTATAGGTGTCTGTGTCTGGCTAATACTGATCGATAGTAGCAAGGGCGTATGAATGATATCATTAATCTTGGTCGATAATCTAGAGTCTTTAGCCTTAGTCATAGTAATTTTAGTACTAGTCTAATGGTCTTAGCCTAAGTCTTAACCTTAGTCTTTAGTGGGAGAGAATGGTCCACCCCTAATGAGACAGTGGCTTATTTATATGAGAAATCTCAAAAGAGTGGTACCAATAATCTCAAACTTCCATTTATCCCTTAGGGAAGTATGTCAATCTGGCCACTGTGACTTTAATCTTCTTCAGATATGTTATCTTCTCCAGTGACCCCTCAAGGGCCCAGCCCTGTCTGACTGCCTATAACACATTTACCTAACTTAGCTGTCTACAGTGTTCTCCCCACTGAAGAGGCACCCCTCACTGCAGTTAGGGGAGAAGTACCTTAGTTTTCATCTAGCTGCCTTGAGCCAAGAAGGATTTACAAGTTTGATCTAGTGGATCCTGGTAAAAAGGAGTCTGGCACATTTAGTTTTGGTCCCATCTGCATGATCACTTGGAGTTTGGCAGCCTCTAGGCAAGAATAAACAAGTTTTCCAAGAAGTAAAAGCACGTGTGACCAAAACCTGAGAAAACTGGAAAGGCAGATTGGGGAAGGAGAAGCAACAAATACTGTTCTTAAAGGGTTGGGATGGTAATAGTAATCAGGTGGCCTTTAGAGCTGTCAGTGGAGGTCAGCGTTTGGATTCCCTTTTTATATCTAGCTTTTATTACTGTGGAGTTATTTTTATACATCTTTTGACTATTCTTTTCTGTTAGGTGTTTAAGACCAAATTAAAGCAAGACCCATATTAATCAAAATTAACGTCTTGCTGTCTATCAAGGTCAGGTAAGTCTCCACACGCCTTACCTTTGGAACAGTGTGCAGAGCATCTCAGCTCTCTGTTATTCTCAGCTGCCAGGATGGCTAACAGTCTTACTTGACTATGTTGCTTTCTGTGAAAGACAGTTTTTCCTCTTGGCACACTGCACATTTATCAATTTCAGTCCTCTGGGGTCCAGCAGTCTCTCTGCTTAGGAGGTTGGGTGTCTCACCAAAGTTGTTGGATCCTGCAGAAAATGTTCCCTCATGTCCTGGTTCCTCACTGAGTTCGGCAGGCCTGGACCTAAATATTGGCGTCTCCATAGCCCAGCTACCTTTCTAGTTCTGGTCTCCAAACTTCACTTGTTGAATACCCAGGAGAGACTCTCAGTACATCAGTGTTGTAGTAGGGAACCATGAATTTAACTATTGTAATCTCATCTGGATACCAAATACTTTGAAATATAAAGTATAGCCAGAGGACAGTTATTTCTTACCAATCATGGTTGTTTTAGAAGTTAAATCTTTGCAGGACTTTTTTTTGTTTGTTTATTTGCAACAAGGTCTCTGTATGTAGTTCAGGCTGATCTTGAACTCACTACATAACCCAAGCTGGCCTCAACACTACAATGATCCTCTCCTGCCTCAGCCTAATTGTTGGAATTTTAGGCATACATCATCACACCTGGATCAAGCAGAATGTTAACAGACAACAACTATAGTTTTACAGACACAATTTGAGATGAAGAACCACACGTAGTATTTCAACATGACAATCATGATATTATCTTTGAAACACATCTTAGTATCTTAGAAGAGCCTTTTTAGTCAGCCATCTCCATTAGTACACAAAGAAGGTCTCATCCAATTTGTTAACCTTTAATAGGATATCCTTGAGAAAGCATGTTATATTGTCTGATCAACTTAGTACCTGCGCTTCTCTAAGTGTAAAGACACACAATGTACACATCTCTAAGCTTTAAAAAAGAAAGTGTAATTTGACTGGTGATCTCATACTGGCTTGACATGTACCTCTATCACAAGTACCTGGAACACAAGACAAAGGCAGACTCTGAGTCTAAAGGAAAAGTTTATCACCATAAACAATCCTGGCTTTACATTTTAGAAGACTTGTACACCTAGAAGGCATGAATACATTTAGTACACCATGAAATTAGCAATAATGAGTGTCACAGCTACAGTACAGAAACCTTGTCTCTTAATTTAGTTTTGTACCAAAAGCATCTTTTAATAAAAAAGCCTTATTGTTTTACCCACAGAATACTTAACCTTTTGATGATAACCAGTGTAAACATATTACAGTAATATATTTAGCAATGTTTATTGCGGTGTATATATGGGAGATAATGCTATGGAGATTATTGGGATCCCATTAATTAATAAAGCCTGGAATAAATATTCAAGGGGAGTCTTGCCCAGTAGTGATGCCAAGGGTAAGGGGCCCCCACTTAATTATCTTAATAAGTTTTTCAGATGACCTATGATAATCAGATCATAACAATTAACATATTATTCTTGACCCAGGAAAGTTATTTTACATAAGCAACAATATACAGTGCGTTTGTAAAACTTTTTTTGTTTTTGAGACAGGGTCTTGTTTTGTAGTCCAGACTGGACTTGAACTCACTGTGTAGCCCAAGCTAGCCTCAAACTCATGGTGATCCTCCTGCCTCAGCCTCCCAAATGCTTAGATTACAACCATACACCACACGACATCATTTTGATTAGCTGACAACTTGGGTGGACCCATTCTCTAAACTCTAATGACACTTATGTATAAGCCAATTTAAATTGTAGGCATAGGGGCTGGGGGTTTAGCTCAGCGGCATAAGCACCTGCCTTGCAAGCAGGCGGTCGTGAGTTCGATCCCCGGTACCGATAAAAATGAAAAAGACAAAAAAAAAAAAAAAAAAAAAAAAAAAAAAAATAAATTGTAGGCATAAATATTTTAAGAATCCCAGCAGTCAAAAATAAGGGGGGAGGGGCTGGGGATTTAGCTCAGCGGCATAAGCACCTGCCTTGCAAGCAGGCAGTCGTGAGTTCGATCCCTAGTACCGATAAAAATGAAAAAGAAAAAAAAAAAAATAAGGGGGGAAAAATGAAAAAATTGAGCTAAAAAGGAGCTGTAGATTTTGCAGCCAGTCACAAATTAAACAAACAGGCATAAGACATAAGACAATTGTTAAGAGACCAGGGTACACAAAGATACATTTAGCCAAGTTGAACCACAATAACCTTTTATAGTTTTTAGGTTTTAACTATAAATAGACTAGTCAGAACTTTTTATAGCTCAATTAGCAGAGATGTAATAATAATCAGAAGGAATAAAACCTTTTATACCTATGAAAGCAAAGACAGTTTAAAACAGGCCCGAGGCGGATGGTGAATCTGATTGGAATATCCAGCTACACAGGCTTCTCTCTGCTGTTTTGACAGCCACAGTTGTTTGATAGGCACAACTGATAACCAAAACTACTGTTCTGATAGCCACATGTAACTACTTCTTCTAAAGAGACAGACTGTTAAAGACAATTTTGACTATTTGCAAGGGAGGTGTGCTCAGGCCAGGTCTGGGTATAGAAGGAGACCAGGCGACACTCTTTGGCACTGTTATTCCAAGCTGTGGGGGAAGAAGGCCCACCAAGCTTCCCATCTACCCTGCGGCATCTATCTGTGATTGTTTCTTCAAAATGGGCTCTTTGAATTCTTTATTCCTGGGGGGCTTTTATTTGATAGTTTCCAGCGTGAGGATGATTCTGTCAGTGTCAGTGGAGAAGAATATGGCTCTCCCCTGGACCTTGGTCATGCGGGGCCACCCAACAATGGATAGGAGGCCAGCCAAGAGAACATAGAGGATGGCAGTCACATAGCCCCAGCCGAGCTGGCACTTCCCACTGTGGTACAAGGAGGAGCACTTGCAGACTTCTTTGGTGAACGGGGAGGCCAGGCTGATTGGGAAAACCAGAAGGCCCACGGTGGTGATGGTGGCTGAAGACACAGAGAGAAAATCAGTGGGCCTTGGGCTAATCTCATCACAGGCTAATCCCATCCCACTGTCCACCCTTATACACATCCATCCATCAACCATATCCTGGTCAGCTCATTATTTTCATTCTACCCAACTATCCACTCGCCCATCCATCCATCCATCCATCTATTCATCTGCACACTTAAGCCATCTGCCCCCACTGTCCCATCCATCCCTGTCCTCTGTCAACCATTTTGGAGGCTGTTCATTTTCTCTATCTATCCTTGCACCCAACCACTTGCCCTTCTATTAATATATACATTGTTCCATCAGTTTATCCACCCACCCATTCATCCATGTATTCATTCATCAAAACTGTTAAAGATCAGGCAGGATGGCACATGCCTGCAATCCCAGCATTTGAGAGACTGAGGCAAGAGGATCACTGTGAGTTTGAGGCCAGCTTGCAGTTCATAGTGAGTTTAAAAAACAAAACAAAACAAAAACATAGTGAGTTCAAGGCCAGCCTAAACCACATAGCAAGACCTTGTTTCAAAAAAACATTTGTAAAAAAAAACTGTTAGAGGAAGCCAGGTATGGTGACACACATCTGTAATCCCAGAACTTTGGAAGGTTGTATCACAGGGATTGCAAGTTTAAGTCCAGTCTGGGCAATTTGGTAACTTAGAGAGGCCACAACACAAAAACATTTTTAAAGGCCTGGAGATGTAACTCAGTGAGTGCAAAGGCTCTGGGTTCTATCTCCAGTACCAAGAGATAAAAAATTGTTGTCTGTAGTCACTAGAGAAATGAAAATTGAAAGATACCACCCATGCCTATTACATGAATGACTGCCAACCAGAAAAAAATATGGTAGTTCCTCAAGCGATAAACCATCGCTAGGTGGCCTAATCATTCCCCTTCTGGGTACATACTCAAAAGAATTAAAACCTGGTTCATCCGCCATCAACTGGCATTCTTTACAAAAGCTGAAATGTGGAAGCAACCTAGACATCTATCAACAGATAATTGGAGAAGAAAAATATGGTGCAGACATTCAATAGGATAGTTTTAGTTAATTATTTTCCAGCTGACCAAAGTGTATATATTTATCATATGTAGCATGTTGCTTTGAGGTCTGTATATAGCTTTGGGAAAATTAAGGAAATTCTGACACGTTATAACCTGAATGAACCTCAAGGACATTACACTCACTGAAATATGCTGGTTACGAGAGCCCACAAATGTGTGATTCCACTCATCTGAAGCAGGCTTATCAAATGCACAGTGACAGGAAGAATGGTGGTTGCCAGGGAGGAAGGAGAGAGACAGGGATAGCAAGCAACGGTGTCTGGGGTACAAAGCTTCAGGGTTACACGTGAAAAGAGTTCTGTGGGTGGTGGTGATTATTGCATAACATTATGAATATGTTGAATACCACTGAATGGTGCCCTTAAAATTTTAAGACATATCTACTTATATGTAATTTACCATGTTAAAAGTTTGTTAAAGTGGGGCTGGGGATTTAGCTCAGCGGCAGAAGCGCCTGCCTTGCAAGCAGGCAGTCGTGAGTTTGATCTCTGGTACCGATAAAAATGAAAAAGACCAAAAAAAAAAAAAAAAAAGTTTGTTAAAGTATTCCCATGTTGCAGTTAATTGATACTTTGTGTGTGTGTGTGTGTGCGTGCACGCGCGCCACCATGCCAAGCAAAACAAAGCACAAGAATGGAAGGTATATAGAAATATATAAAAATGATATAAACCAAAAGCAAAAGGGCTGGGAGTATATCTCAGTGGTAGAGCATTCCTGGTTCAATCTCCAACACTGAAAAATAAAAACAAACACTGAAAAATAAAAACAACACTGAAAATTTTTAAAAAAACAGTTGGGGGTGCTGTGCTGGGTACTAGTGATACTGATGAAATGAGCCTCCACCCCAGCCTCTGAGGTGCTCACACTGCAGAGCCCTGGCCACACTGGCCACCTGCTGCCGCCGGAGTACCAGGCCCTCAGTCCTCCAATACCTCTGTCCCTGAAGGTCCCAGTGCCACCATGCCTTCTGTTCTTGGCTGACCCTGGCTGTCCTCCAGCACCACCTTGAGTGTACCCCTTCCAGAAAGCATGCCTCGACCCTTGGCATGGCACATGGGTCAGGAATTCCAGAGTCCTCTGTCATCCTGTACTCAGCCCTCTAAGCTCAAAGGTCCATTGAGTGGTGCCTGGGTCGAGTGTGGCCCCAGGGGCCCGCACACTGACACCTGACTCCCAGTGTGAGGCACTGAGAGGGCTGGAGCGCTCTGACTCTGCTACTCAGAGCTGGGGCCTTTGAACGTGACTGGGGTAGATAAGGTCCTCAGGCCAGGGTCCCACAGGTGAACCCTGGTGGCTGAAGAACGAGAGATAGGGGCTGGGGATTTAGCTTAGCGGCATAAGCACCTGCTTTGCAAGCAGGCAGTTGTGAGTTCAATCCCTGGTACCGATTTAAAAAAACAAAACACAAAAAGAAGAAAGATCAGAAGATACAGTGTGAATGTATTTGCTTGTCTCTCACCATGTGATGCCCTTCACTGGCTCAGAACTCTGCCTGCCAGAAGGCTGTCACCAATTGGGCGTGGTAGCCTTCATTTGCAGTCATAGCACTCTTTGGAGGCTGAGGCAGGAGGCTTGCATATTCAAACCCATTGAACTTGGCAATTGCTGAGTAATTTAGCAACTTAGTGAGATCTTGTCTCAAAATTAAAAAGAAAAAAATCTGTGTATGTGAGATATCTGGGGATATAGCTCAGTATGAAGGCCCCGAGTTCAATCACCATGACCACAACACAAAACAAAACAGCACCAAATGCAGCCCTTCACCTGGACGTCCAGAGCCATGAGCTAAACTGACCTCTTTCCTTTACATCCAGCCTCAGTGTTTCATTATAGTAATGCAGAACAGACTAAGACACACTGTAACAAAGCCATGACCCCACTGGCCTCTGCCATAGACACTGTGAGCCAGCCCAGAACAAGGACTGCATCTTCATCCAGTACCTGAACAAGTAGCTGGGGGCATCTGTGTAGCGCTGAGTGGCCACCGCAACTATGGTGCAAATGGCCATGTGCCTGCCTCCCCCTCTCCATCAGTCGGCCTGGCGGTGCAGAAAGGTGAGGAGATGGAGGAGCAGATATGCTGTCTCAGGAGAGTGAGTGGATGCTGTGAGATGGGGAGGGGCAGGTGAGGGAGGGAAGCTCGGGAGAGACAACCTCCTTGGCCAGAGGCTGGGGCAGCCCTCGCTGAGACAGCAATGCCTGTGCAGAGCCTTTCAGCAACAGGGACGGGGTGTGGGGATTTGCCGGAGGGAACTGCTGGCTGAAGAAGCCAGGTGGTGCTGACGGCCAGCGGTGGCCAGCAGGGGGGCTGAGCGGGCTGCCAAAGGTGAGGCTGGGTCAGGGTGCCTCAGAGGCCAGGGTAAAGAGTGTGGATTCACTCTGTGCCGTGGAAGCCATGGAGGGTGGGGAATCTAGTTGGCCCAGCGATCTGGTTTCATTTTCGCAGGACCTGTTTGACCGGTGGGAGGCACACAGACCACAGACGGGTGGGGTGAGGGGCTTAGAGGCGACAGTGGTGGAGAGTTTGTGGCATGAGGCTACAATCCAGGCTTGGACAGGTGCCTGCAGAGACTGTGTGTGAATTACAGAAGCCCAACCCTTCTCAGCAGGAGCAGCCTTGAGTGCTCCCAGCTTGGCAAGTGGAGCATACACTTGTTGTTAGATCTTGGCCAGGCAGGCTTGTGCCACGTACAACCAACCCAACTGTACAGGGTAGCTTGGTGAAGATGGCACAAAGTTAGATGGATGGGAAACAAAGAGGTTCAGATAAGTAGACTGGATGCCACCTCCCATTCCCCCAACTTCTGAATATACTACCGTGCTAAGTTTATCTCAGATCTGAGGTGGGCAGCCAGACTCTGTTCAGAGCTTCATCCATCCATTCATTCATTCATCCGTTCCACAGATGTGTCCAGAGCACTCACCTGCTGCTGCCTGCATCCCCGGCACTAGGCCACTGCCCCTCCTTGGGCACAGCTCTTTGGGGCCCAGGGCCCAGGACAGCAGGAGGACTGCACTGGAGGCCAACAGGAGCCAGCCCCCCAGGAGCATCGAAGCAGAGACCTGCTGGGGACAGAAAGAATGGAGGGTGGGCAAGAGTGCTCCATGCTTCTGCTACCCGGTGCTGAGTCCCCAAAGTGTCCCCAGTAGGAGTCATTTGCTTCAGGATGCGTAGCTGATTAAACACTGGAGCCACAATGAAGGTCCTGGTGACTGAGTACTGTGCCCACCTTCACTAAGTACCTACTAGGTGTCCCCAGCACCAGACAAGCACCTAGTGGTGCTGTGACATCACCTTTGTGATTGGCTTTGAAAGCTGTGTAATCTTCCTCGGAGGTGCCGTACTAAGTACCCAATTGCTGACCCTCTCAATTGTTGACTGTGCATTGTCATGGGGATTTCAGCACCTTAGCTTTCACTTTCAAACCTAGCCAAGCTTACAAGTGGCCAGTGAGGTATGTGCAGGTTGTACACTGCTGGACTCTAGAAGAAGCAACTGGGTGGTGATCATAGATTTGCATATTGATTTATCGGGATTTTCCAGCAGATGGCAGTGTGGTGTCTGGAAGAAGAGATGCCTTTTCTTAATTCCAACAAAGGTGCTATATGGGCTGGTGGCTGCCTTTGGAATCACCCTGAATGTTTGCTAAAATACAAATAGTCAGACCCCACCCTGCATCTACAGACCCACAGGTCTGGGTGGAGCCCGAACTTGGCATTCTTGCAAAGCTCTGCAGGTGTTTCCAAACCCGTGTGCTCAGTTCTAGGGAGACTAAGGTTTGTCCACAGGCACTGGGACACAGAGGGGAAGGGAAAGACCCTCAAATCCCACCCAAGGAAGCCAGCATCTCTGTCCCTCGGCACCAGTGACCCGAAGGGCACAGTTCTCACCCTCCAGGCAGCATCAGGCATGTCCTCCAGGGACCAGAAGGTCGTGCAGCTCTGGTTCCAGCTGTTACCTGGAGGCCAGGAGCAGTAGGTGAGGACGCCAAAGGAGAAGGTGGGTGTCTGGAACCAGGCAGGGGAGATGAGGCTGAGGGCCGAGAGGCAGGTCAGGGAGAGCCCCACGGCTGCCCACACGCCACCTGCCATAAAGGCCGGGACCTGGGGGTCAAGGCAAGGTTAGTGGTGAAGGTGGTATAAGGTGCCCACAGCCAGGATCAGAGCCCAGGGCATCAGTCCCCTTCTGCATGGTGATGCCAGAGAGGAGCCAATAGCTACAGCAAGGCAGGTCTAACATGTTCTGGAAGATGAACTCCCAAGCCCAAGGATCGCTGTTCACACTCTTTGAATGCTACCTACTCCTACCTACTCCTCCAGCACATCATCATCAATGGTCTGCATCGGGCCCCTCATGTTTCATTCATTCATGTTTTTGTTCATTCATTCATTCATTCATTCATTCATTCATTTTCTGTCCAGAAACCCTCCTCTATGCAAAAAACCACACACACATGCTGGGTTTCCAGCAGCCACCCTGCCCATTAGCAAACTCCTTCCAGACACTAATCACTATTGTTTGATGTGTAGCATTGGTTTTTGGTTTTTTTTCTGTAGCAGAGGATTGAGCCCTAGACCTCTCCCAATTTTTTTTTTTTTTTTTGAGACAGGGTCACTCTTGAATTTGTGACCCTCGTGTCTCAGCCTCCTGAGTAACTGAGATTATGCATGTACCACTACACCCAATGTGCTGTGTATCATTGTGTTTGGAGGTATTTTTACAAAACTGGCTTCTGTAGATGAATGCATTTTTCATTGATGTAAATGGTATAAGTTTGTGTACAGCATTCTGCTTCCTATTGTGGGCACCAAGTATCACACTCTTAGGATTGGTTCATGATGCTGTAGGTACATCTATTCCATCTGTCTTCAGAGGACTTCCCTACAGGCAGACCCCTAAGGCCTCACCTCCTAAAGCCATCACCTGGGGCATTAGAATTTCACAATACGAATTTACAGTCTTTGCCTATTGAGAACATGTGAATGCGATTGTGCTTGTTTTATTTTGTTGTGTTTTTTATTTTTTGCGTTGGCTTAGTGTATAATAGAACACCCAAGGTTGGGTAATTTATACAGGATGGAAGTGTTTGCTGATGGCTCTGGAAATGGGAAGTCCAAGAGCACAGAACTAGAATCTGCTCAGCATCCGGCAAGAGCCTTGCCTGGCACAGGGTGAGGCAGAGCAAGCGAGCCAGCTCAGGTCTCTCTTCCTTTTCCTGTAAAGCCACTCAGGCATCATGGGGCCCCACACTCATGACTTCATTTACCCCTGGTAATCTTACAAAATCTCACCTCCAAAAACCATCAGCATAAACTGATTAAGTTTCCAACCAGTGAACTACTGGGGGTCACATTCAAACCACACCAGGATGCTATTGGTTTAAAACCAAGTCTTTGCCAAGCGATGACAGAGGTGCTTAGATGACTCAGCTGAGACCTGAAGCTTGGCTAATAGCCCACTCTGTCCCTGATGTCCAGAAGGGAACCCAAGAGAGCAAGCATTCTCAAGGAAACTCAGTCTGTGAGCTGCCAACCATGCAAAAGGCACCGACAGAGGTGTCCCAGGGCCATTGCTACCCACCTGGGGCTTAACTTTGGCAGTTGAAGCACAGGCAGCACTTTCAAGGTGGCAGGTATCCTGGGCTGGAGGATGGTGAGCCCATCTACCATTTCCCAGCTGTGGGACCCAGGGCAAGTTAACTGATTGCTCTGGGCCTCTGTTTCTCCATCTGCATAAATCCCAGGGATCAGGTAGGTTGGGCTCAGTCACTGAACAGGTGAATGGGTAGAAATCGATAGAGGGGACTGGATCTCCTCTTCCCTGACATGTGAGTTTGGGGACACCTCAGGTCTCTTGAAACTGGGATGGAGGTTGCTGTACTGTCATGGAAGGGATAAAATGCATGTACACTGCAAGTGGAGGGGCAGGGATAAACCCAAGTAGGGCCAGAATCTTGCATCTCGCTTTTAGGATTGGTTCATGTTCCTGTAGGTAGGTGTAGCTGCAGCTTTTCACTCTGGAATTAGAAAAGCCTGCCTGGCTGCTTGCCAACAAGTGAAATTCAGTCTGATGGGTGAGAGAGAATCCCCCCCACACACACATACTAGATGTACCCCAAAATCCGCCTCTCCTGTGGGTTGGCAATACTTATCCCAGGGGTGTAATTCCAGTCAGAAAGCTGGGGGGGGGAGGGGAAGCTGGGTCCACTGAGACCAGTGATTTCACCTCTCTGGCTGCACTAGTGGCTTTCTGGGTGTTTCTGACCTTGAAAAGAATGTGTTCTCCAGATAATGCTCAGTGTCACCTGGGAAAATCACACCAACTGACCAAGTGCCCAGAAACCTAAATGAGGCATTATAACCCGAAACCACATCCGGCCAGACTCCAGTTAGCTGGACTCCAGCCAGGAGGGCTTGAAATGGACTGGATACTTTTCTCCTTGGCCTCCACACTTAACTTTTTCTTTTGTTCATTTTTTTTTTCTCCTTTAGTACTGGGTTTGAAGACAGGGCCTTTGCACTGAGCTACATTTCTAACCTTTTACTTATTCATTTTTTTTTTATTTAAGGAGAAAAAGAAAAAAAACAGAAAAAGGGTACAAGTAATACAAAATTTAAAAAATAAACAGTAAGAAATCACTAGTTAATAGATTACATATTCTCATCTTAGAAATAGTTGTTCAAGTTACAAAATTGAAGCATATAAAGAGGACTTTCAAACAGGGAGAGAGCAAACAGTTTTGTTCAATGATCCAAAAAAACTCAGTAATATGGTTATCTATCTTAGATACTTATTCATTTTTTAAAAAAATTTTTGAGGCATGGTCTCGCTAAGTAGTCACTAAGTTGTCGCATGCTGGACTCAAACTTGTGATCCTCCTGCCTTAGCCTCCCTAGGTTGGATTCCAGGCAGATGCCACCATGCCTGGATTATGCATAACTTAGTAGCAGTCAGCATTTCTTACACATGCACCAAGCTCCCTTCTAAAGTTCACAGTGGTTCATTTCATGTAACCCTCATGGCCAACACATGGCCACCAAGTGTTGTTCTCATCAGTCCCACTGTAGAGGTGGCAAAACAGAGGCTCAGAAAGTGACCAAAGAGCTGAAACTTCAGCTTGGGGACTCAGGCTCCTGAATTTCAGTCATAAGCCCAAAGTCCAAATACCCCAGGAGCTTCCCAGGGCTTCCCAGGGCTTTCCAGGGCTAGGGCATGGTCAAGGCTTCCAAAAGCTCTGGCCAGGGAATGAATAGAGCCCGAAGGGCCAAGTCAACCCCAGAAGCATCTCAGGAGAACTGCGGTTGGGAGCTGAGTGGTGGCTGTCAGGAGTCAACAGGCCAAGCTAACCCCACACAGCAGGTTTCCATGTCCTCATCTATAAACTGTTTATCATTTATTCATTGAACTTTTATGTGCCCAGCTCAAAGTCACCCCCTAACTTCTGCCCCCAGAGTCTAGAGGTGCATACAACATATTCCCTTTTTTCAAAGAAGCTTAGAGTTCTGTGGGGCAAGACAGACAAGCAAGATATGATAATATGATCCACCCATCCATTTGTTTATTTGTCCATTTGTCCATTCATCTACCATCCTGTGCACCCACCCATTCACCCAACAGGTATTAATTAAACATCTACTAGGTCCCACGAACGAATGCAGGTCCTGAGGATTTAACAGTGAGGGAAACAGATCTCCTGCCCTACTGGGAGAGACAGTAAGGAATGAGTGACTAATACCTACGCTGGCCATGGATAACTGCCTTGGCAAGAAATGAAGCGTGGAAGACCGATGCCAAGTGACCAGGGATGGTGAAAAACCTTCTTAGAAGGTGAACTTTGAACAATGGGCTTCAGGTGAAGCAGAGTCATGTGGATATGGGGGAAGGAAAATTCCAGGCAGACAGAGGGGCAGGAGCAAAGGTCCTGCAGTGAGTGTGTGCATGGCACAGAGGAGCTCGGGTGACAGGAATGAGGACAGTGAGCGTGGTGGGTCTGCCGGCAATGACACGCATCAGCTTTTAATTTAGAGTGGGCGGGGAGTCAGAAGAAATCAAGTGGGGTTCGCTGTGACCCTTATGTTTTTCATGCCTCTCTGGCTGCTGGGTGGTGATCTAGGGAAGAGATGGCAAGGGAAAGGCAGTGAGATGTGAGTCCGGGGCAGGCGGAGATTGAGTGGAAACTTTGTGCTCAATCTAGAGCAGCACAGAATACTAAAGAGAGGAGACAACGAGATAAGAAAGAGTTTAATGAGGGGGCACGGAGGGAGTCAGCAGAGAAGGCCGTGGGGGCTCCCTGCAGGCTCTGAGCGGGGAGGGCTCTGGGGACTGGTGTGAGCTGACTTATTTCGTGAGAGTGCAGGGTATTGGGTAAATCTTTACACACATGAGCTTTGGCAAAGACTTTTGGGAGGGAGAAGCCATAGGGGCTTCTGGGGAAAGGAGCTATGCATTATCAGGGCACAGCTTTGCCATGATGATTGTGCTGTCTCTCAGATGAGGTAGGGGATCTAACAGGTGGGACTTGGGGGACGGGCAGACAGACAGGAAGGTCAGAGTGCACAGATTCTTTTTTTTTTTTTTAATCTTTTTATCGGTACCGGGGATTGAATTCACGACCACCTGCTTGGAAGGCAGGTGCTTATGCTGCTGAGCTAAATCCCCAGCCCCTGAGTGCACAGATTCTGCATCTACCCTGCAGGCAAAATGTCAGACTGGTTTTGTGGGCGGAGCAGACCTAGGGGTGAGAGGAAGGCAAAGGTGCCTCTGGGGCTTGTGAGCTAGGTTCCTGAGGCGGTAGAACTGGCGGAGAGCAGGAATCGGCAGGAAGGAAGCGCAGGTGTTCAGGACCCCATGTGGGTGAAGCTTCAGCTCCTGGATGCACAGATGCACACAGATGCCCCGCCCCCAGGCAGTGGGACGCAGGCACTAAAGAAGGGTCTCAGTCTGGGGTGCCCCAGGTTCACACTGAGCTCTGACCCTGGCTAGGTGGGTCCCAGGAAGGCCCTTCACCTGCATCTCTAATCTTACTCCCTCAGCCCCTCAGCCAGGCAAGTCCACATGCTGGTTCTTTCCAAGCAGGTTGGCTGCATCATCTGGAAAAAATTATGCAACAGCTCTAAGCCTCAGTTTCCCTGTTTGAAAAAAAAAAAAAAAAAGGCCATGCCCTAGACCAGCAGGCCTTACCCTTTTAGAAGTGATAAATTCCTTTGAAAATATAATTTAAAGTTATGGATATAGTTGGGGGTGGTGGCACATGTCTGTAATCCCAGTACTCTGGACTGCTGAGGCAGAAAGATTGCTAATTCAAGCTCAGCCTGGTAATTTAGTGACTTAGACCTTGTCTCAAAACTAAAAGAAAGAAAGAAAGAAAAAGGATATATAGCTCAGTACAAAGACCCTGGGTGGTTCAGTTCAATTCCTAGTATGAAAGGGAGAGAGAGAGAGAGAGAGAGAGAGAGAGAGAGAGAGAGAGAGAGAGAGGAGAGAGAGGCAGAGAACGAACTGCTCCATGCAGGCCACAGACACACACACACACACACACACTCCTCCCCCCAGTTTCCGCTGCCTCACCCCAATGGCTCTTCCCTCCGGAGCAGCACTCTTCAGGTGAAAAACCTCCAGCACAGCTCTCCTGCTTAAACTTATGCTTCGGGCACAAATCTGTGATCTCCTAAAAGGTCTCTCTCTCCCTTTGAGGGAAACGTGCAGGTCAGGGAACAAAGCCCAGGCACGTGACAAATGTGTTTTTTCTTCTCTGTTCCTTAAATCAACAACTTTGTGCTGCAGGTGGCTCAGTGGGCCGGGCCAAGAGGGAAAAGCCAGTTCCAGATGGGGATGAGGGGAGGAAGACAGGGTATTTCTTGGGCAGGGAGGGCATAAAGGGCAGTAATTGGCCTACGGTTACACACAGGTGCAGGAAACCTGGTCACTGCCGTCTCTTTCTGCCCTCTTAGTTCTACTGCAGGGAGCTGGCTTACATATTTTCCTGTATTTCTCCCAGGGCCTTCCAGGGAGCTGTGGGCTTCCTAGAATCAGGCACTGAGTCTTAAGTATCTTTATCCTCAGCATCTAGCACCTGACTCGGCAGAACATGTGCTTCTACTGTATCAACTTTTACAGAAGGGCAACTCATACTGGCCCAAGTAGACATGAAATTTATTGGCTCCCATAACTCGATCTCCCTCCCCTCCTCCTCTCTCTCCCCATCTCCTGTTCTCTCTGCTGAGTTTTTTCAGGCAGATTCTGATAGTATTTGCCAAGCTCACATTTTCAGCTTCAGCAACCCCAAAGTAAAAAAAGCTTTTACTCTGTTGTTACATATTTGCAACAAGAGTTGCACTGATTCATTCTCACTAAACAAGATGCATTTTCATTGGACAAACTTGGGTCACATATCCACCTGTCAGCCAATCACTGTGGCCAAGGTGACAGGCTGCCCTGATTGGCCAGGTCTACTTCCTGTGTCCTGGGGTTGAGTTTGGGGGTTGTCAGGATGTCCATGCACCTAGTACTCCTTTAACTGAAGGTGAAGGAACAAAACTGAGGTGCTGTTTGCAGAGGAGGGACAGATCTCTGTTGCATAAGAATAAGAGTATCACCCCATTGTTGTGAGCACAATTCTATGGCACCACCACACCCAGCTTAATTAATTAATTTCTTTCAATCACCATTTGTTGAAAGGCTTTGGAGGAACCTGGTTCTCAGTGCTGAGGTTTTGGACCCATGTCATCTTCAGTCCTTCCAGGCCATCAGCAGTGTTGGCCCCTGTCCAGCATCCACCCCTTCCCATGCAGGGACATGCCTGTGTCATGCCTATGGCTTCCAACACCTGTAACTGCTGCCCCAGCTGACCTGGCCTGGGTCTTTGAGTGAGGCGGCTCTGGGTCCTTCTTTGCCCTCTCTGAGTAGGAAGAGCTTCTCTGTGGCTGCCTGTGACACAGTGCTACAATCCAGATGCAAGGAACAGCTGGGTCTGACTATGACAAGTGCAGACAGGAGGCAGGAGGTGCCAGAAGGACATCCTTGCCCTTGTCCCTGCAGTGGTCACTTCATGTGGCTTCTCCAGAGACACCTTGAGTGAGTGAAGGAAACCCTAGCTGGATTGTCTTGAGACTCTGGCTAGTCCTGTAGGGCATTTGCTCTCTCTCTTCTCTGCTTCCAAGTCCCTTTTCCTTTAAGCCCCTTACTGAGCTGAGATTATATTTCCAGTAAAGCATTAATGACCACATAAGATTTGTCTCTGGCTCTGTTTTCTAGAGCTGCCAGACTGAGCTATTTGCTGTGTGACCTTGAGCAATTTACCTCACCTCTCTGAGCTTTAGATTCTTCATCTGTAAAAAAGGAGAAAATAACAGGTCATTTCTCATAGGAGTATTGTGGCGTTTAATAAGACAGCAAGCAAAGTACTTGGCTTGCTAAATGACAGTTTCATTAGTATCATTATGATCAGCCAGGCACTAGATCAGATCATGGGAAAACATTTACTCAGCACTGAATTCCATAAATATTTGCTGAATGTGAGCTCTGCTGCGTGCTATGCTAGCCTCTGCTCTCAGGGGACTCAATCTGGTAGGTTAGAGAGGAAATAGGCAACTGTCCTACAGTGTGATTCCTGCATAGCAGGACTTACGCATCTCCTCCCCTGTGGCGGGCTGGTAGTTAGGGAGGGCTTCTGAGAGGAAGCAGTGTTAAAGATAAGGCCCAAGGGACATGTAGTCATTATCCAGATGATAGCTATCCAGATGGCTAGGGCTTGGCCTGGATAAAGGTCTGGTGTTGAGGGGAAAGCTTTCAAAGAACACACTGGTTCTCACTTTCAAGAAGCAGGTAAGTAACAAGCAGGCATAGTGGATAAAAATCCACCCCCAGAATGTCAAGCTTCTGGGGTCCAGATCTACAGTGTCCAATCCAGTAGCCATGGCCACAAGGGATTATTTATATTTAAATCAATTAAAGTGAATACAATGTGAAATTTAGTCCCTCAGCTTCCTGGTCACATCTTGAGTGTTCAATGGTCATCTGGGCCAGTGCTGGACAGTGTAGGTGTCGTCTGCATCACTGCAGAAATGCTGCTGTTCAGAGCGGCCAGGCAGGCTGGGCACACCTTACCTGATCAGGATGGGCTTCCTGGAGGAGGAGGCAGAAGATTGCAGGGATGGTTCTTGGAAAGTCCCTGGTTGGCGCTGTCCTGTAACCTCAGGAACAGAAAGCCAAGGCTGGAAGTAGTGGTGAGGGTGTTCATTCTGGAACAAATGCAGAGCCTGACACCTCTTTGGGTCAGGAACGGTCTTTTGGTGTGTGCTGTCTGGCAGCTTCTCACCTGGGCAGGAGGTTACAAGAATAAAGGGGAGCCAGCCGAGGAGGGGCTGAACCAGGAAGTCCCGCCCCTCAGGACCAGAAGTACTCTGGGAGTTGTAGTTTGGTACTTCTGGGCTTTCTCCCTTTTCCCTCACAGGCTGCCAGTCCTTGAAGAGCTGCAACCCAGCAGAAGGCGGTCACTACTGGGGTCACATCTGGGTTAGGGGCCTCTGAAGGGGGTGGTCATGAAAGGATGGAGGCGAGGTGGCAGCGGCAGGACTAAACTGGCGGGGAGCTGAGAAACATGGAGTGTTCTGTTAAAGGAACACCCCCTCCCCCTTGCATTCTAGTTCTTAGGGAGGTTCCTATGAGCAGCAGAGTTGGTCCCCAGTTGGCTGGCCTTCATGCATTCAGCCTTTAGAGCACTATGGTGTTGCCCAGCCCTGCAGAGGTCCTGGGGACCAGATGTGAGTGTAACCTTTACAAAGACAAGCTGATAATCATCTGCTTCTCCTGAAGGAATATACTACCTAAACGTGGAGAGGATGAAATATTAACTTTTTAAATTTATTTTTCGCAGTACTGGGGATTGAATCCACGGCTCTTAGCACTGGGCTACATACATCCCCAGCCTTTCCTGCCCTTTAATTTGACTTTTTCAGTGAGACAGGCTCTCACTAAGTTGCCCAGGCAGGACTCAAATATATAATCCTTCTGCTTCGGCTTCCCTAAGTGCTGGAGTTACAGGCATTAGACACCATGCCTGGTGATTTTAACTTTCATTCCAGTCATCCTGGGTTTCCTGCCTCAAAGATCACTTCATGGAAAGAAGTTCTACGTGAAGGTCACTAAGATCAGTCTTGCTGATGACTGTGCTCATGATATCCAGCTAACCAAGGGTAATAGCAAAGGCTTGGCCGCGTGGGGCTACGACTCTCCATTTCTGGCTTCTGTCACTCTGAGCAAGTCTGTGGGCTAGACTTGGCAACTCCCTTTATAGTGGGGTCCAGATATGGATCCCTAGATCAGAGATTGCTGTAGGAAGGGTCAGTCAGCCCCTAGATTGCTGTGGGCTGCCATTCTAACATGTATCAACCGCGTGAGAAAGATGAGGCAAGCGAGTGCCCTGACAGCCCTTTGGAAGCCATGCCATGTAGTGTACGTCTTTGTCTCTTCAGCTTTGTCACTGTCTGACTTACAGTAAAGGCACAAATGATGTCTAGTCCTTTAGGTATTCATTCTCTGTAATTTTCCTTAGGAGCACACATCATAAATGTAATTCACTTTTCTCATGCAGTTATTACCACATTATCTGTAAGTGCCACAAGGGCCTAGATCCTGTCTCACTACTGTATGTCCAGCAGGCAGCATACAGTAGGTGCTTAGCAGAAAATATGCTGGGAGGGTATGGTGGTGGGTGCCCATACTGTTAGCTATTTGGGAGCCAGGAGTTTGAGGCCAGTCTAGACAATACGGAAAGGCTCTGTTTAAATAATAATAGCAACCACATATATATATATATATATATATATATATGAATAAGAATAACTGAACAGGCATTTCCTCTTCCAGGGGCAACTTCCTGCGATTCTCTGTAGTTGTCCACCAAGTCTCTAGATTCCCTCCCACACCGACACAAAGGCAGTCAGCTTCCTGAACAGCATGCACCCCCAAAAGAGCAGGCCGCCGCGAGGGGCGGAAGAGACCTCGCAGGCTCCAGCAATCCAAAGGTTCCCTGGACAGACCCTAGCCAAGCGCCCGCTGGATTCCGGGTTGACCGAGGCCCCGCGGGCGCAGACCTGCTGGCGGGTTGGTGCCCATCGCAGGGCACCCAGGCTGGGCTCTGGCGATGGGCCCGGGGACGCGGAAGGGGCTGTGAGCCACGTTCCCAGCCGGACACGGAAGGCCCGTTAGAGATCTGGCCGGATGCCCAGGACTAACGCCCGACCTCTGACCCACAGTGGTCCCTGGGCCAGCCGGGCGGGCAGGGTCCCGCGGCCGCGCTCCGCCCCGGGGCTTCCGCGCACGCGCCGCCGGCCGCGGTTCCCATAGCGACGGGGCGCTTCCCGCCCGAGGCCCCGCCCCCAGCAGGATAGGCTGCGCGGGCCGCGGCGGGCAGGTGCTGCGGCTGCGGGCAGGTGGCGGCGCGGCGCGGCGCGGGTCGGCGGCGGCGCTAGGGTAGGTTGCGCGGCGCCCAGAGGTGGGGGCTGGCCTGCCGCCCCGGGTCTCGATCTGCTGAAGGGCTGGGAGGTGGCGGCGGGTAAGGGCTGCCAAGTTCTTGCCGAGGCCCTGGGAGAAAAGTTGGCAAAGTTGGCTGAGGAAGAGAGGCGGGGACGCAGTGGATTCCCTGGGCTCTGGTTCCGCGGGGACCAGGCTCCCGGTTTAGAAGTGAGGGATCCGTCTCCTGACACTTGAGAAGGATTCTGCGGGAAGGATTCCGCACGGGGCTACGAATGGATCCCTGGCCATCCGGCTGACTACTTGGGAGGAGACCTCAGGAGGGGATCAGGCGCCGTCGGCCTGAGGTCCCCTGGATCCCCTGCCAGGGAGTGACGGCGGAGGGTGAATCGGAACCGAGATCCCTCTGTCTCTACGCCGGTCCGAGCCTTGGGAGTGGATTCCGAGACGCGATCTGGTGCCCAGCAGCTCAGGGATCGCTGGAGATCCAGAGTACCCAGGCTGAATGTGTTTAGGATCGGAACGTCCGTGCGGGTTGGAGGCCCTGGAGGAGGACTGTAGGCAGCGAAGGCGCCGGACGAGGAGGAGCCCAGGGCGGGGAGTGGGGGGCTCGTGGGGGTCGCGGGGTGCGCGAGGAAGGCGGTGCGCCGGGCTCCCGGGGTGTCTTCCCCGCGGGGCCTGCGCGCCTCTCCGTGCGTCTTCCCAGAGCGGTGGCGCCCAGATGGGATTAAGGCTCAGTCCCTCAGGCCCGCGTGGTTCCCGCCCGGGTGGCGGCGCTGCCCCGAGCTTCGGGTGGGGCCCCTCGAAGGGAAAAGACTCGTTGACCTCTACCCGAGCCTGACCTTTCCACACCCTCCCCGTACATATTCGTCCTGTAACCCTGCCCGTGTCCCAGAGCCGTGGACTTGTGACCTCCGCTCACCTAGGTGCCTGGGGCTTCCTGCGGGCTGGCCCTGAACTTTCACTAGACAAGAGCAGCCATTACCTTCTGGAAGGAAAAGGGCTGTACCTGTTGCACAATGAAAAAGCTGCTTCTTTGTGACCTTGGACAGAGTGCTTAACCTATCTGAGCTCTAGTTTACCCGCTGAAGAAAATGAGGTAGGACCGCGTGGGAGGGGGGCGGGGGGGTGCTCACGTTCCTCCCTCTTCTGGAGCCCGGTAGGGTGACTGGAAACCCTAAGTGTGAAAGGGGCTTTATAGAGATCAGTGCCTCCGTTTTTCTACGGCCAGTCATTTCCCGTGTCCCATCCCCCAGCTTCCCCTAAGGTATCAGAAGCAAAGCTCCAGACACCCAGCGTGCTATCTTTCTAACTGCGGGATTAGAGGCTTGTATTACTTGGCCTTTCTTCCGGATGGATCAGTTGCCCCTTCTAGTCCCCCCTTGCATAGAGAGTGCCACTGGGGTTTCGCTAATCAGTAACCAGGACATTTGGACAAGGCTTTTCCCTCAGCCAACTTCTCTTTGCTAATCCATCAAGGCTTCTGGACAAACATGTATCCACCCCCAGACACCGGTGCCACTCTCCTTTCTTTGGACTCAAAGGACAGTTGCTGAGGGATTTGTGCAGATAGGAGCCCGGGACTTGATGTTGTGGTGGTTGGGAATCGTTTTTAAAGGATGTATGTGCTTAGCAAGGGTGCAATTACCCAGGAGAAGCGCAGAGTTTCGGCTCCCAGTGTCTGGGTGCAGGTTTCGGCCTGGCACGTGAACTGTCTGGCTCACTGCTCTGTAGTGAGCATCTAATACGCGGAAGGCGTTGTAGGCATAGTGCGGCTCCAAGGCGGTTCAGGATCGTCCTCCTGCGATTGCATTTTGGCTTTGGAGAAATCAGCTTGCCCTGCTATCTAGTGCCAACTCATGATGCTGGGAGTGTAGCTCTCACCCCAGATTCTCAGCTGGACCCCCTGCACCCCATGGGGGGCCCGAGGGCTGGTCTTGTTTAAACTGACCTGACAGACCCACCAGACCAACTGTCTGCCCTGAGCATCTGCCAAATCTTAGAATCCCTAGTAGATTTCTGTGACCAACTCAGAGAACAAGCCTGGGGGGATATTTTGTGCGTTTATTAGTCAACAAATAATTTAAGAAACTAGGTCAAAATGAGGCTCGTCCCATCCTTTAGGGATGAAGCCTTTGTGAAAATGGTCATTTGTCTAGAAGGGCAGGACAGTGGTGATGGAGAAGGGGCTGATGCCTTAAAGCATGTGGGGCTGGGGGTGGAGATCAAAGAGTTCAGTTCACTGGACCACTTGCCATGGAAAGACATTGGTGTCAACGGTCCCAAAGATGGAACAGAGACCAAGAGGTAGCCCTGGAGTATGTGGTGCTGACCAGGGCCAGGCCAACCAGGCTTAGTGGTTTGGACTGTAGTCCTGGGAAGTGGGGTGCTGTGGAAGATTCCTTGGCCTGATAAGGGGAGGTGGGGGAGAGGGGCTGGCCAAGAGGTTGCTGGGAAAATTCAAGTGGACAAACCTGGATCCAGGCAGAACAGTGGTGATGGATACTGGTCAGTGTTAAAGTCCTCAACTGGAAGACCCCTTCCTTCATCTCTGGGGAAGGACTGCCACCAGACAGGTGGCCTTGATATTGTGAGTATTACTACTTAATTTGGTTCAGCAACCCCCCGAGCTCCCACTGTCTGCTGGCCCTGGGTTGGCCAGCAGACTTGGCCGTGGGAGGATGCAAGGTTCACCGGTTCCAGCTCACAGATGCAGGGCTCAGTGTGTGCTGAGATCTTTGTTCCCATCTGTGGTACAGCAGGTTTGAAGTTAGTCCTCATTTGCATGTTTGGAGTCAGTGAGGTCAAATGGGAAAGAAGTAACAGGATGGTGAGCTTGATCTGGGAACAGCAGGGGTAAACTGAGGGGAGGGCGCCCAGAAGAACATGGGGAGAGGAAAGGACCATTCAGAGCCACCTGGGGGCCAGCCTTCCTGATGGTGCCCTTACGCATGGTAGTTGTTTGGAGACTTAGCTTCTTCATCTGTAAAATGGGCTCGTGTGTGGGTTGGGTAAGACAGTACATGGGAAGTTCCAGGCATAGGGTCTGTACTCTGGAAGCGGGGAATGTGATCATTGTCAGTATAACCTGCCACCTGGATGCCCTCCAGGCAGGCAGAGCCTTGCCCAACCTGGGATGTGTGTGTGTGGGGAGGGACCAAAGGTGACATTTGAGCTGAGTCTTAAGATGAGTAGGAGGTGGAGGCAGGGAGTATTGAAGAAGGAGCAAGTACAATGGTGATGGCACAGCTAATTGGAGAATCGTGCACTATGACCAGAACATAGGGTGTGTTGAATGACTAAAAAACATTGATTCTCTGAATTTCCTGCCACTCCCTGAATACCCAAACATGAAGGCTTTGGAAGACTAGTAACAGAGAGGAGGACAGGGAATACCTACCTAGGAGCTAACACACTATCCCAGGAGTGTGAGTCCACAAGCCATTTGCCTCTTGGAACCTCAGTTTCTTCCTCTGTTAATGGAAGGATTGGAGTGAATGTAGCTAAGGCTCATAGCACCCTAGAACAACAATGTCATGCTGTAATCTGAGTTACTTTCCTTCATTCTTTATCTATTCATACGAGCCCAGGCAGTGCCTGCTTCAGGGACCCTCCGATTTGCATTAATGAAACTGGCACTTTAAAAGGTTGTACATCTGGGAAGTTTGCAAAGCTGGGATTTGAACCCAGAGCTGCCTGCTTCAAAGCCACTCACTTCCCAGCTCTGTGATCCCCAACAGATGGGCTGGAGCACTGTGCACACTCCCTGCTAATCTCCTGTTGTGTCAAAGGGCTGTTGAGTTGAGGACACACACATTTGCACGTATGTATGTTCCCCCTTTGATGTGATGAATGCTTATGAGCCTTGTGCGGCCAAGGCACCAGGCTTGTGAAAATGTCAGAAGGTCCCTTGTTCCCAGGCATCCTGAGGTCAGGTATGGGACGAAGTGATGAGCTAAGTCTGCCTTAATCATGGACTTGACTTTGGGCGGGAGTTATTGCTGTCACATGTGTTAATTGCCCAGTTCAGTGACCTTTAAAATGTTTTACAGCCTTGTTTCCAATAAGAATAGGAAATATATCTCCAAAGTCTGATCTTTGGCTGTTGACAACACTAAAACGAAAAACCCACATTAAAATGCAGCAGAGGCATGAAAGTAATGTGTAGCCCACCGGACCGTCAGGGCGGCAGGGCCGAGGTCCGTGCAGTGGAAAGCGGGTCTGCTGCTGTGGGCTCTGACTGCATCTCGGAGACCGCGCCGTTCCTCCAGGCCCGCCCCAGCCTTCCCCACGTACACCCTCCTCATTCCTTTCCAAGTCCCTGTCAACTCTGCACATCACCGGAGTTATTTCCATGCCCACTCTGGCGCTGGAGGGATGAGTTGAATCCCAGCTCTGCATCTTATCTGCTGTGGGACTTTGGGTAGGGTGCTTGGGGATGATAGTGGCACCAATCTCAGAAGGGGCTTTGCAGGGTAAATGAGAAGAAGGGTGTGGCGGGGTCTCTGCTGAGCGCGTGTTGATTGTTGTCTTTATTACCAGTGGTGGCGAAGTCAGACTATTATTACTGCTTATTTCACTGCCTGTGTTCCCCTTAGACTTTCTGCTTTAAGAAGGCAGAAACCCAGCTGCCTTCTCTCCAGTTTCTCTGACCTTCACGGTTCTGCAGCCCCCAGTGGGTGCTCAGGGAGTAGCTGGGGCATTAACACATGACCAGTGTATGTAGACATGCTCTTAGCTAACTCTAACAAATAAAACAAAGAATTGCCCGCATAAGTCAAAGATAGGTTTGATACTCTCCCGTTGTAGGATGTGTTGGTTTGCCTTGTTTTTTAAAAGCTGAATGATACCCCAGTGCATGAAGGTGCTCTTGGTACCTCTTCTGGTCCCCCGTGGGTGGACATGGAGTTGTTTCTGGGTTTTGTGTTGTGCTGCGCATGCAGTGGTACAGTAAACACCCTCATTCTTGTATCTTGTTCCCGTGTCTTGCCATGTGTGGG